AGAATCTTTCATCTGGATGTTGAACACTTCGAGTATACTGATATTGCCAAGGTAACTGTAAACACTTGAGTGTGGAAGCTTGCCAAGTGGCCTGCTCCATGTCGTTGTTGGACGGGGATACCCAGTCACATGGCATATCGGTAATGTCACATTAGTTCCTTCCTTTACGTAAGTCGGCCCCGGATGTAAAGATACAAGAGGCTTGACTGCGGAGGCAACACAAATTTCAAACGATTCCTTATCAACTACACTTTGTTTGAGATAACTTAAATAAAGCTGATAGTACGAAAAGGGAGAAAGAGAGAAGCAGGAGTTGGCAATAACTACGTGTTTTTGCATTGCCTGATCAAGGAGAGTCTTTTTCTTAGTGCATAAGATATGCACGACCAGTTTCTCTCTGATAACTACAAGTGACCCGACTCAATCATCGATTGTAAATATTTCTCTCACCGTTCACTGTAAGTTTTGCAAATCCTTCCGCTTTTCCTAAAATATTTGTCGCCGTACACGTGTAGATGCCGGAGTCACTACCAGCAACTTTCTTCCACGTAATCTTTCCAGAGGTCATTTCCAACTTTGGACTCAAAGTGGAATCATTTCTACTCCATTCAATTATAGGCTGAGGATTTCCACTCGCTGAACATTGCTACGAGGCTGCCTCGTTTTCGTTTACCCTCAGCGTTGAAGGCGAAATACCAACCACAGGAGATGAAATAGATTCTCCAGGGTCTCCTTTCATTCCGGGTCTACCAGTCACCCCTGGGGGCCCTGTCTGTCCCTTCTTCCCTGGCTCTCCTTTGTGCCCCCGAGGGCCCATGATGCCTTGCTTTCCACCTTTTCCCGGCGATCCCATGATTCCTTCGTCGCCCTTTATTCCTTTTTTGCCTCTCCTTCCCCGGGATCCTTTTGTTCCGCGTGGTCCAGGTTGACCTGGAGGGCCTGGAGGACCTTGTGAGCAGGAATGTTTTGCTTGACAAAGTTTCATCACTCTGTCTGATAGCAGACTGTCAAGTCTCACGACAAATTGGTCTCTCTCTTTGTTTTCAGTGGTATTCAAATCGTTTGCAACATGTCGCTTAATTCTAATGTCGTTTGCGATGTCTGAGTGAATCCCTGAAGTTTTACCTAAACGAAGAACAAACATGAACAGTCGAATTGTTAGGTTAATCAAGTGGGAAATAAGTAAAATGGCAGACACCTTTGTGGCTTCTTCTCATTTCTAAAGGTTGTTTTGTTTGTTTGTTTAGTTGTTGTTGTTGTTTGTGTGCTCTTGCTATAAGATTCAGTTTCGTTTAGTTCAGTTTTAAAAGTGAGAGGCGACTTTCCAGGTGTAGATTTGTATGCTGAATTTCCTCTCCACAGAAACTATACATTTCCTTTTTTCTTGTTTTTCTTGTTTTATTAAGGTAACATCCTTTAGCTGATAATTTCTGTCAATTCTTATTAGCTGCTTGCTGGATAATATTGACTCTGTAAGGAGAGGTTACAAGCCAGTCACTTCTTTGGGTTTAAAGCCAACAGAAAATTCGCTATCCGAAAGTCCTTGAAATTTAGGACTGACTTTTCAATCGGTTGATGCATCAATTTGTGTTACTTTTATAAATCCTTTGACATTCTACCTTGCTGTCTTGCTAACCACGAAAGGACTTTTGCAGAGCAAACGAATATCAGATATCAAAATGTTTTTATATTTTATGTTTTTCAAAATAAAAGGAGGATTAAGTCTACGATAAACACACATCAGAATTTTGCTGAACACTCGTCTGGTTTAATCTACTGACGTATTAAGTTTCAGCACGAGATTTGTCGGTTTCACTGAACGTAGCGTCGTATCTAAGTCACTATTCATACTTCTGTTTGTTCAGGGATTGGAATTTCCCTCACTTTCAAAAGTGCATTCTTTTCTGGATCAGCATAATGAAGTTTTAGCTGCTGATGAAACGACCGTAAGCATTTACAACAGAGCACAAACTTTCTAACGTGTGAGAATGTTACTGTCGATGCCCTATGTCGGCTTCAAGTATCATGCAGATATTCCGAAGAGGCAAACAAACACAGCTAAAGAGCGGAAGTTGTGTCGCCTCTTTCATGATGTACAAACATAGAAGTAAACCCTGGGAATGTGAAAATGTGTTTTATTTTTTTCAAAATAAAAGCACAGGATTAAGTCTACGATAAACACGCAAGAGAATTTTGCTGAACACTCTAAGATGCGTCTGGTTTAATTTACTGACGTAATAAGTTTCAGCACAAGATTTGTCGGTTTCACTGAACACAGCTTCGTATCTACGTCATTATTCATACATCTGTTTGTACAGGGATTAGAATTTCCCTCACGCTCTAAAGGGCATTTCTTTTCTGGATCAGCGGAATGTAGTTTTAACTGCTGATGAAACTACCGTAAGCATTTACAATAGAGCACAAACTTTCTCACGTGTGAGAATGTTACTGTCGATGCCCTACGTCGGCTACAAGTATCATACACTGTCAGATATTGCGAGGAGGCAAACAAACACAGCTTAAGAGCGGAAGTTGTGTCGCCACTGTAATGATGTGCAAACATAGAAGTAAACTTTGGCAACCTGAAAATTTGTTTCGCAAAATTGTGGCGAAGAAATTCTTACCTGTTAAATCCATAGTTGGGTCCTTTTTACTCGATTTCACTTCGCTTGAAGAAGGATCTTTGACCCTCAGCAATTTCTCCATCTCACTCATTCTCTCTTCCTGTTCATTAAGTTTGATTTCAACTCTTACAAAACCAGCACAGTAGATCAGGACAGAGACCACAGAAATCAGAGTTCCAGTCGAAGTAAATGCACTCTTCGTTCGACCCTGTGTCATATTTAAGCGATGCCTAAACGCTTTCGACTCTAGATTTGTCTTGAATTCAATCGGGATGTGTTACAGCAACGTACTAACTTGATATGAGGAATGTATCGTTTGACCAGATATTCGATATTACACTATGATGTCTTTGCACGTGATTTTACGTCTTGTTCCCAGTTTCTTTATTCCGTGATCCGTTCCAAGACACTCAGACACCGTCGACCTAGCGAAGTACCTCAATCTCAAACTGCCTCTTTTTAGTTCAATAATACTTCGCCTTTTGTGTAAGCTGAAAATGAAAAGCATTTTCCTGTAACGCAATCTCAAATTGCCTCTTTTTAGTTCAATAATACTTCGCCTCTTGTGTAAGCTGAAAATGAAAAGCATTTTCCTGTAACGCAATCAGTAACGCAACACGCATAGCCCGTCCGATCTATCTCAATTTGCAGCAAATTTTCTCTTTATTCATACGCGGATTAAAAACATCTGGAATACAATGATCTTGATGTTACAACAATACTACTGATTTAAAAAATGATAACGAAGCTAATCTGGAAGTTAGGGCAGTTAAAGAAGCCGCAAAATAAAATGAAAGAGGAAACTATCTCTTTTTTTTTTTTTTTTTTTTTTTTTTTTTTTTCATTCCACGCCAGTGCTATTGCCTAATCGTATTTTCACTAAACGCCTAAGGGAAGCCAACGAGCGCGTGAAATGTACTACCTTCACAAGCAATCGCACACAACCTTCTTTTATAGGCTTCGGTTTTCTTAGCACACTTTTGAACTGGCTAAACAGTTCAGTCATGGAGATAATAAGCATTTATTGGATAAAGTTGATCATGATATCATGAATTAGTATATACCACACAAGTTGATAGTGCTTTGATAGTGCGCGCTGATTGCTTAGTTCGGAATTTAATGGCAAGCACTATTCACTTCCGCGTCATCTCCGTGTCAATTTCCGACCATGTTCGGTATATTGAGAGAAATAAACCGGTTTTTTTTCGGTATCTGTGCGATATGGATGTTGCTTATTATCGGTGAAAGTGGTGGATATTTACTCACCAATATTCACCTCCACTTTGGTTACTAATTGGTAATTATACTTCAGCGAACCTTTTTTGCCGTTTCTCGAAATGCATCACCTGACCGAATATACCCCAGCTAAAACTGGTGAGTATCCAAGGATATACCTCGAGTGATATTCCCCAGTTTTCAACTTGACGTCTATTCCGATAAAAGCTTTCCTATACAGTTTAATTCTAGATGGAAGAGCGTTTTGTTATTGTTACAGAATATTGGACAAGTTTATTTGTTCATAAAGTCGTACTAGAGAACGCTGAAAAGTAAAAATCTACGCAGTAAATGATAACTTTTCAAAAACATTTCTCCCGCGCTTTGCCAAAATATTTGAAGGATAATCATCACAATAGCCTCCATTTGACGCAAAAACATGCTCAAGTATTGGTCCTTAGCCGGGATTTATCTTTGCCTCAAAGTTTACAGTTTTCCTTGAGATTCGCTTTCCGAAAGCTGTTCGCATCTCGGAACAGATAACGTCCCTAGACACATCCGTGCTTATTTCCGAGCCAAATGGAGGTTATTGTTTATTTATCAAAACCGAGGTCTGAGCTATCTGCTAAAGCCGAGGGCTGAGGCAGATAACACAGACACAAGGTTTGATAAACATGCAAAAATCGAGTTCAATAATTGTTGCTTTATACAATTTTAAAATTATTCACTCATTTTGAGTTCCTCTCTGAGTTTGCGAAAGTTTGAGAACACTTCACGGACGAGGCAGACTTTGAACTCGACACAATAAAAGCAATGTCCGCTACAGTTACTGCAGCTTATCTTATTTATTTATTGTGTATTGATTAAATGCTTTCGACCAATCAGATTTTCCATAGTAAGTTTAATGTATGATATTATTCCTCATGATCAGTATTTACATGTCACAGCCCTCATCAAATTATAGATATTTCAAAATCGAAATTTATCCATTACTTTAATGAAATTTGAAAAATTTCAAGGACAAGTCTCGGAGAAATCAGCACTTGATTCTCTTTGAATAAAGCGGTCCTGTAAACCGATTCTAGCCTAGATTATATTTATGCAGAAACTTTTTCGATACATTCTTAATGCTTCAACATTTTATCAATTATTTAAAACTAGTACTTAGCACAGATAAAACGATATTTAAAACACCACGTTAGTTTTAATTGTCAATAAATATGCGCGTACTTGATATGCCTCTTTTGAATAAGTTACAACTCAACTTTTCCTTACCCTTTGCTCAGCAGCGCCCGGAATGCTTGGACACCATTGGTTAGTATATACCAAAGATGAATAGTGCTTTTCGTGCGCTAAATTGGCTAGTTTGGAAGTGTGACGAGTAATTACAACTCGCCTTCGAGCTGCCGACCAGACAAAATCATATGTCAAGAGTATGACTTCCGACCATTTTTCGGTATGTTGAAAGAAATAAACTAATTTTTTTGTTATCTATATTGTTTGGTTCATGTTGATATAAACCAAAACAATTATTCATGAGCACTAAAGCAGGATCTTTCTATTTAGTCTCTTCGATATTTATCTTTGTTCTCCATAGGTGCTTTAGTTCGCCTTTTTGTACTTACAGTAGTCAAGTTCAATCCTCGCGTGGAATTCAAATCTATCCTCGTTCCACGCTTGCCACAACACTCTCTCAAAATATGATAAAACGCATTTCTTAACTGAGCATTCATTAGCGCATAAATTACAAAGTTGCAGCATGAGTTGCCGTACGCTAGCGTTATAACAGTTCTCTGGAGTGCGCCTGGAATCAAATCATCCCCTCTGAAAGCTCGAATAGTTGTGGTAACAAAGTAAGGCATCCACATGATAAAAAACATACCTACGACCACTGCTAAAGTTTTAACGGCCTTCATTTCCCTTTTAAACACATTATTTTGCGAGCCTTGATTCCCAGCGCTCTCTAGTGCGGAGATCCTGCGGCTGTTTCTGCGGACTTCTTTAAAAATAATTGCATAGGCAATAAGCATTACAGAAACCGGCAGAAAAAAATAAAACACAATCAACAGTATTGTCAAAGTTGGCTTTTTAAGCCAGTTTATCTCGCACTCTGCCAGGACTGGGTTGAAACGCTGTTCAGCAAGACCCAAAGTAGGGAAAATGGACAATACAAAGGACTGTACCCAGATGTATATCAGCACAATGACAATTCTTTTCGGAGTGACTTTCGCGTCGTACGATAACGGCCATTTTATTGCGATAAGTCTTTCGATGCTGATGGCGCAAAGATGAAGGATGGAAGCACTACAAAGAAGCACGCCGCACATCGAGGATATATGGCACCATGTTATTCCAAACACCCATTTTCCAGCATAAACTGAAATATTGATGTAAATCACGCGAAGAATAGGAACCAACAGATCAGCACCCGCCAAACTGCACACTAAATAGTTCGTCAACCTTCTTAAATTCTTTAATCTCCAAACAGCAAGGCACACCAAGCTGTTTCCTAGAAGAGTTAAGATTGAAAGCGTGGAGAGAATGATACCATAACAAATTGATTCATCCGAGGGTATTTCTGTCAACATGACACGATCGTTCGTTTGAAGGATACTTTGTTAGCTTTCCGAACGCTAAACAGTATTCGAAGGAAGTAACCGGAGTCAGCTCTGAAAAGCAAAAAGGAGATATGTATACATTAAAGAAAAGTCACTCAACCGCGTAATAACAGATCACCTTTGTATTCAAGTACTATTTAAACCTGTCAAGTGATAAAGCTTTCGAACATTTTCGACAATGACAGTCAATTGTTTTTTCTCACAAGTGTCATCTCCTCGGGATAAATGGAACTGTGAATTAAATATTAGCAAACAGATTTTAAATTACTTTAAGATCTCTGAAAAGAAAACATTGCAGGGTATTAAGAAACCTAGACAATGCCGATTTGTAATCTGTTCAGTCCTGATAAAACACGCGCGCAACATGACATGAAAAGGTTTAAATGAAAAGTTTAAAAATTGCTTTTTAATCTTTCTCATTTCGCGGGTTTTCCGTAATTACGACTTGGGGTAATTGATAACGATTTACAGAAAATATATTGCTTGCAGATTTTTATCTAGTGGCTACACTGTGTAGAGCTGAAAACTTCATCCATACGATTTCTTAAGGCCCTAGAATACGTTAAAGATAGTTTTAAAAGTGAAAAATCTTGAACTTAGTGATAAATACTGCGATAAAACTGATGCAGGCAGCAAAAATGAATTTTGAATTTTAGCTTGGATTTAGCTTGTTGTCAATGTTCTCATTTCAGATGTGTGATCATTCGCAATCCGATATCTGCATCAATCCATCGATTATTGAATAAAGCTTCCGACAGGGTCGATTTTTAAATGAATGCACCTAGAACGCAAAATGAAAAAACTAATAATAATGTTAAGTTTGTTAATTCTATTGTCGGGATCAAAATACAAAACTGTGAACTGCCGTTATAAGCATCGGAGAAATATTTCCAAACCATGTGGGTTTTTTCGTAATGGTTTTTATTTGTACCGTCAGTCCTCTTGACGAAAAGGCTTATTCAAGGCCGATCTCCACGAGTCAAATTTATGGATTACATTTTTTTTGCGCTTGAAGCATTTGCAATTTCCCATCACAGCACGCCGAAAATAACTCAGAACAGGTGAGAAATGTATTACAAAAATAAGACGTGAGAGCTTGGACGCCACTCAGCTTCAATCCTCCCCCCCCCTCCCCTTCCCTCTCTACTAGCCCTGGTTGGGAAAAGAGAGAACCTGGGAACAAGATTAAACCCCACTGTCAACTCCAAACACGCTACAACTGTTAAGTGACGAATTTTGCACGCGCACAAATGAAAACTGATATTAGATGTCGTACGACAGTTGTTCCATTTCGGCATCCAGCAGCTGAATTTTTCACCTAAATCCTGGTGTAATTCTCTTGTGCCCGATAAAGTGATATCTGTCACAGAGAGAACTTTCACGTGGAATCTCCTTTTCTGGACCAGGTCTGCAAAAGAGACGTCTTCACATAGGTGCTGGAATTTATATCAGTCTCCATAGAGGAAACGACTAGGAGGATTACTGCTTCCTCTCACTCCCGAGCATTTTTCAGGTTTCCGTAACAAAACTCGGTCGTAGCAATTTCTACACTCAAGTGAAGAGAGACACTATGAAGGCAAAGAAGTATAGTGGTCAAGATCAAGAACACATCAGAATTACTCTGAATAGTGATCACGCCCAGACCCCTATATGGCACCCAGACCTCTCGATCGTACCCAGGTCTCTCGATCGTACGCAGACCACTCGATCGAATCCAAACCTATAGATTGTACCCAGACCAATAGATGGAGAGTCCAGCTCGGGAACCATTGTCTCTATTTCCATCTGGTTTCCCGGACATTTCTGTGGACAGCGCCGAGAGAAGTTTTGAGAAAACCCCACAAAAAGTTCTGTTGGCTTCTTGTGATAACCTAACTTCTCATCCAAAAGGAAAAGCATATCCTCTTCGATAATGATATAACAGGTTTAATTTTAGACATCTTAAGCGAGAAGTTAGTCGTTGACAAGTCTCCTCACGATCACGATTCAGTTACAGTAATAAAAAGAGTTGGAGACAAATAATAAATTTGACTTTCCTAAGGGGAATCGAACACTAACCTTCCGGAATACACAACAAACTACTGTGTGTTAAATACACACTGAAACTACTGTTTCATTTTAATGACATAACCTAAACAAGGAACAGTTAACAGCAAGAGATTATAATCTCTTTTTACAAACACTAATTCGGTGCTACTACCGACTTAGCTACGCCTGAATGGTGTGGTGCCTGTGGTGCCAAACTAATATCCTGAGGATAGGCGGTAAGTTTCTAAAGAAACTGTGGTGCTGCGTTGATGGAAGAGTGTAACATGGTAATATAGTATTATCAACTGAGTTTTATAACGTAAATTGGCTACTGTAAAGAGTTTCAAAGTTTCATTCGCTCTGATGAAGGGCTAATGCTCAAAATGTTAGCTTTGAAACTCTTTACGGTGGCCAATTCAAGTTATCAACTCAGTTGATAATGCTATATTACCCTAGTATTTTGAGGCACGGGTGCAAATCCCGTTGAAGTTGATTTCTCTTTCAGGCTTCTTCTCCGCATTTCTAATAATTACAGTCCACCTATGTGGATCATTTCTTTGCTAATAGATCATGCATCAGTTACCCGTCTACTTTCTAATCACCTTCTTCAACTGAATGCTGATTTTCGGTTTGAAACATGCTGTTGACTGTCAGGTGTCGATATCAAATTCCGATCTGCATAAGGCGCATTATGTTTGTCAGACAAAGTTTTCAGCATTCTGCGTTTTCATTATCGCATATCAACAAAAGCTGAGCGATGAAAACAAGCTTCTGAATCTGATACTCACACAATTTCTCCTCGTGAACTCAGATCACAACAAAAGAAGATTAAAATGTTTGGCTGTAAATTTCTCTCCATTCAGGTTCTCCCTCGCGGTCAGGACAAGACCAAAATTGCAGAGTTGAATTCTCTTATTAGCGAAATATAGTCACAGCTTAATGAAGCAAAATTAGAAAAATTTTTGACGAAATTGCTCCGGAAAAAAAAAATGATGAACATGATCAACAGCCATAACTCCACTTTAGGGTATATTTTAGCGCTTATTACTGACTAATGCCATGGACAAAACAGGCAAATTGTCATTTTAAAATAATTCGTATATATAAAGATTAGTGAGTCTATACAATAATCACGATTAAGAAAAAAAAAATTAAAATCTGAGAGATTTCTTACCTTAAAACTTTATCATTTTAGGGACGTGAAGGTTTCGATATCAATGAGGCATTGTTTTTTATACGTCTTTCCGAGAGCTGGCTTTAGAGGTAATATTCCCTCAGTATAAGTCAGTTGTGATATTGCAACTCAAATGATATCCGTTCTTTTAAGTAAACTTTGGTTTGCGACTTAATTTCTCCGGTAATGAACTGGCCTCAACCAATGTTTTTAATTATAGAGATGAAGCTCGAAGCCGCAGATCGAGACAAGCGTGATGGTCTAATGGCTGAAATTTCAGAAAACAGCTGCCCTTTACAAAGTAAAGTTAATAAGGGAGATCGGGATGCATTAGGTGGCATGACGTTCTTCTGAGCTAATTTGTGTATCTATGTAAGCTTGGGGCACTTAGCAGTTTGGATACTAGCATAAGATTACGTACATTATCTTTCATCCGCCGGGGAGTTTTGCAATAGCAAAAGGAGAGTTTTGGCAAACGATGGTCTAAAATCTCAAGAAAGTTGAAATTATAAATTTTTTTACTTTTCATTTTTTTTTTTTAATTTTTTCTTCATTCAAGGTAAATTCGGCCATTTCACATCCAAAAAATAAATATGATGTTTATAGAGTTATGTACACAAACTGCTAATAACTCCCCAATACTACTCTGTTCAGCTATGGGTTTTTTCATCAGTAGACCGGTAGAAAGAGATCGAACTTTTCCTAAGACGTTTTGAATCTAAAATTATTAGCTGAACGATGATTCTGCGATTAGTTTTGCTCGGTTCCTTGGCGTTTTAAAAACATTTATTGCAGACGCTAATTATAGTTAATTAAGCGAAATGGAATGTCAAATTAATTACAAATGTCATACTGTCGCGCCTGACAACATTTTCAAGAAACTGAGTATGGTCTTGAATTTTTTTCAACTAATAAAGCTCTGAAAAGCCAGTTTAGATAAAAATTAGAGTGAGACGTCGCGACCCCGCAGTAGTCTTCGAAGAAATCGACGAAGACGAACCACACTTAGAATAGATATTGGTAGTTTCCTTTCATTTCTATTTTCGTATATGTTTTGTTTTTTTTATTATTTCTTTGCTGATCTTAATCGTTTTGCTTTCTTTGTTATATTCCCCTTATATCAGCTTTCATCTACTGTCAATCGTCAACACCTTATTACGTCTAAACTTTGAGAGCCAAAATAGCTTATGTTCCAAATCCATTTTTCCTTCGTTCCGTTTCAACGAGATTGTCACTTACTAAAGCAGGAAAAAGATTCTTTCTTTAAAAAAAAAAAAGAGAGAAAAAGAAAGAAAACCAGTTCTACGTTCTTTTAAGTCCCTATAAATCCAATGACGCTCAAAAATTAAAGTTGAAAAGCAATTTCGCTCCAGGGGTAGTTTAATATGATTTCGCAATATTTATATTTTTATTTCCTTAGCATCTCCTGAGATTAAGATCCGAGTGAAGACTGTGGATGGGTTTACTTAGTAACTCACAGCTAACGCAACGTATTGTATCCAATAGATTCGAAAAGGCCAGGGTCAAACCTTTGATGCCTGTCGTTCAAATGCTTGCGCAATAATCTAAAAATGTTTGAACTTGTTGTGATGGGGAGATATTTCCTAATTTCTGTTTTTCTAGGGAATGCTTCAAAGGAATGAAAGAAAGTTAGTGAGATCAGCAGACTTCGATTTTGTAGTTGGGGTTGTCAGTACGTAAATGTGAACTAAAGCGTACCAATTCCTGCAGGGATTATGCAATTGCCTTGGTTCATGTTATTTGCAATCCTCTTGTTTTTTTTGTTTTTTTTTTTATAAATGAGGTTTCTAAGTATTCTTCATTAAAATATGCTACCAAAACCCACAGCGTCCATGCTGACAATCGTGCCACATTTAAAGTATTATATGTCCAATGATGTTGCGGTTTGAGTCTGCAAATCTGGTAAAGATCTAACTTGTCCAAACCGACGTACAAAGAAAATGAATAGTGGAAAATTGACCTTCCCGAGCCGGGTATCTGATTAATGTTACTTCTAAAACGCTGATTCGCTCCAGCTAGTCCCCAGGCTTCCTTAGTCGTTAAAATTCAAATTGGGGGCTGTTTCTGTCATTTTGGATATCACGTGACACGGAGGAAGAGCTTTGTGCCCGGCCAGACCTCTAGACTGGAGAGGATATCAAGACTTCATGTGTGTCGAGAACTTTACACTAGCCTTGTGTTACGCGAATCGCGTCATTTCTTTATTCAGTATATACACATGCCAAAATTTCATTAAATTTGGTATAAAACAGCACTCATAAATTTTTCAGACTACATGATGCGTTCGCCCCACGGGCTTGTACTATTTTGTTTGCCTTAAAGAAATTTGCTGGCGATGATTTACACCAGACTGCACTCGAAATTAAATGATTACCTACACTATTTACGTACACGGAGATATTTCTCAGTTAAGCCGAGACTTTCGGAGATATTTTTTCCGCTTTTAGGCACCTTATTAGGGAACCATAGCGTAGATTTTCCTTTCCTTGAATTAATTTTTCAAATCGGTGGTCGTTTCTTTTCGTTTCTTAGCTATTTCTTTACGCAACAAACGTCTTTGTAATTTTTGTAGTCTTCCCGCATGCTTCAGGACTTTCCGTAATCACTAGTGATCGAGAAAAAAAATCTTAAAAACATCAATCTGAAGCTTGTGGTTGACCGCAGCGAACTCTGAGCTGACACTTTTATCAGGACTCAGTTCGGAAACGCGATAATGTGAAACAAAGAAAAATGACATCCTTTCATCATTAACGCTGGGATGAACAAATAAAAACAAAACAAAGTGACATTCACTGGACACCTAAGCGCATGTACTAGTAATTAATTTTAAAAGAGGTTTGAATGTTTCGGATATTATATGCTCCAGTAGATTTTAACTACTGGCATAGAAGTTTTTTTTCACTATGAAGTCCATTTTGTGGTTTGTATTCACGCGTGAGAAAAAAAAACAAGCATGATCCTCGCAGGTGTACTTAAATTTAAGAAGTTGCAGAAAAGGAGACTGAAAACCTTTTGTTTCGGCGGGATTCAAAACCTCGCCTCGCAGATTCTACTTGAGTGCTATTACGAATAGAGCTGCGAATCCGCACTTTGCATGGGAGAAATGTAAATTTTTGAGGTAAAAGTGTTTATCACATGGTAGAAGTTACTCATATAACTAAAAAAGTTCTTGTCTGTGCTTTTTTTCTTCATCAAATGATAAACAACTTGGAGGGAATGGACGCTCTAACCTGTACGATAAAATAATTTTTTTTTTTTTAAATGTAACTTAGATTGCAGCCAAGAGCCTCGACGAGGAATATCTCATCGAATTCAAAGATATAAATTATATTAACTGTAGAAAAAAATATGAAAAAGGACGACAAGAAAGTATCAGCAGGATCTTTTAATTTCCTGTCCAATAGAACGATGAAGAACAAGCAACTGACGCTTTTGGCTGTATTCGAAAACCGTTATCACAAGAGATTATTTACCATGGATCATTAAAAAATCTGGCTGATAATAAATTTGGCTGATACACTCACAAAACAAAAGATCGGCGCAAATGGTGCTTAAAGTTAATAACACTCAGTTTCACTTCAGTTTATGGGACGCGCACACATAGCAATCCTAGGATCCGCGCAATAACTAACTTTGATAACGATGTTCTTGTGGCTAAAGTCAGCGCATCAGTTCAATGAAAGTAGTTTTTCTAGCTGTGTAAATAGAGAGAACTTTGATCTGTTATGTGGTTGAGCTGAAGACGACCAGTTGACCAGAAAATGACAGTTTCGTCACAACCTGTCAGTCAAATCGACAAAATGGGGAATAAAACTTGCAACATTCGAAAAACGTGCATGAAAAGTTAATTAAGAGGCACATAATTGCTTCTTATATTAGTTTTTCGCCGTATGCCATTAAGGTAGAAAGGGTCATTTCACATGTAATTTGCTCAAAGGCTGTATTTCTCTGGAAAGACGCGACGCTCATTTTGAAAGCGTCTTTCTTAATGCGACGTCGATAGTTGGGATCTTCTGAGTCAACTTGCTCGGATCAAGATTAAGCATAGAGAGACTCCAATCAGGCTTCGGTTGAAATTTATCATGGAGAACAGAAGCTTCGAAGGAACAAACGACAAACCATGTGTTGCGGAAATGTCGTTAATTTCCTCAGCTTTTCTGATTTGTTTGTACGCTGTGTCCAGCATGACTTGCCTTTTTGGCAACTGTGTTGTCCTTCTTGCTATCTATCAAACAAAGACACTCCGCACTGTATCAAATTTTTTCATTGCCTCGCTCGCTGTAGCGGACATTTCAGTGGGTTTTTTCATGAACCCGATTCTGATTTCTAAAGCAGCACTGAATATTTGGCAAGGAAACCACTGGCTTTCAAAACTAGCTGACTTCATGTGGATTCAAACGACAACAAGTACTACTTTTAATTTATGTTCTGTAAGCATCGATCGATATGTAGCAATTACTGCAGTTTTCAAATACCACCGAATCATGACCCGCAAGAAGTGTTTCGCTGCATTGACTTTGATCTGGCTGTTTTCTTTCTTGTTTGCTTCTGTGAGACTTTTCATCGACAACTCAGCGGATCTTCCAAGACTTTGGATTTCAACTACAGTCTTAACAGTTATCATTCCACTCTTTCTCATCGGATTTTGCTACCTGAAAATTTACTGCGCGGCAAGGACGCAGATCAAGAAAATTGCTGAACGCAAGATAAGCGCGGAAGAAGCGAGATTGTCTGCAATGAACAGAAAAGCAGCGTGGACAGCGGGAATAGTTATTTTTCTTTTTGTGGTCATGTGGTTACCAAGCTTCTTGGCCTCCTGCATCGAGCTTACGACGGCGAATCGCTGTAAAAAGTTAGAAGTTGACTATGCGTGGTTCTGGCTCGCCTTTTTATGCTTTTGCTCATCAGCAGTTAATCCATGGGTCTACACGATAAGAGTGCCAGAATTTAAAAACACTCTGAGAAGAATTTTGGGTAGGAAACGAATGAGTAGAGAGCTTTCTCGGAGTATAGCTGCGAGTTTTAGGAATTCCAAAAGTAATCCGTCAGCACTTTAAATTTCTCGACACTCGAATGTAATCACAGTTTAAGGCTGTTAATGTATGTACAATGAATAAAACGGAGAAGAAAATTAATAATTATTCCTTAGAGATCTTAATTTTCATTTCATATTCGCTGTTCTTGATTTCTTGTGGTTGATCCTATTTGTCACACCTTGAATGCTGAGCATTTACAGCATTTTTATCAACGTTTTTTACCGCACGCCTATTCATGTCAACGTGCATATTTAAAACTTTAATTAGTAATAAAGCAGCTTTGCGGAATCTGTCATTCGTCTTTCTACGAACGACTTGTTAAACGGCAATTTTTAAAGCTTCATTTCCGAGAAAAAAAGTGAAAAAATTAAGTAATGAAGCTGGTTATATTGCATTACTTTAGACGAATATGATGTTAGTTTACATAATTAAAAAAGTCTACAAACTGATCAAATCTCTCCATCCCCACACTGAAGAATTTTCATTCAAAAGTTTCAGTCGTGTCAAATTATGTTTAAATCAACCTCAAAATATCCTTACAACAACTTATTTTAATACTGGATAATTTTTTCCTGTTTTTACAGATATATGATATTTGAACTAGCGGTATTGCTGCGGTGGTAAAAAATGTCGATGAATGATTATTCACTTGACTACAAGGCAGAAGTTTCTTCACTCCGACATACACACCGACGGAACTCACCGCAGTTCGCTTTCATGTCTCTTGCAAGTATTTATTTCGGGGGGTAACATGGCGGATATTAAACAGAAAAGATAAATCGCTCTATCGATCAGTTAGAAAATCAGAACACAACATTTTTTTAATTTTTACCCACGCGCAGAGCGAAGTAAGCCATTCCAAACGGTAAAAGAGGGATGTCTACTGATAATAATAAAATGATTGATTGCCGCAAACTTTTTTAATCAAATAGCATGTTAGAATTTTAAGGGAAACTCCAATTTAACTCCATCGATAAACCCCTTTATTTTTGCGTTAAAACTACAGAGATCAAATTTGACAGTTTTCGCTTAAAGTTTCGCGTAGGTTCAGTTTGCGGGTTGAAAGTTTGATCTCTCCATATCCTGCATTACCAACTTTTTAGTGAGTTTTATTGAACTAGCAAGCTGCACCAAGAATATTAAGACCTATTAATGGCGTAGGCGGTGAAAAGGACTGTCAACTAGGCGAAATCTGAAAGGGAAAAATCTGTGTGTTATGTTTAGTCCTCAGGCACTAGACTACGGACAGTCTTTTCTACGTAAATTTTTTTTCCGCTGATTATTTTTTAGTCGCGCGACAGACTTCGCCAAAAAAAAGGGGGACTACTGGAAGTCTAGTCAGGCGCTTATTAGCAGGTCAGTTCCCCTACGGGTCGTAAAACAAAAAGATAAGGCAAGCACTGTCTGTTCTCACCATTCTTAGGTGCCCGCTATTTCTTTTTGTCTAAGGTCGCTGAAAGGGAGACTTTTAGCCTGTTTGACTGAATAGAATGGTGGAGGAAAATAAGCGATGTAAATGTCTTTTTCAAGAGTTTCAATAATATTTTGCTAATAATTTCTATTGTGAGGAAATTTATTGATTTAGTGGGCAACATGGTATCTCGCTATTTCCTTAAAAGCACTTGAATTTTCCTTTGTCTAAAAAGGACCTTAGATCTTGAAAACACACCATTTGATGTTTCGTTCTACCCATACCTAAGGACGCTTACTATTTTAACGGTAGCCTATGCGCAGGTCCTCATCATTAGTATTGCTGGACGAGCGTTTCTTAGCCAGCGATAGGATTTGAGACGGGGTCTGGCACTAATAAAAACAGTGTCTGCGCAATTCTTTCGATACCACAACAACATCATACAACCTTATTTATTCAGGGTCGTTAACTAGAATGGCCTTCAGTTGATTTTGCTGGCTCTTTTACGCTCTTTAATTTGATAACGATGAGCAGTTTTTAGCAGCAGTTTTCCCGCGTTTATCATCAGGAACCCATGGTGATGGGCTCCTGTTGTCATATATTTTACTTTACGTGTTTATTTTCCCTCATTCCGTCTGAAAAATCACGATTCAGCACCTGACCTCTCGGTCAAAAAGTGTTCGTTTTTAACATTATTAGAATGTTTAACCATTATTTTAACCATTATTAGAATGGTTATTCATGGAAATTTTCCATGAATAACCATTCTATATAAGTATGGGTCTTCGCTTTGCGCGCTGCGAGCTCCGCTAGTATATTTAGATTATTTTGCTTTAGAAATGAAAATTGATACTTGGCCTGATGGAAATATATCTTCATGTAATTGCGTGGAAAGGGAAAACATCACGAGTGCAAGCAATCGTTTTGAAACTCGAGAGAACTCCATATACAACATCGGTTTGCGCGTGACTTTATACGTCACACAAATATATTTATATATATATATATATATATATGTATATATATATATATATGTATATATATATTGGAATATACTTGGAAAAAAGAACGCGCTATTTTCTATGTTCAAAAACTCTCTCCTAATTTTTCTTTACTCGAGAGTAATCGATGCCCACTCTCCAGTTTTTTTGCATTGATTCTTTAATTGTGGTTGGTTTTCATTAAATTGACGTGAACGACCATCGTGACGATTGCCTGAAGACTATGTAATATTTTAAACACCTAACCCTTAGTTGAAAAATCACTCCATAATTTAAGTTGTTAGCTTGATTGCTTTCAGCGATCACATAAAAAATTTGGAGGCGGTCGGTTTGCAGAGAAAATAATTTTCTTTTATTTATTTCTTATGTCTTTGTACAATCCTATTTTACATTTTTTTTTTTTTTGTATTTTTTTCTCATGCAAATATCATTTGACTTCCAATTAACAGATGTCTTATAGGTAGACATCGTCGCTCGGCAAAACAAACACAGAATATTCACTTTAATCATAAGAGCCTGTTCCCAGCCTAAGCTGTTTTCAAAGAAAATACTCTCTGTAAAATTTGTTTTCATAAAAGTTCTTTCCCTAAGGCAAAAAAAATTAATATTAATAGTTGTTTTATTTTTCCTTAAACGTAATCGCTGCTACCAAAAATAAATTTAATATTTAATGATATTCACTTTACACCTTGAATATAATGAATATGGAACTATGTTCAATTGTCAAGTTATTCTCTCGAAAACCTTAATATAAAGTAGGTTTTTCCTTTCCCTTTTTCTAGAATGAACAATTTAGTAACTGGCGTTTGGTGACCAATTACTTTGCCGCAAATGATCTTGTTTGCTTAAATCCCTGGGATCTCATCTTGGTTTTAAGTTTCTGTCTTCGCCGACCTCTGTTTATTGGCTTCATCGATATCTAAGAAAACGAAACAACAATGACTATGTCGGTTTATTAATTAAACAGGAACAAATGACAGTCATAACAGGTGAATTCAAAAATATGAATTTTCTTTTTCTTTCAGCCGCCGAAGCTTCAAAGCAAACTAAAACTAGACAGTTGCTCCACCAGTTACAAAAATCACCCAAGACTATGAACGAAACAACTTTCCCTCCTGCGATTTCTGCAAGATCTTCGCAATTCATTTTTCTCGCAGCGTTAAGCTGTATTTCTGGAGTTTTATCCATTTGTGGAAACACAGTGGTCCTGATCGCCATATTTCGCACCAAATCTCTACATACCATCTCAAATTATTTTATTGCATCGTTGGCCGTTGCTGATCTGATGGTGGGAATTCTCCTCAACCCCATCTTGGCTGCGAAAGCCGTCATTTTCAGCTATCTGGATCCCGAACGCCCTCTAAAAGGGTCTGTATTCGACAAGGTGGAAGACTTTGCGTGGATCCAAGCTGTTGTTGCGACAACTTTCGGCCTGACCGCCATTAGCATTGATCGCTATATCGCTGTGAAATTTGGGTTCAGATACGAAACCCTAATTACTCCTAAATTCTGCCTCCTTGCAACAGCTTCTGTGTGGCTCGGCTCGTTCGTCTTTGCCAGCGTTCGGCTATTTCTTGATAAACCCCAAGATTTATCGACACTTTGGCTCATTATGGGAGTCATAACATGTATTTTTCCGACTCTAATCATAACATTTTGTTACATGAGCATTTTCAGGGAAGCGAAACAACAAATTCGGAAAATCAAACAAGAAAGCTCACTTGCAGCGAGACAAGAACAAACGCGTCGTAATAACCCGGCTCGTGTTAGCCACACGAAAACTGCTTTTACAGTTGCCATTGTGATTCTACTTTTTATAATTCTGTGGGTTCCAAGTTTGGCCACCGCGGCCATTCAGTTCAGCCTATCAGGGTCAAACAAACCTAAAGATCAAGTAACTTTGGTGAAATTAGAGCGCGAAGTTTGGATGTGGGTGTCCTTAGTGGCTTATCTGAGTTCAGCAAGCAACCCTTGGGTCTACTCTATTCGTTCCAGAGAATTCAGAACTGCTTGTAAGAAAATTTTCAATTTCTTTGGGAGCCATTCTAGAGTGGAACATTTCTCTGTAACTGCAAGCGAGTTTACTGTTGGTTTATGAAACTAGACAGTATCTAAGTCGCCTCACCTACTGAAGACGTAAACGTTTGCATGCTGGAATTGAGATTTATTAGCTCTAAATTTTAAAAATGTAAGAAAATTAACCCTTTCTATGTTATTTATTTGCCCCACTGCAGAGGGATAAAAATAGATCAAGACATGATAACGAGAAAAACGACTCACATCCCACGTCGGGAAAACAAACATGTCTTTTCTTTTCGTTCCATTTTTCAATAAGCAAAGTCAGGATGCGTTCTATAATCGGTCTTAATCCTCTCAATCATTTGTCTTACCGCTCCTTTGGGTATCCTCTTTATTCTTGGATGGCTTAGCGTAATCATCGAAAAATTGATTCACAATGTTGTAATGGTTCTTTTTTTCGCGATTCCCATTATTGCTTTCGTAATAGGTGCCATTAAGTATGCGATTTAAGGAGAATCATTCGTTGAGATTACAAGGTAGAGTCAATAGCTTTATTATTTTCTAAATAGTAACCAAAGAGATCGTCTCATGAAGATAGCTAATTTTTTATATATAAATATAAAAGATGCTATAATATTTCATCTTCTTTGTAAGTTTGGAAAGATCACTGAGTCAAGACATTGCAAACATTCGTAAAATACGTTCATAGCCATTTAGTCAGTTGATTTTCAAAGCTTTTTTTTTTCATTGACCACAAAGCTCTTCATTAAAAAAGCGCATCACGTACCTGTTCCATAGTTGAATTCGCGCTTGCTGGTGGCCAATTTTTAAAAATGAAGTAATTAATGTTAAATTTCAGTGTTTATGGGATAGTCCTTTTGAAATAAAAAGCATTTCTTATCATCAAAGCAATCGCGTTATTGGAGTCGCAATAAAGCGTTCGTTTGATAGTTACAGTGATTTTATTCTCTCAGCTTTCGCTTGAAATCGTTTGTTACGTCTCATAATTTAACCAAAAATTAGCGCTTGACGCCTATGACATCTGTCGACTGAAGCTGCAAATATTTTAATGATGAGTTGTTCTTAACTGATCCTGATCCCATAGACATGCTAATTTTTTTCATCTGTTTTGTTATGATCAGTCACTTTTTAATCAGTTTCTATTTATTCATCGTTAGCTGTCAAATGCAAGAATCACCTGCAAATCTGACGTGTTAGGAAATAGGCCAAGGTGTTTAAGCTACTTTTGATAGCTTACAGCAATGTTCTATTGAACGTCTGAAGTCATTCATGATTGCCCTGGATTTTCTTTTCAATGCTCTGTGATTGGTCTATAGGGATCTCTCACCTGGCTCTACACCAACAACACCAACCATATTCACCAACAACTAGCAGAAGATTTCTCTTGCAGACAACTAACTTCGAATTCCTTAATAAACCTTCCATACAAACCTTATATTAGGACTAAGAATAAAATGTTAAGCTGACGTTACTATGTCAAACCATCTTGTCCGTTAATTTTTTTGTTGGAACACATCAAGATAGCTCGTAATAATGAGTGGAAGCTTTAAGAAATTAAATAATAACAAGAGACTGACTGGACTCAACATGATTATTAAGATCTTAACCTGAACAAAATTGCTATCTATTACCTAACTGCACTAAGCAGAGTACAAAAAGCAGAGTACAGATATATCCAGCGATATAATACACTTGGTTATTTTGTGTTGTAAAAAAAAAACCTGTCAACCGTTCAGCTGCGTGTGCTACACTTCCCCCTCCTCTTTCCTTTCTCTCGCCCTAGAAGAATTGCATATGAAATAAAGTAGTTGAATAATAAACAGCTTAGTACACATTTTGGTGTGAACACCTTCCCGAAATGGTTGGTCTGATCCATTAGCCTCGCAAGAAAACCCTGTTTCTAGGATAGAAATCTCTCATTGAAAAGTTCATCATTGTTTTTAATCAAGTTTGACACCGGTAGATTTTAATTTTTATACAACGGAAAGCCTTATAAAATTGTCTACAGAAAAACTCTTTATCTGATGCACTTTTTTTTGAAGCAATATTTTATAAAGGTAAAGGAAAACCAATGAATCGTTTGAAATTGTGAATTCTTGAAAGATGAAATCATACGAACCGACCGACTTGGACCGGTACATAACCTTTTTTTCTGCTGGTTTGCTTTTTTTCGGCGTTACCGCGAATGGTGCGGGAAATATTCCGGACCGTGATCCGTATTGCAAAAAGCTGCACTGGAAAACAATTATGTATAGCATAGTGGAGCTTCAAGTGCGCGCTGCAAAGCAAAACGCGTGCACTACACTTACACACTATAAAGCCGAGAAAATTTGTTAGCGTGACTGTACGTTCGCAGGAACAAGTTGCTCTAGTAAGTATACGTGAACAATTGTACTTCAGAAAACAATTATGTATAGCATAGTGGAGCTCCATGCCTACGATGTTGTATTAAGAAGAATGTAATTCTTCCTAAAAAAATAGGCTTATAATATGTTACAATCAAAAGTGAGACAGTCTAGGTTTTCGGCATTTTGAAAGATGTGACAAGAAAACACCGGAGAGTAACCAACAGAAAAAGCAGAAAACATCAAAGACAATCGCTAACTTCAGGTTTCAATAACACATTTTAATAAGAATGAAAGGTATCCACCAAAAATTATGATCAGTGTAGCTTATATTACACGCATAAAATGAAATAAAATATTGAGTCTCAATTTTTCTTCCTGTATAGCTTTTTCTTTTTGGGGTTCTCCCAGACTCGTTTGTTTGACTGAGGCTGACGTCTGGGTGGTAATCTCCATGAAGCCTCTTCAGCTTCTTTCCATTCTTTGTAAGCTTGCCTGAAAGGAAAAATTGCAGCAAGCAAATTAAGCAAACCCAGGGGTTTCAGGGAACAGTGATTATGTATCGCCTGAGGTGGGGGGGGGGGTGGAGGATTGGGAGGGTAAAACAGTTTTTAGGGGGGAATATAGAAAATTAGTTGTCAGTTAACTGCCAGTGAGGGGGGAGGGAGGGGGGTCATGCGAATAATAAAAAACCTTATGGGGGCATCAGGTAAATTTTATCGTGACATAACCAGAATAATCCGCCGACAAACCTTCACCCCTCCCCTCAGCATTTAGAAAATTGCGAAAAAAAAAACAAAAACGTAGAGGCAAGTGACTGAACCTGTTGTTGAGTTTAGTGAAAAGTGCAAAAAACCGATGAAAAATTGCTCTTTTAAAGTTTACAGATGAAGGTAAAGTATGGGGAAAATTTGTTAAAAGTCGACTTACAAGCGCTCATTTGTTTAAGAAGGTAGAACTAGTGGTTTGTCGAAAGAGTTGCCTACAATCTATGGGTGTGTTTTGATATCTTAAGCAAAGTTTTCGTTGATTTTTCCCTTCTTCTACTCACCATCTTCGCCAGATCGACTTTACAGGCCACGAAATCAACTTGTAAACGGCGAACACAACAAAGTTCATAGCCAATACAGTTGAGACCGTATAACCAGTTTCACGCCAGGTCGAGATCTTAATGTGGGTTTGAATACCCAGCAAATGTTCTGTTGATAAACGAACAGAAAAGAACATGAAAGAAATATTAAAAAAATCGAGTTGACTTTCCTATTTTTCGGATAATACAGGAATATTTCAGGGGGTATTCACAGAAATCCTAGGGGTATTTCCCATAACGCTTTCTACTCACTGTGTACATATTGCTTGTAAAACTTGATGGCAACTTCAACTGTCTCCAAAACGTATTCGAGCGCAGGTTCAAGAGGTTTACAGTTCCTTTTAATTGCTTTCCATGACCAGTCTGCTAGCCGTTTCACTTCTCTCCATGCCCACTCGGCCAACCGATTCGATCCACTCCATGCGTTCTCAACTAACCATGTTGCATTTTCCTTTGAGACACCGACCAACCATTCAATTTGATCCCTTATCCATTCCATTCCGTTCCAGGTCAGCTCCGTCAGCCGTTTAGTATTGTTCGAATACCATTCAATCAACCACAAACTTCTTTCGTACACATATTCATCTACCCACATCATGGTTACAAAAACCCATTCCGCTAATGCTTTCAGTTCTTTCCAGATTATACCGACCCTTTCCATCAATCCTTTCCAAATTCCACCGATCCAGTCCAACATTTTTATCCAAATTTTACCGGCGAAATTCAATAACCATTTCATTGCGTTCCAAATGTTGTTAACTGTTGTTCCAACGCCGTTAGAACAGATTTTCCAAATTTTAGCCATTTTTGTGAACAAAAAGCTCCAAGTATTTTTTATCATCGTTGCCACCCGCGTGATCAGTCCTGGTTCTTTCCGTTTGAATACTTGGTACTCAGAGCACGTCATGTTCCCAGGGTACTCAGGTAGTTCTTTGCACTTGAGAATCTAACAGAAAAACGGGCGAAAAATTTATGGTTACTATAGATATCTAAGTTAAAAAATCAAAATACATCACTGAGGAAGATTTTGCGTTTGTTTCTTACTCTATATATCCTCTGGCTCTTTTCGGAAAAGAAACTTATAGCAAAGAAAATAGAAGGAAATACCATCCTGGTGAAACGCAATATTTGCAGATGGAAAACTGCATTGAGAAAGAAATTCTGAGTAGTGGTCATATTTATACCTTTCCAAGGTTCGGTGGATCGTTTCCGAAGGGTGGATCGTTCAAATCTTTGGAGCCTTCAGGGAAAATCAGTTTCATATCCAGATCCAGCGACAATACCTGAATCCTTATTACATATTCCTATGAGGAGGGAAAGAGAGACATATTAACTCACATTCAGCCTACTGATTGTTATTACGAAATTCGATCGTTAGTCGGTAAAAGAAACATGGATGATCACAGTGATCATTTTTCTTAAATCGAATCTGACAAATCAGAAACAAAGTTGGTTACAATTCAAGCACGGTATACATTTCGGTGAAGTACGTCGAGTAAAAATTACTTGGGCTGTCCACAACCGCTGAACTCATTACAGTTGCAGATGTTGTTCCGAAACTACTGACCAACCTTTTCGTTCCAAGTTCCGACTACGGACGTGTCCTCGTTGAAATCTTCGAACGGTAGCTTTTGCCATTCAATGGCTTGAAAATCTTCACGTGCAAAATAAAAATATATCCATCAGCATCATCATTATTTACCAACTATTTCTTACAGTCATACCTATTAGGAATACATATATGGACGTAAAAGTTTTTGGTAGAAAAAGAATTGTGTGTGTAAATAGAAAAATAACCGTTGAAGCGCGCGTTCAACAGGTTCAAGAAAAAATAAGCGCGCCCTGCACAAGGTTCACATCCAGGTCAAACGCGGCTAAAATCGATGAAAGCAGCCATGCCCACACAAACATGTTGTTTCTCCCGAGAAAGTGTGAAAAGTTTGTAAAATGCCCCGTTAGCAATTTGGAGACTGGTTGTAGATTACACTCCTCTTATAATTATAAATTCGTACTTTATTACGAACGATTCACCAGAACAAATATTTATGATAAATACTGAATTACTAAATACGAACTCGAGAGACTAAAAATGTTCAAATGCGATAGAAAAGAGCGAAAATTCATAAGAAAAATTAGAATACTTACAAGGTCCGTACGGCTACTCCGAAAAAACACAAAAAAACTAACTTACAAGAAAATAATGCTAACTTTTATACTTATTTGAACCAGGAAAGAATACAGCAAATGAACTTATGTAACTAACAATAAACGATTACGTAACGCGACGCCGAGAACAAAAAAACTACGAATACTTTGAACAACAGCACTAAAAACCAAACTTTACGTGATGAAATAACTGGAATCATTAGACAACAAAGAATTGACAAAAAATTCGCGGAAGAATTTACTTCTCGTGGCTACGCTGTTGAACAGTCTCTTTTGAAGCAAATGAAACCTGATAGCACCGTAAGTCATTGGGAAACGTTTTACGGAAATGAAAGTGAGGATTCTTTCACACATTTTCTGTTCCGAATTGTCGTCTGCAAGAAAAAAGTAACGCCTTTGAAACATTTGAGAACAGCGCTGGAACTTACCTTCGTGTTTTCTAGCATATGTAAGCGCTGTTAATTGAAGCAAAATTGCCATCACAGTAATCAAAATCACAATCTTTCCCATTGTTACCACACGTTTTTCCTCTCACACAAAAAAACGCACGGCTTCGATCCGAGAAACAGAGCGAAATGATATTTTGACGTCACAGTTTCAGTTTATGACGCACTTGCGCGAGACAAGTCGGTCCCAGACTCCTCGACTTTTCTTTCTAGTTTTCGAGAGAGTCTTATTGTGATTTTTTACAATGCAAGGAATTCTGTTCGTTGCCTGCCCAAAAAAGAAAGGAACAAATTATGGTAAAAAAATTCAAACAACTTCTTTAGGCTTTTTCTAGTTTAATTAGCTGTTGTTTTTTTTTTCCTTTGGGGAATGTTTTATTTGCCCAAACATGGACGTGGTTAAACTGCACTCTTTGGATGATATTACTTCATTTAATACACAAAAACCTTTCAATGACTTTTTAATACTGTATATATACAATCTGTCGATGGAGTAGCCTAAAATACACACGCACATTTAGCGAGTTGCGTAGTATTTTCCGAGTTCCCGAGGAATGAGAAAAAATTACCTTTTCGGGTATTTTGGCTTGTAACGTTCCTTACGGCCTTATCTGAGCATCGTATCGATCGTATAAGGCATATGCGAAAGACGAAAACAAGACAAAAGAAACCACTGAAGTGTTCCTTATAACCAGCAAAACGATTTGATGCCCAAAAGTAAAGTTCGTTGCTTTGTAATCCACTATGGAATAACTTCAGAAAAATTGTAAGGATTTTGATATTAAGGTGTTCTGTAAATGAACTTAACAACTGCGTTTGTATGGTGCCGGTAGTTGATGACATCTGTTGGGGGGAATTCTGTTCTAAGTAATTGAACCAGCTTTCCAGAGTCAGTCCTTGAAAACAGTTAGAGCATGCTGTATGTCAGGCATTATACAGAGTCCTAGTCAAAAGTGTGGTTCGTAAGTCGATGATGCTCAGCAAAGTGATTGTTGCCATCACCATTACTCTTCGCTTATATGTGATCAGTCAGTGTACATCAATCAGGGCTAAAACCCGAAATCCATTTCGTTTTCCAGACCCTGTCGCTCGCGATTTCAATTTCCTCCGAAGACGGGCTTTCAGCCTCCGGTTCAAGGTCTTCTGCCTTGAATGGAACCTTCTTCTTCATAAATTTTCCATCAATTTCATGTTGCGTTCGACGTTAGGAAAACGCATACTATTCGTGTTGCCTTTCTCTGGATGCTAAGCATTTTGGAGGTTTGAGCGTCATCCTGGATTTCCTCTTCCTTCGTTGTTCCACCTCTTCCTACTTAGCAATTATTCAACGAAGTGAGGGTGAATATCTACTACTTTCACTGGCACTGTGGTGAATAATTGTTTGAGAATATACCACTCAGAAACCCAAAAATGAGTATATTTCTGTAAAAATGCCTTAAATTTCTGGAAATCTAAGCTCTCGGCGGGCGAATTTGTCTCATCGGCTGCCCGGAGGTAAATAGTACTTGCTACGGCACGTTCGACCTCGCCAATCAGCGCGCGCGTAAAGTACTAAGGGGAACTGACTGACCACTTAAGTAGGTGAAATGCGAGAGCTTTAAATCGTGGTCCCGCGAGTTGACTCCCATCGGTTTGGATGCAATGGGAAGGTAAGTAGAAAATTTGCAGCCATTTGATAGAACGAAATGAGTTACCACAAATCAGAACTGTGGGCCACGCCAGCATTCGATGTTGGAAGATTTGATTATACACGAGACATGAATATGCATTCTTAAGCTAGATCGAATGCACTTTACGTATCCATGATTATTAATTTTTTTACTCGCAACATTATTTTTCATGAACCTTTCTACGAGCACCTACAGGGTTCTACAGAGACGCACTTGGTCGAACAATGAGATCATTGAGCCCCCAGTGTAGTTTACCAGCAGACTATCTGGGAAAATTGTGCGCCATTTGTGCTAAATCAAATTTTATTTGCCAGGCTGCCAGGCGTCGATTCCAGTACACAAATTTACATATCATAACGACAAGAGAAGCGAATATAACGCGGTTACGGGATTGTCGGAGAGCTTTCGAAAGCGTGTGTTCGTTTTCGTTAAAGTGTGGTTCGAGAAATATTTCTCTGGATGAGAAACGGCGGCTAAAAATCCCCGTATCTTTGTGGGCAACATGATATGAAAAGGAAGTGACGTCGTAAGGGTGGGCTTCGAAGCAAAGTGTGAGTGATACTTCAGCGAAGTTGTCTGTTTGCCGTCCTTAAATATCGCCGCCGCAATCCGATAACGCCGTATGACAGTGCTGTGTGCCAAGCCGACGTGGTATTTCGTAAGATTTTCTCCATGTTGATAGCTCTCAGCGAACGATTTTTGAGGGACGTTCTCGATGGATCGCCACCTACGTTCATCTACGGCAAGTGTGAATGGCGACGGTCACTGTTATTACGACAATGAATCGAGTTACCAAGATACAGGCGTCTACGATTGTGATGGCAATATGTTGCCAGACTTACTGGATTCTCAAATAGACAGTTCCCTAAAAGGATTGGACATGGGTGCCATAAAGAAAAACTCTTACGATCGAACTCGAGCTGCGATGGCGGTAAGACCAAACTTTATTTAAGGGTTGTACAATTGGAAGTGCTTTTATTTCACAAGACATTTCGATTGATCGATTGAGTTGTAGTTGAGGGTTTAGTGTTGATCCATTAGTATTACTCATTCATCAGTGTTTCAGTTTCCCTGGCAGGAAACAGCTGTAGAGGCAGTAATATTGTGGTTTGGCGTTTCTGTTGAAAGTCGATTTAGGGTTTTAACTTGTTCTGCACGAACTGATCATCTCTCGGGCGCGTGATGCAACGGAAATTTAGGTACGCACTTGAAATCATAACACAGGAACGCCGTGTTATGAGCGTATTGCTAGATTCTACATAGAAAATCTGTCGGAGCCGAAGATAGTATGACGGGCCTTTTTCATTGAGTTGCTACGAGTACGATGTTAAGATTCCCTTCGTGATAATAGCCTGCGATGGAAAATTCTTCTGTTTTCCATGTCAGCGTATAAATGAAGTGTCATAAAGGCGGATTTGATTAAACAAACATAAATCCCCAGATGTCAATTTTCCATGTGTCTGATATTATTTTGGAGGCATTAAATAGAAGTTCTTTTCCATTTCTCAACGGTAACAGCCATTACCTAAAAACATATTGTTAATGTTCCTAGAATCTTCTAACTGAAAGTTGATTTAATGGAAAAAAACAAGAATTGCAAAATCATATGTGCTGTTATTGAGAATTTAATCAGGGAAAAGTTTCAAGGAAACCTGAGGTCTATTGTCTTATCTCAACATCAGCTTTGTTGGGGTGTTAGTTTTAAACAACCTGTCAATAAATTGTGAATCCCTTGGAAATCACCGTGAAGAGCTTAATAATTGAAGATGGTTTGAGATAGTGACCTCCAGGAGTGCTAGAGAGTGTACAAAAATAGGACTTTGAATGATGAATAACTGGCAGTTTGCCATACTTCCAGGAATTTCAAATTTAATGACAGTGAAAAGTGAGTCAGATATTTTAGTCTTGTTTTAAATTTTCTTGAGCAACAAGTTGGACTCTGCAGGAATTAAGTTTGGGAGATAAGTTTGGAAGATATCAATGTAAGCTCTTGGATTTAGGGGATTAAAATAGCTCATGATTTCAAGATTACTGTTTTTTTCCTCTTTGTGTCTGCTTAGACAGGGTTTTCATCAAGAAGAGTATTAGTCAAAGAGTAGTTTAAAATGAAAAAGAATGCTCCATTTTTCTTGACTAAAAACAGCTCTGGATATCAAAACATACACAGAAAACTCTGCATAGTCAACAATTTTCTTATATCTTATGTGTAATGAATACTCAGACATGATATAAAATCTAAGAGGTTAGATGGTCAAGAGCTGTGTATTTAGTAGGACTTTTTGCATGCCACCCATGTTTTCATATTCTCTCTGGTCTGTAAAGACTTCATGTGATACCATTCAAACAAATCATGTAGTCAGCTTCAAGAGATAGCTGATTAAATGGGCAAATATTTAAATCACCTTTATTTAGAATTTGAGTTCAAAGGGAAGTGAAAGTACTATATTTTGTTTATTTTTCCTAATACAACAATGAATTTTTTTAATCAATCTGTTTGCACAGATTCATCACTAATGGGAAGTTCATGTACTGTGCTGTTGTTTTCTGATAGTTTATTTTCTTGCAAGTATCTTAATGACAATCTAAGATTGTGGCTAGAATTTGATGCCTTCTTTTAAACTTTTAATGCAAGGTATTTGTGGCATGTTTCTAACTTATCATAGTACACACATGTATATCTCTGAACACCTCTTCTAATTTCATTTTACATCAGTAACTGAATGAAAACCGATATGCAATTAGTTGCTTCTGAAAAAATTATTTCACAATCAGTAAGATCTAAGCTGATCGTCTGATCAACTTGAAACTTAAATCTAGGAAATACAAACTTAAGGGTGAAACATCATTTATAGGGATTTTAGGATCCAAAAAAAATTGTAGATTGTTGAACTCCCACTGGAACACACTGATTACCTTTAGTTTTTATGAATGCTTGTCTTAACCATTGAACTCTTATGAGTGACCAAGACTGAATTTCTCCTTACAATACTTATGCAGTGTCAAGCAGACAAGTAATGAGAATAAAGTAAAATATCAATTAGGGATTATCAGTTGATCCAGTACCAAGTTCTCCAAAGTAGCATTGTAAGAATTGTATGGCAGACAGTAGGGAGAATTACTAATAAGATCTTAGGAGTGAAAGGGCTAAGTGTGAGTGTCTTTTCATCACTACATGTGAGGGATATGTATTTATGAAATTCTTAATTTGCTTGATCTCAACAGGCAATAAATCCAATGCTAGCGAAAAAAGTGTTACCTCTGGTAAGTGGAAATTTTTCTACTGCTTTTTCTCCTCCTGCTATTTTTCAGATAGACCTAAATGCAATAACATTGTTATAGAAAAAAGCAAATGCATAAAACTGAAAAGGAAAAAACCAAATAGAAATTAGCATATTGAAATACCCTCTAGCTAGAGTACATGCCCGGCAGCCAAACAATTCTCACATAATTTCCACTGAAAAATTATTTCAAACTTCTTGAGAGTCTTAAATGTTGGGTTAGAATTTTCAAGAAGTTCCAAAAATAGAGAGAGATGTTTTTCATCTTGACACGAGTATTGGACGAAGAAAAAAAATTCTGAGTCCCCATGAGGAATCAAACCTCAGACCTTTAGATTCTGGGTCTGAGGTTCAATTCCTTATGGGGACTCAGAATTTTTTTCTTTGTCCCAAGCTCGTGACAAGACAAAAAACCTCTTTCTCTATTTCTTTTACAAGCCCAAAACTAACCATCTCTCTTATTCTATGTACAAGTTCCAAAAAAATAAAAAGAAAATTCATGCTAGTGCCGTATGCTATATGCTAACTAACTTGAATTTGGCTTTTTCTTATTTTTCTATTTTGATTTTTTATGACATCTTTACTACAATTTGGTGTAGATTCGTAGTGACTTGAACTACTGTACTGGGCATTGCCTTTTTACTTCTGAACAAGCTTTAAGAAAAATACATTTATGTTTTTAGCTGAATTTTAACTACCACATCTCCTTGATCATTTTTTGTAACTTATAGGAATCATCCTTTGAGAAAAGTAAATTTGTTATTTTTTGTGGTGGCTTAAATTAAAAGTGGTTTTGAGAAATTCTTATCAATGATGTAAAAATCAATTTAAGTTGTGGTTGATGACTTTTGGGTTTGTTATTGTATGACTACTAGAATTCATAGCTCTGCAGACAAATCCTTACAATGCAGACAAAATGTCTGGAGGTGCCAGGACTATGTCAACACATCCAGTTTTCCTTAGGATATCTATGTTTTGAAGCTGAGAGACATGTTTGAAAAATGAACAGCAGTGGGTACACCTAATTATGGGAAAAATCTTTATCATCTTCTTGGATGTATTCTCAAATTAAGCAAATGTTTCAAAAAGTACTGCAAAGAAACATACAAAGCTTGTTCTGTTAGCTGGGTCGTGTGTTGACAGGGTGTCGTGGCAGTTCGGCAAAATCAGTTGATGGAAGTTTCTAGGTGTGTTAAGTCATAGAATGTAATTGTGGGACATGAAACATCAATTGAAAAAAGGATTGGAAGAGATCACACAAAGTAGTCAATTTTTTTTAAGCCCAAAGAAGTACACATCCTATATTCATGGTTTATTTTTGATAAATTTTATTTGTTTGGGAAGGTTAGAACTTTCCTAATACAAGTCACTGTTCATATTAAGAGTCAGAGCTCCAAACAATAAATTCCCCAATTTTAAATCATAAATTTTGTCTTTTGATGTTCACTGTTATTTATTTCTTTTTAATCTCAGCCAAATGAAGTGACAGTAGAGGAAGCCGCAGCAATTAGTATTCAAGCTTATTTTAGAGGATATTTAGCCAGAAAGCTTTTTGTTCAGCTGCTCTATGAAAGATTCATCAAGGTTGGTTAAAAACACAAATATGTCAAAAGTACAGTTCTGCTTGGCTTTACAATTATAGCAATGTTGTCAAGTGATCTGCCATTTGTTTTGCAAAGTTCTTTGAGGCACCCTTTTAATCCTTAAGCTCTCAGAAGTAACTGACCAACACAGAAATTCTTCACACATTATCAATACAAGATCAAGGAGACAAGAAATGAAAATAAAGAAAAACATCAACCAGGGGATTAATAATTGATTCAATACCAAATTCTTAAAACTAACATCATAAAAATTGTACAGCAGATGTTAAGGAGAATTACCAGTGAGATCTTGGGAGTGAAAGAATTAATTTCAAAAAATTACTTTTCTGAAATAGTTTAGTTTATAATTCAGTGCTTTTTTTTTGCTCGAAATGCATGGTAAATTCAGTATTAAGCTAGTAGTTAAGTGGCCATCATGTGTACTATGAGTGATTATTATTCAAATTATATGCATCCTACTAATGTTCCTTTGATGTGTTTATACATGTACTTTAAAGAGATAAAGATCACTTTTGAAAATTGAAGGAAAATGATAAGATTTCAAGCTTGCACAGAATCTTGCTCTTGGTTATTTTCAAATATTTTTTAATAGGCAATAATGAAGCCTCCTACTCCTTAAGACAGGGATGTTGTTTAAATTTTAGCTCTATCTGTTGAATAAACAAATGAGGATTGTACATTATGCCATATAGCCATTGCTTATTCACTTTAACTTGCAAATTTTATTCAACAGTTTTATACAAATTATATTCAGTCTGGGGATTGTGAAAACTTTAACTGAAATGTCACAGATAATCTAAGAAAACAATTACTCTGTGGTAATTTCTGACTGATAAGCCCTCTAACTAGAATTGATTCAGACATCTCCTGAGTGTTTGTTCAGGTTGGAATATCCTTTAGTTTATTTTGTTCAGTTTTCTCATAAAGACTGTGGCAGCTAATTTAAATTGGAATTGAATTTTGTTTTGCTGTATTTGATGGATGTTGTTCTTTGTGATAACTGTAGGAGGAAGAAGAAAGAGAAGCAAAAATGAGAGAGCAAGTGGAAGAAGGAGAAATTTTGGTGGAAAAGTGAGTAGAATGGATGATTTCACCATCTCTTTTCAATGGTTAATGGTTCATTGTACAAATTTATCTTTAAACACAAGGCCATGGATGGATATGTCTGCAGGGTTATTCAAACGTATATTATCACATTTTGATTCAGATGTTCTTTAAATGACCGAAAATAGATTTTTTGTTAAGTTGCTACCTTCGTTATGATACAGAATTTTTAAGGAAGGAGATATATTTTATATCTGCAATTTTTCTCATGTGGTATTTTATTGGAGGGAAGACTATAATGATATTATGGCTCACAGTACATATGCTGTAGACACAATGAAACTGATTGAATTTATGATTTTAAGGCTATCCATTAGAGAGCATATTTTTCATGTGTGTTCTTATCCATGTTTTGTAGGAAATGTTGTTAAGTTGCTAATAAGATTAACATTGCAGAGTTTTTTCTAACTATATATGGTAGATCTTTCAAATTTGCTGCATCATAAGTTCAAATCTGCATAATCCCACTGGTAGCAAAGCTGGATTCCAATTTGTTTACAATTTATGTGACTAAAAAAGTCCATGAATTCAGATTTTATAGCTCAATACTAATGTTAGTGCATTAAAATGTGCACTGTATTTCTCAAGTTAAAACTTTGAATTTTGGTTCACTCCAAACCTAATTTGAGTCTTTTTTTTGGCTTCATTTTTAGTATGAGAAGGATTTTTTCCATAAGCTTTTTGATATTTTGTATTAAAATCTCCTTTTATTGGCAGAATATCATTGAGGAAGATGTATAGAATTTTTGATATTGTACAAGATAAGAATAACATGCCCTTATTTGGAAATAACTTTCTAGATTTTTTTAAGCTGGCTGTCCTTCAAAAAAGGTGATTTTATGAGTTGCTTCAAGACAGCAATTTGAAAGTCGTGTTTTGTGTAGGACCTGACTCTGAACTGAGTTGTAAATTGTTGAAAATATAAAGGGAATATTACATCACATCCAAAAATAGTACAGTGAAAATTTTTTTGACCGTTTTGTCTGGGGCTTTTATGGTAAAAAAATAATTGAAAATTTTCCCATTTCAAAACCATACAGTGTCAATTTTATTATTAACATTTTGATGTATCAAACTTGAAATTATAATGCATGTAAGGGTTATAGAATAAAACAAAACACAGAGGGTAATTTTTTTTTAATCAACCACAAAATGCCAAAAATAACATGGGCTGAGTTTATGGTGATAGATTGAAAGCAAGATTTTATTTGTAATACTGGTATGTGGTGTTTCTCACTTTGTCATGTCCAGACATGTGAATATATTTAATTTTAAATAACCTCATATGTGGTGTTTCTCACTTTGTCATGTTCAGACATGTGAATATATTTAATTTTAAGTCACTGTTCTCATTAATGAATTTTTCTGTACAGAAACAGTCAAATTTCTTCATAATGTTTTTTACTTTTATTTTAACAGCTATCGCTTGAACCTTGAAAAGGAAGAAAATACCTGTTTGCGCAAAAACCTCCGGCGAGGAATTGAATGTGATGTTATAACGTGAGTTTCATTCTTTTAGGTTTTTATCACCTAAATCTGACGTCCTAAATTATAATAAATTTTTCCTTGTATGAAGAGTAAATATAATTATTTCAAATTGTTATGCACATACTGAAATTCAATTTTTCCCAGAGAAACATTTTTTGAGCTCAAAGCAGCTTTTGTTCTCTTCCTTTAAAGTCTTGGATTTGGGTCGTTAAAGGGGCAGTGACTTTTGAATTTTGAATATACGAAGTAAACTAGTGTTAAGGGCTCATGCATAATTTTTCCACTCAAACTTACAGTGACATGTAATGACTCTGTAAGATGCAATTGTCTTAACTGTTAATGCTTTCTTGTTATCAGTTCTTTTAATATCATGATTTTCTATAAATGCCCCCCCCACCCCCCAAAGAATTGCTTCCCCTAAATAAGTGCCTCATTTTAGTGGCCAGGGGAAAATTTAACAAATGCAGCTGCACTTAAAGGGGTAAATGCAACTGTTATAGTTATTAACCTTTTACACCTTAAATTAGTATGCATTTTCTTCATAATGTTCTCTATGTATTTCTTAACTTGTTGACAAGGAGGATTTCTTTAACAATCAAGGGCTTCTTTCGGAGGCGAGTGTGGCCTAGTGGTTAGGGTGCTGCACCTGTAAGCCGGAGGTCCCGGGTTCAAGTCCTCCTCCCTGCCACTGGATGGATTTGTCTTCGGTGGCCCCGAATTCAACTCCTGCATGCTTTGTAAATAGCCAACTGGTCTGCCTCCTACCAGTTGGGGTTTTTAACGAGTTTCTGTTCATTTTACAATTCATGATCATCTCCTTTTTTCTTTTGACCTTAATGTTTGATTCAAGGGTGATGCTTGTAGGAGAAATCCCTTAGGGGTCAAAGAGTTAAGAAAAAACTATCAGGAAACTATCGATGTTTACAGTGAGGTTAGGAAAAATTAGAGGGTGCCATCTTTCTTATTTCTACTCATTTTAATTTGTTGAAGCATCCAAAGAGCCTGGAGACAACATAAGAAACAATCTCAAGATCAGATCGTTGTCAGACAAGGGACCACAAACTCACACGACATGCCAGGTTTTGATGCGGCATCACAACCGTTTTTTTCCACTCCAGACATGGGAAGTTTACATATAAGGACAAACCCATTTATGAAGAGTGCAGACAATGCTTCTTTTTGCGATGACGATAATCTTTCGGATGTTTTCAATGACAGCCTTGAACAGGTAGAAGAGGAAAATTTTAGAAATACTCAAGAACATGGACCTCATAGACATGTTTTATATGATGGCAATCATGTCTTAGAAAGAGACACATTTAATGATGAACTACCTGGAATGGATTCTGTCAGCTCACCAGCTGAGTTGCCATCACCAACAACTGACTGGGAATCAATAGAATCATGTCTCACTTCAGAGGGTGAAACACAGGACTTCGAAAGCAGTGAGCTACCAGACACATCCAATGGAAGGCTAAAACACTTTTCCTTAAAACCAAATGATTTGCAAATATGCTTTGTTGACGATACGCTCCTAAGTGACGTTGAAGGGGATGAAGATGGCTGTGTCATAAAAGAGTATATTATTGAAAAACAGGATGTTTCAGATGAAGAAAAACGAGATTCGGGTTGCGTGGCAGGTGATGATGAGGCATCGGAGTCCTTTAGTATTAAAACAGTTAGACCAGAAACACTGGAAAGACATGAAATATCTCAGGAGGAATCTGAGAAAGTGTTGATAGAACTGAGAAAGCAGGACAGTGAAAATGAAAAACAGGAAAATTATGCAAATGTAATGCTTGGATGGACTGAAGAGAGGTTACAAGAACTAAACTTGGAAGAACTGCAAGCACTCCAGAAAAATATGAGTCAACTGATTGAAGGTAAAGTGATGTGGAAAATTCTAGGACTCAAGTGTTGTCAATGCATGAATTGAAAATATTTGATATTGAGCTTAATCACAGATGTTGAGTGATTCAGACAGGAACTGGAATTACAGATTTCTTAACTCTTTACACCCTTACATCAGTATTAATCTTCTCCATACTTTTCTATATACATTCCCTTTGGTACTGACAAGGAGAATCCATTTAACCCTTTTACTCCCAAGATCTAATTAGTAATTCTCCTTACTGTCTGCCATACAATTCTTATGACGTTAGCTCAGAGAATTTGGTATTGGATCAGCTAATAATCCCATAATTGATATTCTTCTCTATTGTCATCACCTACCTGCTTGATATTGTATTGATATTGTAAGGAGAAATTTTGTCTTGGTCACTTGTGGGAGTGAAAGGGTTAACAATCAAATCTTCTTAGATTGGTGATCATTTTCTTTGTTCTCATGATCTTAATGACTGATTCAGCGGCATTACTGTAAGGAGAAATTAGATGCTGGTCACTTGTGGGGTTTAAAAGGTTATGTTGAGGTTTCTTTTTTATTTGTATGCTACAAGTCTTCGGTCGTGAACATTTAATTTTCTTTGCTAAAACAAGGGTTTTCTTTTTGATTGGTTGATTCACAGTTCATGTCTCAAATAAAATTATGAGTGTCTTCTTTAGTTTTTGAAAAAACTGTGGTGCACTTTTGTTTTAATTATTTTGATGTTTGCTTCATAGCTCAAAATGAAGTGCTGGTAACTGAGTTAATGAACAGAGATGCTCTTCATCTTAGACAAGATTCTCTTCTCATGGATGTTGAGGATGCTTCAAAGTAAGTCATTGGTTATTTTGTGTTTGCTTGAGAACAACAAATAATTTTCATATTAATTGAAGATTTGAGTCTTCTTAGAAATGGCCTATTCCAGGTGCAAACTTGCAGAAAAGTCCTGGCCATCTAGGTTCCTTCACACAGTTCTAACATTCCTTAGACAAACTTGAAGCACTGTTCTTTTAAATCAACTTAACATTCCAAGTTCAAGGTGTCAAGAAAAAGTTTATTCACACAATAAACAATCAAGAGAAACAGTTAATTAAATTCAGTTCTTTTCACTTTCTTAAAACCCTATTCTGTTTTGTTTTGTTTTGCCATTGTTTTTTGGCTTTTTATTGACATGTGTAATCCTCTTTTCAGTTCAAAGTGATGAATCTATCTTGTTGACACTTCTTCAAGGCACAACTTATCATCTTAATCTAACATAAACATTTAAAAAATTAGACAAATTTCAGTTTCTTATGAGATCAGTACCAAATGTTAATGAATCTATTTTATCCTTGTTTACTTGGGGATATACATTGTAACATGTGCTTCACAAATCTTATCATCTTACTTATTAAAACATAAACAACAAATAGTAATTTCTTAGTGCAACTTGTTGTTTTTCCATTGCATTACAATGTAATCAAGTGATGGGCAACCTTTTCTAATTAATTTGTGTGTGAGAATGTTATCATTAGACCCTTAACCTCTACAATTAACAGAGGATAATTGTGTTGTTTGGCTAACTCTTAACTTTGAAAGTAAGAACTTCATAGATTATTTATTAAAACTGATTATTAAAAATTATTTATTATTAACTTGTATTCATCTTGTCTCCAAGATTTCTGCTAAACAAGAGGCTTAACCCTCCTTTTAAAACTGCTTTTAAACACTGTATCTTTTACTTAAAGTATCTTACAGATGCCGCAACTTCTTATTAGGTAAACATGACTGAACATTAAGATGTAAAATAATTTGTTTTCTTTATAGTCAGATAACTGGGCAACATTATTTTTATTTCTTTTGTTTTTGTTTGTTTATGTTAACATTCTTTGATTCTTCATTATTTTTATTTCAAACATCACTCACACCAGGAAACTGAAACATCTTCGAACAAAGTCTTTCTGAGTCTGGCTTCATTGGGATTACACTTCTGTGTTGTTCAGTAGGACAGATTTCATTAGCTACAAGATCTGGCACATTTTATTTGTTGTTTTGCTTCACTTTTTTGTTGTTTACTTTTGTTTATTTTGCACAGAACTGCACAGGCACAATATCAGAAGACACAGAAAGGCAGAAAGTGATAGTTCTTCTCTGCACCCTTTATTGCTCATGAACAATGTTATTTTTTTGTCCTGTTGATATTTTTGTTTTACTGAGAGTTGTTAGAGATACACAAATTATTTCAATTATCAGTGGAGCATGAAGTGATTGTATTTTATTTTTAATAAGTGAGGAAAAGGAAAAAGCTAGTTTATTTTTAAGGCTGTTATTCTTCCAAATGAAAGTGCAATTGTAATACTAGTAAGCAAATTGCTCTCCTAAAAATCTGAATAGGAATCCTATGAAAACTAAAACATTTTGACAGTTCTTACCCCATGTGATGGGTGTAGCTTATCTCTTAAGAGTTCCTCAGTGGTTCTGTATATCTGCTTGGCTTGCCTTGTAATAATTATCTTAGGAAATTACAATCAGTTTACACAAGTCACTAAACTGTTAAATTTATTATTAAAAATGGGTTTGAAAATAGTTTATTTTTGTATCATGTTTGTTAATATAGCTGAAGTTAAGGGTCAAAGATGTCTGGAAAGAGAGATGCGTAAAGCTGGTCACACAATAAATGCAATAATTATGTTATTGGTACTGCAAAGTGCTATTACCTAGACTCCTTATTAAGCAGACAACAGCATGAGTCACATAAATACTTCTTGATACAGGTTTCATTGTGTTGCAAATAGCACATCAACAAAACTATACTGAAAGAAGTCAAACCATTATTTATTTGCCAGGGTTGAATATTTTAACTATATCTTTTACAATAAAGAGCTTTCACAGGTTCTCATGATCAAACAACCTACTCAGGTTATTGTCATTTTGGATCAATATCAGTGTCTTAGCAACTGCACACCAAGCCCTCCCCTAATCCACTAATCCAACATTAACCCTAACTTCTTAACGGTTGACTGTTGTTAGGTTGGGGGATGCTTCAGTGTGTGGTTGCTCAGATACTGACATTAATCTACCTTTTTTTTTCTGCCTTCATGGGTACAAATTGCTCCAAAGCTCAAGCCTCCCTGTTGATTAAATTTTGTTTTCCTTTTAATCTGATTAAAAAGAAAAGTCTCCTTTGAAATTTATCCCACCCATTCCATGGTGTTTTTTTTTTTTTTCGGATTTGTAGTTGCTTCTTACACAGTTGCATATTTATCTCTCTTAACTCCAAACTCAGGCATGAATAATGGTTGGAACTTCCATTGCAGTCCTGGAATCTAAGATTTTTATAAGTGCTCATTAGTCACCTTATGGTGTAAGTAATCTCTCAAGTTGTCTTAACCCTATCACTCCCAAGATCTTACTTGTAATTCTCCTTACTGTCTGATACATTTCTTCTAATATTAATTCTGAAAAATTAGTGTTGGATCAAGAAAAAAATTTTCAGTCAATATTTTTCTTTATTCTCATCATTTGTCCTCTTGATATTGTATTTGTATTGTGAGGAAAAATTATGTCTTGGTTGATACAGGGAGTGAAAGGGCCCAACAAGCTCTTTCTTAATGGCAGACACTGCCATTATGTTTTTATGTTCACACTAGTAAGCCTTGCTGCTTCTGCTTATGAATGAACATTGTATTGATGTAACACATGTTATGAAGGTCAGCATTTGCAAATTGGGTCTAATCAAAAACCCAATTGAAATTGTTTATTTTTGGGAAAGAAAGGAGCTTTAGACAAAAGATAATGTTATTATAGATACTTAGTTGTAAATCATTGATTATTGTTGTGTAATGCTGTAAGGAAACTTCTATGATTGCCTCTTTGTTGCTCTCAGGTTAAATTAGTTTTTGACTTCTTTGTGTTGTTGTTTTGTTTGTTACTCACTGTTTGTCACTAAGATGTCATGACTCAACCTGACTTAAGTCATTTCTGGAATGCTTTGTGTTATATGTAGCTGTGGAGTTGCGCAATGTGTAGCATTACGATAATAGAAAAACTGTCTATGGCGCCATTTATTGATTGAAAGAAATAGTAATAGTTTAGAAACACTGTTGCAGTTTTTAAAGTAGATTTGTGCACAATGAAATAAATCGTTTGAAAACTAAAATGTACTGCTTGTGATAGTAGCCTGTTTTAATTCCTTTGAGAATGTGGCAGATTACTTGTAGAATGATTTTTGCGAGTTGTTTAATAAGCTATCGGAACAACGTTTTAGCATAGAATAGAAAGCAGGCCCCTTCAAAGTTCCCTTGCCCCTCCCTTGAGATTTAAAAAGGAACGACCTCGAACCAGTTTCCCTCGGTTACCAGAAGGAGGTCTCGGCACGACTATCCGTTTGAACTGTTAATTTACAAAGAAAATCCTCTACGCCTTGTGGTGACATAAAAATCTCCGGTTTTTGACAAATAAGTCTTACATCAATCATGTATCCAAATCTAAATCAAGTAACTGTAGAGCTATTAAGGTAAGATTTGAGAGAAAAGTTGTATATTGTCTTTGTGGAAATCTCCTTTTTGTTCAGTAACTGCAGCGGTTGGTTGGCGAAAGCCAGCATAAAGTTTAATCGTGACCAAATTTATTTTGTTTTCTCTTTATTAAAACAACAAAAAAATCAAATAAACGCTGTAGGAAACGAAGAGATTCAAGGTATCGTGCAGATAAAAAGTTTCACAGATATATACAGAAAATAACAACGGTAAGATTTTTCTTTTGTTGCATAACTTTATTGTATGTAAGTACTTTATAACGACGTCTCGCAAAGTTACTAGGAGTGAGCTTGCATTTTAACCAAGAGTAAAAATGAAATTGCCCGGCTTATTTCATGACATCAAGAGCTCAGGAGTTCTTTGAAGTTATTGATGTACACGCGCCAACATGCGCATAAACAATCAGCTGAAGGTGTACAGATTCGTTCATCTCGTAAATGGTGTATCCCAACAAGTTACGGAGATTCGTGAACTTTAAGACATGAAAGCATTGTTTGTGCATCACTATCGAGATACAGCCTTGATCTGACAATTTTATCGTTTGTGAATATCCTATTTTTTAATATATCAGAATGCCTTCAATGAGATGTGAAACGTGCTGGAATTTTTTAGAGCGTTAGTCGCTAAAGGCACACCCAGGAGAAATCACAGTCTCCTAAGTGCTTTCCAAACTTCCCAAGTACTTTATTTCTCAATGAACCCCACAGCTGACGTACAAACCAATCGAATAATATGTATGTAACATTTTCGAAACTGTTATTTCAAGGTTTTGCAAGGAGAAATTCCCTCTGCCAAGGCGAGATGAGAACACACACATTTATTTTAATTTTAGCAATCCATTTTTGTGTTCTCTGTTCGTGCTATCACTGTAACATATAACATAATTTCAGGGCAAAACATCTTTTGTTTTTGCCCACGTAGCTGACATGTTGGTCTCCTTTAAGTTGAATGACATTCTCATAACAAGAATCTACTCAAGTTATTGTGATATGCAAGCTCTCTAAATTTCAAATGAAAATGTGCACTTATAGAACAAGAAGAAAATTGAGCTGACAACAGAAGATTGCAGTTAATGGGATTTACATTTTACCTCACAATTTGAACTGTTTTCTCTATTTCTTCAAATTGCCTGGCAGAGTTCAGTTTTTAATGGCTTCATCATGGTGGTGATAGTCATGAATTCTTTTGTCATTGGCTTTGAGACAGTGGAGGAATGGAAGGTCCCACATAAGAATGTCTTCAAAGCTTTGGATGAGCTGTTTCTTGCCATTTACACCATGGAGTTCCTGATGAAGCTGTATGCTGAACCAAGGGGTTACTGGAAAAGCAGTTATAACAGATTTGACTTTTCTATCCTGGCATTGTCATATGTTCAAGTCATCATGGATGAGCTGAATGTGGGTGATAAGATTCTCACACCTTTGAGGCTCTTAAGAGGTTTGTGAGAGTCACCTTGACAGTTAGATTGAGGAGAAGGGAAGTCTACACACAAGAGTGACTTGCACAATTGTGTCAGCTTATCCAAACGAGAACAAAGCTTCCCAGACCAGGTCTTCAACCTTGTTCAGTCAAGCTGAGTGAGCGGATAATTAGGCAACCAGTTCTCCCCAAATTTTTCTTTCAGATCCTTAGTAACCCAGATAAACACATAACTTTTCCTTATAATATCCATATATTATCCAACAAACAGGTAATGCGATTACTCAGACTAACCAGGTAAAAGTTATCTTGATCCAATACCAAATTCTCATAACTAATTTAACTAATTTACAAGGAAATGTGTAGTACCTAGAGGGGAGAATTAACAATTAAATCTTGGGATTAAAGGGTTTAATTTGTAGCAACTTGTTCTATCTTCTGTTTGCAGCTGCTCGAACATTACGGACCATCTCCTTCATTGAAGGCCTCCAAGTTCTTGTCACAGCACTGATTGACACTATTAGGAACTCTGTACTCAATGTGGTGATCCTTCTTGCCATGCTGATGGCTTTCTTTGCTGTAGTTGGTTATTATATTTTTGGTTATGAAGAGGAGACTGGTGATAAAGAGAACTGGGGAACTCTCAGCACTGCTATGTTGACACTTTTCACATTTGTTACTGTGAGTTGTGTTCATGTTTTTTTTGTTTTGTTTTCAAACTGTTGTATCTAAAAGTGGATTGAATTTGGCAAGTTAGGAGGTTTCTGTCTTCTTAAACCCACCTATTCCCAGGTGAAGGTTAAATATGAACTTCAGCCTATTAAAAGCCCTTATCCATGTCTCTGTAGTGTGGCATAACTTTGCTGTTTTCCTGGACAGGATGCCACTCCACTTCAGGTTAATTACCCTAGCTGTTTGAAGGCTGAGAAGCATTAACCAAGGGTTAAAAATCAATCCAGGTTTCTTTACTCCTTTGTACAAAAGACTTTATTGAGATATGTTCCTCTTTTATTATTAGAGCATCCAATCATCAGACTATAGACAAAAAGAAATGAAATTGAAATTTTCTTTTAAAGCTTGCAGATCTGAAAACAGATTACCCAGACTAACCCTGGGCTCTCTTAACCCAGCTTTGAACCACCCAGCCCTGAGGCAGAGAAACACTAATGGAATAAAATGACTTGCCCAAGAACACAACACAATGATCTGACCCAGTCTTGAAATCAGAGCTCTTGGCAGGGAGTCTAGTGGGCTAAATATTAGTCCACTGCATCTCCGATTATATTATTCCCCTTTCCAGAAGTGAGCACTAAATGATGTCCCATAGGAATGTCAATTCATTGATTTTGAACACAGACAGGTGGTTCTATAGCATGTGTTAAATTTATGTAATTAAATTTACAATTTGTAAATTGTTCTGTCCAGGTGGACGGTTGGACAGAAATCCAGAAAGACTTGGACAAAAGACCCTACAGCCAGTGGTTTACTGTGATCTTTATTTTCTTGGGCCACTTCATTTTCACCAATTTGTTTATTGGAATAATCATCATGGTAAGTCTAGTTTGTTAATTGTCCTAACATGCTTGCTTTTATTGAAAAATATTTTTCATAAATCCCTGTTTGTGGCTGTATACAATGGTGTGAGCGGGGCTGTACAAACCTGTATGGTCTCTTGCGATGCCAGCTGAGAAAAGTTAATGAAGCAGAAGACAGAGCAACATTTCAAATGATGAAATGTTTTTCATGTCTGCCAGACAGGAAAATAAAATTTTGCCTCTTGTTCATGATGCACAGACCTTACTGTGCTCAGTCTATGGGTCATGATCTCAAGCCAGATAACAGTATTTTCCTATCTGGCCCCCTCATTCAGTCAATAAGTACATGGTGTTGTTAATGCAAATTTTTTTGATAGTCATTCACTTCCTAGCCTTGTATGTTAATAGGTAATTGGTGGTGTTAACAACTGAGTTGAAAACATAAAGGCTGACTTTTCAAGCATTAACCCTTTGTTAGAGCAATTGGTCTTTGACCGTGTGTTAATACTTCAATAACTTCTGTTTCTATATATGTATTTTTTAATATAATTTTCCGTGATTAAAAACATTGTCTAACATTATAAATGTTTTGTAGAACATACACGAGGCCACAGAGAAGTTCATTACGCAGCAGAGACAAGAACGTGAAGCAATTCTACAGGTTAAAACTTAGAGTAAAACAAATCAACCATATAATTAATGAGTTCAAGTTTTTTTTACTTTTCAGAAGTATCAAGGGTCCTTAATTTTAAAAGTTTACAGATAAATGGTTATTACTGGCAATTTAAAATTCAAAGAAATTCTTCAGGAAGAAGATTTTGTGTCACTGACAATCAAGTTTTTTTTATGTAGATGAAGAAAGATTTCCTCTTCCAAAGACAACGTGATGATGTCAAAGAAATGTTAGAAAAACAGGTATTTAACTGTTAGATTATGAGAAAGTCTGTTCACGAGAAACATGGGAAAGTTGCATGAAAAGTCCAATAATTTGTATAAATACCTTGAAGTTCTTAGATGGTCGTAACTGTACCTGCAGTCAGCAAAGAGAAGGATCATAACCAAAGCTTGAATGCACGTAGCCCATTTGATGTATTCTTGGTGACAAAAATCTTGTATGTTAAAATCTAGATAACCTAGAAACACCTGAAATGCAGACTATTTAGTGAGTGATTATCTCTGTCAAAATAATACTTTACATTTAAATAATTTTGACCAGAAAGATTGTCAAACTTAATGACAGACAGTTTTACTCATTATGCCCGAGAAGGTACATTTGGGCTCCATTGAAGAAATCAATTAAGATTCTAAGTAATTCCCAAGAATTAAAACATGAATCTTATGTCATCTTGAAAAGTTTTCCACTAACATTTCAACATTTGGTGTCTGGTCATTTTCAGAAATTCTCAGTAGTTCCAAGTTTTGAGTTTATTTTCTTTTGCACGTCTTGGAATTATAAGGAATATTTCCAAAGGATTCCAATGATCTCTGTGTTTCTGTGGAATTTATTTTACAAGGAGGATTTTCTAGTACTGACCACCTTATTTCCATCCATTAGAAAAACAGCCAGTATGCTAACTTTGAAGAGATGACCCAGAGCTTCCAACAGACACTACGCCATGATGATTATGTAATCATGTCTGATCCTTGTGCCAATTTAACATGGATAGAGGCATTCCTTACTACAACAGACCATCTGGATCTTTACACTTACAGGTTTAGTCTGATTTCAAAAATTTATTTATCTATCTAAGGCATGAACTACAAGTAGTCCCTCATTTTGGCAAAGTCTGTCATACATGTTTTGTAAGGGAGGAAGCCCTGATAAGTTGGGAAAAAAAAAGAATAGGAGTGCTTAGAAGGGAATAGCTCACATGCAACACTTGGGGTCTGGGAATCAAACTTTTAAGGCCCACAATGGTCAGAGGCAGCTGTTGGACTTACACTATTCCTGCTCTGACCAACTTTTCACTGTAACCAGGTTGAATAGGTAAGTGGAGTGTTGTTGGAGAGAAAACATCCTGACAACTGATGGAGAAAGGCCAGGAGAGCATGGAAGAGAATCAACTATAAACCCAAACTATAATGCGACATTAGGTCTGGGAATGGAACCCAAGTCACAGCAGTAAAAAGCAAGTGTTGTCATAAATGCTCCATCCCAAGGAACATCCCTCCCCCTTAAGAGGGTCATTGGGAATCCCAAGTGCAAAGAATAAGCTGCCAAGTTTACAATTCTATGTCCCAGGGAAAGGGGGGGGGGGTGGCCCAGAAGCCTCAACAGGATATGGGTAGAAGTGATGCACAGTCTACATGTGTATAGCCACTTGGATAATTTTTTCAAATCTATAACCCCAAATATTCTGTCTGATTGTGCTTAGATTTGTATGGGTAAGGTTTATGTACCACACTCTATAGCAGTTTTATGTGTCAAACAGGTTGGCAAAACAACAGAATATCTTCTTGACAGAGTCAGGATTGCTAGGTCTTGATGCCACACCCTTATTCCTCCTCTGCCATCAAGGGCCATTTAACTTCATGGTCAGCCTTTAGTATGACTTTAAATACTTAAAATTATTTTCTCTCCTTTTCAGATGCCAGCAAATCCAATTTCAAATTGCCAATGTTTTGGCAGATATGGCAGAGATGAAGTTAAAGGAGAAAGAGCAGCAAGAGGATGCAGTCCAAGCTTCAGCACTGCCAAGAGGAATGCAGTTGTTCATGAGAGCAAAGGCTGCAATGGCAAAGAAGAGTGCTTGATGCAAAACATTCCCTATCGTTTATTGATGTACTTCTTATTTTCTGCTGAAAGCTCACACAAAACACAATTTGGTCATATGGATTGGTGCTGCAATCAAGTTTAAAGAAATTTTTTGAAGCCTGTTATTAAAAAGTGGTCTCCCTTCATTTGGCCACTAATTTTGAGGTTTGGTTTAAAATATCACAACTTTGCATGTGTACATAAAAGTAAAGTACACAAAATTATCATTGAGTTTTATGTAGTTTTCAAAGTTTTATTTTCTGTTCTGTGACAATTGTTGTAAAGCATAAATATGCAAAATATATTGCAAAACTATTTTTTGGTACTAAATATATTAATACACTGTGCTTTTCTTTGAAAATGTGATGTCAATTTTGAAAACAAATTGTATTTCACTATTTAAAAATTGTTAGAACCTTTCATTACCATAGAGTGACATTTAAGTCTGCCTCTTTATTCTTAGTGAAAAATATTGTTGCTTTCTTAACAAAAAATTTGGGGCATTGTGGCTATATAGAAGCACAAAAAGTAACACAAGTTGGGATTTCCACTGGTTTTCATAATTAATCAGACTTATTTCTGTGAAGTTGGATCCCCAAAAGCTGCTCTAGATGTTGTCACAAATGAGTTGTACTGTTTCTTGAGCACTTTTGGATCAAGTTCTGGCTGATGACCTGGAAATGCTATTGGTTCTCTTGCTTTAAAAGAAAAAAAAAACAAAAAATTTTAAAATCAGATCTTCAACCACAAGTTTACTTTCACATGACTCTACTTAACAGTTAAGCCTGGTTTTTACTGGTTGTATGCACTGGCACAAGGAAAAGAAAAAGGGACAATTCTGATTTGAATGTTCTGTTTTATCGAAAACCTATTGGTTGCTGCACTGGTAAAACCATATTTATTTTATAAAAGCAATATATAATAACTGACACAGGATGTTGGGCAAAAAAATTAAGTGAAAAGTTGGTAATCACCTCTCCCCACCTGCATGGTGAGTTACAAACTTTTGTGTTCTCCCAACATCCTAAGTGGGTTATTACACTGATATATGTCATAAACCAATAAAATGAGCATTCTATTGCTTGTTCAGTAATGTACACCAGTAAAGGGCAGAAAGTGAGAATTGAAGGTTTAATATACTGGAAGTCAATGTAAAGGAAGTGGGAGATTAGTACGCCTGTCCACCTCAGAACCCCCTCCTTCCCCCAATTGCTACTAGGAATGGCAGGCCTTAGTTCCAATCATTGTTTACTAGTCTTTATATCAATAATAACTGTGGTTATGTTCAACCTGGGGTTGCTTAAAGGCTCGTGATACCTTATGGAGGCTGTGATAATGGTATCCCTTAGTGTTTAGCTTTTACAGTAAATGGAATGTAACGCAACCCCCACTACGTCACGCTTTGAAGAATTACGAACTAGGAAAAAAAATTTACATTCTTGCTCACCTTCAAGATGTTTTAACGCCTCTGGTACTTTGCTTCTGTCAACTGCATGATATCCAGTACCATACGTCGTTTCAAAATAGTGATTATACTGCAGATTTGAATCGAAAAAGTTGCGGTTAAGGTACTTACGGCTGGACTTTGTTCGCTCTGATTTGCGAGAAATCTAAGATAAAAAAATCCTGATTGAATTGATGGCCTTACAGAGGGCCTTACAGTTATTGTACCTGTGAAGGAATTGGTTTTGGTTTTGAAATTCTATTGATGTCAAATCGCTGTTCATTCCAGTTGCCGATCAGAGTATTTGTGTTGTAGGAACTCTCGGTATTCGTGCATCTCCAACCAAACTGCTGAAGTTTTTTTTCGTCTGTATGATCCCAAACTTCCCCGTGGCCTGTAGCTCTAAGCTCACTCACAAATGGCATTATATTCTGAGAGGAAGCGTATGTCATCTTGGTGTGATATTGGATAATTTGTCCTCCGTTATTCTTTCTCCGATCTTATCTTCTTTTCGAAACTTTGTTGATATGACAACAATGCGCCTCTTCGCTCGAGGCATGGGTTCCAGCGCTGGTGTAAGCCGCCTAGTCGGCATGGCAACAGGTTAAAGTAAATCTCACGCCGGCCATTTTGTTTTGACAGAATATGAAGACTTTTTTACGCTGAAATTACCGTATTCATCCAGAGGAAAAGCCATGTCTTCAACACAGACTGTAACTCAAGGAAAACTTCAAAACTCCAGAACTCACGACTACCTTTATGGTAAGTATTTGGGCTGATATTGAAACAAAGCTGAAATTTATTTTTCTTAAGCTCCATTTGCTAGACGTACCCTGTGATTGAAACTTCTCCTTTTTTTTCGCGAAACGAACTTACCAAGCACCCTTCAATTTTTTTCCTTTGTTTGTGCACTGTAAGGATAATAACGAAATAAGTGGTCTAGTATACTTTCGAGACAATCCTTGGCATTTACCCCAAACGATTATACCTTGTCCCACTGATACCCATCGGTGTAACCTTGTGCATTTGATGATTGAAGAAGATCTTATGGACGGGAGAAAAATAACTTTTGAATATGGAAGGCGCATCAGATTGAAATGAGAACTAACTTAAATGACGAACGAATCAAGGCCATCTAAGTATTTTTACGAGGGAGCATTAATCTTTACACTTTGTGTGTTGCATTGTGGCGAGATCTGATTAGCAGTGCCAAAATACAGACTGCAGCTATACACTTGATTATGCAGAAACGTGGTATACATATGTTTTAAGCGTATCTTTTTTCTTTCAGATCCACTGTACACTTTATCAAGTGATAGAGACCATGCAAGAGCAACGTTTAAGGCGCACACTGGGACAGATAGAATTGTAAGTCTGAAATATGATGTCCACTCCTCAATTGCATTGATCTTTAGGGTTCTTATCAGTTTCGGACAGTCTGCTTTGAAGCAATAGTCATCAAATTTCATCTTTTCTCTGTCTACTCTACAGAAACGAGTTCCACATTTCAAGACAATGTTCAGTGACCTGCGTCACTATCCAAGATACAGCATCCACCTGGAGGTGACAGACCCTGTGCCTAAGTTCATACCACGACAGTGGAGGGGATATGCTGATCAAGATAGAGAAGCTCTCATCAGATACACCAAGTAAGGCTTACTGTATTTCTTGAATATTGGTTGCAAAACCAGAATCTATAACCCTACTTGCATGGTATTTCTCCAATGTAAGGGTGGATAATACCATCATCCATCACTCTTTACCTTTTCTTGTATGTTTGATCAGATAAGCATGATAATTAAACAAGTGCTATTTAATGAATTACAGTCATGCTAGGCTTTTTGAAGATAAAACACAGTTATGCAGGCTTCTTTGTAGTAAAGATTAGTCTTCATTAAGACTGCTATTCATTAGCTAAATTTATGGAGAAGCTTCAAAACAGGTTCCTATCCAATCCTAACTTGAATTTATCAAAATAATTTGATAAAAAGAGAAGAAGAAAATAGGTAATTTGTAAGATTGTAAGAGTCCTTGTCAATCTTTAAAACAAGCAACATATATATGCATAAATTTGAATGGAATTTCACTTAAAATATAAATGTAGTACCAGTAATTCTTTATTTTGGATGTAATTTATAGTGTTGGGCTTTTCATCTCTATCAGGTTCAACTATGATCCATCAGTTCAAGTTCCTCCTAAACATCATGAGAAAGTGCATGTTTCTGGGACAGACCGATATAAGTTTTTCCGCAGGCCAATTATTCCATTTTTGCAGCAAGTTCCTCCAGATGTTCTCTTGCAGTCATCTAAGTAAGAGACAATTATGTTCCAGTTTGAGTTTACTGTTGCTGATATTTTGAATTGATCAGCCATTTTCATTATTTGCCACTAATTATCACTGTACATGCATAATTACAGAATGGACCCCTTAGCTGCCCCTGAAATGGAAGCTGAAAGGCCACCCACCCCAGCTACACGCACAGTAGAAGTACAAACTGATTACAGAGACAGTGAGACACAAACAGACCCATATACTCCAGAGTATGTTGTACGACCAGGTTCACAACCCGAGCTGCTCACACTGGCTACTCTTTCATATGGTAAATTTAGTACAAACTAGTGATTTATATAGGCTTAACTACCAGCGCCTGTTAAGGAAATGAATCAAACTCCTCTCCTAAAGAGAGGAGCACTGATGACGGTAACCTGATGAAAACAACAGAGCATTATCAGTGATACATTTATCATTATTTTTATTTCCTTACTTTTCTCATGCTGCTTAAGTACATGTTTGTGAGTGCCTGCTATTGTTGTTGTTTATGTGTCTGTGTACTTTTCTTTTCAACCTAAAATATCTTGTACCTAAATCATACAAAAAAACTGATACCTCACTTTTGTAAAATAGGAGCCTGTAGCTTGCATAAGCCTCTTGGTTTCCGTACAGGTTTTCTTGCCACATGCTAAATCTTCAGCTATATCATATTTATGTATATGAAATTACTCTTTTATTTCTACTGATGTGTTATAATTACAAAAACAAAACAAAAATTAATAAATAAACAAATAAAAAATGCAAAGTTATACCTAATACATGCAGATGGCAAGCTTAATGATTGTCATGCATGCTTAGATCCAATCAACTGTAGATCAATTTGTTTAGTTATTGGAAATAATTGTTGCAATTACAGAACAGTTGTTCTTTGTTTAGTTTCCTAGATATATGTAATTGAAACAGCAACAGCAAATCACTTGATACAACCATTGCCTTTAGTTCAGTCACAATTGTCTCAGTTTTATATAATAATGAACATGAAGGGTAACTAACAGCCAGAAATAACCTTAACCCTTTACACCCAAACATCAATATCCATATTCTCTATACTGTCCTCCATACATTTCCTAAGGTGCTGATAAAGAGAATTTGGTTAGTAATCAAGAGCTTTTTTAATTGGTGATCATTTCCTTTATTCTTGTGACCTACATATGTGATTCAGAGGTGATATCATAAGGAGAAATTATATGCTGGTCACTATCAGGGGCCAAAGGGTTAATTTGATAAAATGCCAGGTTGCTTGATGGAATTAATTACCAATATATAATTTTGCAGATTATGAAATAAATAATTGAAATAAAGAGTTGACAATGCACTGTATCTATAGAAGTGCATTTTCCATTTAATCAAATCAGGTATATGAAGTTTAGAACAAAAATAGCAGACAGAGTACTAAGTGCTACAAACGCAGGAATAATGAACTTGAACATTTTTCAATTATTATTTCTTGAAGGTCATGGCTTGCCAGCCGGACTAGCGGAAGTAGAGATGATTGAAAGAGCAAGGGCCAAACGAGCATGGTAAGAACAATTTATCTTCTGACAAAAAAAATGAAGGGAGTTTATGCTTATGGATGAGCTTTGGTCTTCAGTTCATGATGCCTATCAGGAATGCTTAAGACAAATAGGTTTTACATCTTTGAAACCCTTCAGCTTTGAACCGCATAATAGTCTCAACAGGTTGCGTCTACGTGTTTGACGTGAGCTGATGCAGTTCATGTCTTCTCGTCTCTACAGGGAAGCAACACTTCCAGCTCTGAATGACACAGAAAATCTTGAAAAGAGAAAGCGAATGATGGACGAACAAGAACGAAGAGAGTGGTCATTCAGAGAACAAGAAATTGAGAAGTAAGTTTTTTGTTCGCTCATTTGATAGAAATTTGTACTGTATATATATTAAAGAAATGAAAAACGCGCCGAGTGCATTATTGAGTTATATAAGCAAGAGAGAATTTTTAAGAACCCGAGAGAAGTGCCGAGAAGCACGAGCCGAAGGCGAGTGCTTCTCGCACTTCTCGAGAGTTCTTAAAAATTCCCAAGTGCTTATATAACTCAACAGTGCTCGAGGAACAAGTCTTTTTATTTCTTTTATAAAATGTATCTTGAACTGCGCGCGCACGTGCCGATGACGTAGGCTACGTGTATGACGTAAGGCGCGTGCTTTATGGAAATATAATGAATTTGTTCTGACCAATCACGGCGCGCGCATTTATAAAAGCGTATCTGAACCCTTAAAGAAAATAACATTAACCACTATATTTCGTGGCGTATCCTTTCATCAAGATCGCCCCACAACTGCGCAAACAAAAGATGTAACCTCTGCCTCAAAGAAAAATTACTCATCTTTCGCCGACCCGAATTATCATCACTCAATAAACGTAATGAGCTCGTGTCCTCATGCCGCCGCAGAAACAAAACTTTACTGCGTAACAATTCAAGTATTCTTTTTATGCAAATTAAGTATATAAACGATGGTACGAATATTCTGGACAATAAAAACCCCTGATGAGAGAGCAACTACGAAACAGGCTTGTAGGGATGAAAGTATAGTCTCTCTGTTTTTTTTCCCCTATCGCAACATATATCGCGCTCTACTTCTACGTATTGAGCACTGTAAAACGGAAAAATCAATACACAGACTTCCTATATATATATATATATATATCTGAAGATGTTGAATTCCGTAAATCTCACCCCTCCTCTTTTTAAAGGTTGCAAGAGGCACGACTTGAGGTGTTGAAGAGAATCCTTGAACAAAGAGAGGAAGATCACGCTGAGCTGAACACAAAGAGACTGGATAGACTATGGTTAGTTTAGTTTGTATGTTATACCCCATGACGTTTTCTTTTATCCTAGAAACCTGCGCAAGGAAACATTTCTTGATAAATTTTCAATTTCAATTTTCTTGAAATGTTGCAGTTACTGAAAAATGTTTTCTGTGAAAGAACAAAACGTTTCTCGTTTGTTAACCTCCCCCCCTCCCCCCCCCAAAAAGAGAGGTGCTTTAAGGCAAATTTATCGTTTATTTTCTTTGCACAGGTCAAACAAGCAACAAGAAAAAGATAAGAAATTTCAAAGAATTCAAACGGAGCATATCAAAAGTTAGTTGTCGTCTTGTTTTCAGCTTGTACACTGTAACTCTTTAGTTCAGTAGGTGTATAATTATGTAACATCATTATATCACTCAGGTAGTACGTGCGCCATAACCGGTCAAATAAACGAGTCATATTTCACTGTACGGCTCGCTAAATTTAAGCGTTTGTTTGAATTGAAAGCCTGGGTAATCATGATTTTCTTGCTAATCTCGTTTTCTCGGTCTGTACTGCAAGTTACGAAACCTCGTTTTTTCCACTCAGTACATAAGTTTCATAAATTACCTCGAACTCGGTTAGTACGAGGTTTCTAAGGAAGTTATACACGGTAAACTGAAACATGCCCTTCCGTTTTGGCAGTTGTGTTGAATTTCAAATGCTGCAGATAATTCCACAATAATCCAGTTGCTGTTTTTCCTTCACATATTTTACTAAACTGCGGAGTCTTTAAATGATGTTTAAATTTTTTTTTAGAAATTACACCTAGTCTTGAAATGTTGCAGTTACTGAAAAATGTTTTTTGTCTTTCCAGCTGTGAGAAAGTTAAATGAAAAAAGACGTACAGTAGAAGGCAAACTGGAGCGACGAGACATAGTGCGAGACTATTCTAAGTTCGACTCTCAGACATATGCTCCTATGTCTCGTGTGGGAGTATTCGTGGACCGGGGATCTGAACAGTATAATGTGAAGAGCTTCCATCTGAACACCTATCAGGGCCTTCTTGAGCTAGAGGCTTCACTCCCAGACTTTGTGACGCAGCCCCGGATTCAGGCTCCGAAGCCAAAGTCCAGCGGCAAGGGAGGCTTTGTCAAAAGGAAGCAGCGACGTCAGAGGGAGCTGGAAGAGGTGGCGAATGCGATTGAGTTAGCGAAGAAACCGCCAGAGCCTGAAAAACCTTTGAAGTTTTTGGTGAAGGTGGAGAAACCGATACCGCGCCCCCCGACCCCATCAGTGCAAGTTCCATCCCAGGTGAGAGAGACAAAACTCACTAGTAACTCTTAAAGAGTTGAGAACTAGCTGTTGGAAATCAGTTGAACTCATTTCAAGAGTTAAAGGAGACCTCAAGTGAACTATGACCGCGATAGCAACGAGAAAGAAGTGAAACAATACGTCTAACGAGCACAAGAATAGCCCTCCCCCCCCTCGTGTGTTTTATAACTTGTTTCAAAATATTCAGAGAAATGTGCGTGCCATGATTGGTCAGAACGAGTTAATTATATTTCCATAAAGCACGCACCCTACGTCACACGAGTGCACTGTTGAGATTTAATGCACGCAGTCTACGTCATCGGTACGAGCGCGCGCAATTCATGATACATTTTATAAAAGAGAAAAGAGAGCAGTGCGGAGAAGCACGAGCCGAAGGCGAGTGTTTCTCGCACTTCTCGAGTGTTCTTAACAATTCTCAAGTGCTTATATAACTCAACAATGCACTCGGCGCGTTTTATATTTGTTTATTAAATTTGATTTATTGGCCGCCTTCCGCAAAACAACAGCGTCAAATCGCCAACTTTTGCGTGGTCTTTACGTTCCGATCTGGAACTCAACGTTGCGCTCACACGTTGTATTTAAGTTGGGATCTGTTGCCGTGATAGAAGGTAATTACAACCAGCCATTGTTGAATTCTGAAGAACAATGTGACTCCCTTTTTTAATCGACTTTTTCCCTCGGTGTTGTTCTCCTAACCCCTAAGTTCCTTAATTCCAATTAGAAAAGAGCTGTGAATGCGCGTTAAATGCGCGAAAGCGCACGTGATCGAGCCGTGACTGACGAGGCCCCATTTGATTAGTCGACTAGTCCTTCTCGACATCTTTGAAATTAAATTTACTACGCAATTCGAAAATTAACGCAATTCTACTCCCAGGTTCTTTTCATCATCCTTGTAAAACCTGTTCGATATATCTTGGTGCCTGAGGACTGTTTGATTCCGTACCGTCCATATGTTACGACAACAGTACCATGTCATGAGACCTTCGTTTGGACTGACACATTTTCTTTCTTCCTCTTTCTTTTATTTCAGCTTGAAGAGGAACAGGAGCTCGCCTTGATTTTCTTGCAGAAAGTTATCCGTGGTCGTGCCATTCAAAATATGGTGAGTTAGAACTAATGCTTTCTGTTTCTCTACTTTGTTCAGTTATGGACAAGCGGCACTATCAGCTCTTTATTTTCTCGTACATGTAATGTTTTTAATTATTATTTTATTTTCTATTTGTACCTTAGATGTTTGAAGGAAAGGAGAAGCGTCTAGAGTTGATTCAAGAGCTACGCAGTACGCATGCGTTGCAAGAAGCTGGGCAGGTAGAAAAGAGAAATGAGCGACAAGCTGTGTTGAGCTTGCAGAGGCAGAGGAGACTGGATACTAACAAGGTACATTGTTTGTCAGCCAATGATTTTACAGATCGAATGGACCGTATGTTTTAAGCGTTGTATGAAAAACAGAACCTGATTGGATAATCTTCGTGAAATGATGAGCTTTCTGATAAATTTTATATCGCACATCGCCCCTTCAATGTGACGAATTGTCCAAGAAATTCTCAGTCCTAATGGCCGCAGTGAATTGCGTGTACTATTTTGTTCCATGTAGGACACATTAGTCAGCTTTCTTCTCTGGCTTTATTGCGGACCGAGATGTTCTTTTTTGAGCACTGGTGGGATCGTTGTGTTGTGTTGTGTTTGTGGGCATTACAGTTAACTCTCACAGTTCTTTCCTACCCCTGGGAATGGCGATGTGAGAATTGACGACATTACTGTTAAGGCGTTATCAGTAATTAAACTAGCATCCTAGCCAGGGAAGGGTAAAAATACTCCTTTATTCATCGTGTACAAAAATCGAGAGAAGCTCTGTTGGTGTAGGACAGTGTAGGCCAGTTGATCGTCGAGAAAACATAACTTTTTGCCACTGGACTCGTCTCCATAACGACGCCTGCGAACATTCTTTGACACACACACACCCCCCCCCCCCCTCTAATGTAGTTAATCGCTAATGTTTGTGTGCCATCTTGGGGACCATCACTGAGCCGGGCATGAGACGCAGAATGTGTCCCAACAGTGTAGCTTAAAATGTTATTCAATCCTGATTCCCCTTTACTAACATATACACACGTTTCTTTGCCTGTATCTACACTCCTTTGCCGAGACAGTTTCTTGCTTGTCCATCTCTCTTCTTAGCGATCTCGATATTTCTGTTGATTGTTTAAACTGGTTGTCACGTATAAAACTGCTTTGCCATGCTATGTCTAAAGTGTTTCCCAATATGTTCTCACTCATTTCGTTTAACCAGGAATCTTTTGTGGAAGAAGCCTTAGCTCAGATGGAAGGCTCGACCCTTGCAGACATGTTTGACTTCTTGAGTAAGGAGCTGATTCGACTTCAGGTGAGAAATTTTTGCGATAAAGTCTGAATTCATTCAACAACATCCTGTCTCGTTTTGTCCACTAAAGCGTTTGGTCGGAAGTGTTTCATTCGCTGCCGAACGTCTTTCAAAGCGCCTTGAAAGGAATTCCTTTTAGCCTGTCTTTTCCTTTAAATTATTGTCGCTAGAGTTGCTTGATCAAGTAGTGACTGTTGTATGTTTAATTTTCCGAGAGCAACGCTGACTAACATAGACTCACTTTTTATTAGAATTTTAAATGAATTTTCACCATCATTCGTTTGAAAAGGACGGAGAAACTGCTAGAAATTGAATTTCTTAAATTGTTTCAAATTTGAGAGAATTTTTCAAGCGATTTTCCACTTTTTTATCTGTTCCGTATCTGGCGTGTGTGCGGCGAAAGGAAGGTTTATGAAGCAACTTTGCGTTAGTGCGTCAACGGGGGAAGTGAATTACGTTTGAAAATCGAGATATAAATCACCTTATATGGTCCACAAAAATAAAATGGATACTGTAACAATAAATTTGAAATCGCATTGTTGCGGGCAAAGTTTAAATACTCTGAAAAACGATCAAAGTAAAAGCGGGGAGCTTTTACTTTTTTGTTTTCCTTTTGTTCTTAGTAGACAAAAGATTTGGAGATAAAGTGCTAGTATCATTACTTTCTTGGCTGATATGTTTTTCAGGAATTTTTTCCTTTCTTGTTTTGTTCTTTTTACTTCGTAATATCGCTCGAGGAACGAAATTTTTGTGTTTGTGGTATTCTTTTCTCACTGATTTTTCTTTAAAGACTTGTCAGAACATAATTAAACAGTATGCGGTCAAAGTGTTTCGACGAATCACCACAGCGATCGAACCGCGCATTACCGCTCTCGAAGATGTTCTTTCAATTTTGTCCTTTTTTAAAAGGCTTTCAAGTCTTGGTTTATCTCGAACCGCAAAAATGTCTTGTTTAATGGACTGACCAAGTGTGTGATGGTTCGAATATTTTAGGAAGAGAGAAGAATCCATGCTTTTGCCATGTTGGCTGAACGACAACGAAGGATTCGTGAAGCCGAAGAGGGCGGACGAAGACAACTTGAAGAGAGACGGCGGCGCGAAGAAGATGAGATTTTCAAACAGGTGAGAAAGAACGAGTAGTACACTACCTAAACATAGTAGTGTAACCATTAACCTTCAATGGTATTCTTCAAATATATTTTATTTTCATGCTTCTATAAATCCACCTTGTTCGCTTTTTACGTAAAGCGGAGGCGCAAATGTAGGGAAACTGTAAATTCAGTTTTCTTTCCAGAAACGACGCGTAGTTAGACGCAAATGTCGCCATTAACAGCAAGAACCGACAATTAATTGTGTGCAGATGATTCCAAAGTTGTAGTGTCTTATTTTCCTCCGTTGATTGTCAAAACAGAATCGAGGAAGATAATTAAAAGGCATGTTGCAGCTTAAGATACTTATTATTTGTGTTTCACTGCTAGAATTTTTAACCGACACTTTGCTTTCACTTACATGGTTTCTATTTGATAGGGACTTTCGTTTTATTTTAACAATTAATGATGTTATTCTCGCTTTGAAAAATAATTATAAAAAACAATGATTTAAACAGTGCTTTACTGTCACCAGTATAGCGGCTGAATAGTAAAAATTATTTCAAAATAAAGAAACCCGCAGGTTTATGAAATTTTTTTACGTTTGCCTTAGACTGGCTACTTTGTTGTTGTTCATGTACTTGCTAATATGTCAAAACCTCAATTTAAACTCTGAAACTCCGGTAAGAAATCTTACGGAATGATGGGTTTTTTAAAGAAAAATTGTATTTCAGCAGCAGTACCTCGATATCTAATTGAAAGTTTTTCATTTCCCCTTTCTCCCTTTTTTTTCTCCATTTTGTCTAGTCCTTTAGTGATTGTGTGATTCGGGCCGCTGATTTTGAAAGAAGTAGCCTGTCACGTCAGTTATCTCACATGTGATTGGTTGATTTGTCTTCAGGTTGTCAAGGTTCATCAGTCTACTGTTGATACGTACCTTGAGGATATCATTATGGGAGCCATCGACAAAACGGCCGAAGAACAGGTGAGTTTAGGATGTTTGTCTGGTTCTTAAGTTTATTCGCTCTCTTGGAGTACCCGAAAACTCCCATCTGGTCACGCATTCTTACAAAAGGAAGTCCTTGCAATCTTCAAAAAACGATGGGTGAACAACAAGACAGAGTTAGCGTTGTGGAAATTTTCTGTATCCAACCCAAAGAGAGTTGATGAAAATTTTTGGGAGGTGCTCAGGATTTTTTTTAAAAAGCTAAAAATCTGAGTAAGGTATGATGCTAAACTGGAATTGCCAAAGAAGAGGAGGTCAGCGGCAGAGTTGGCGAGGACAGAGAACAAACCCGGCTAGCGTTTAGTTCATAGAGGTTGAGGAGTGAAAATCAACGCAAGCAAATTTCTTCAGTGTCTCAATCTATTTTGGCTCTGAAGTGGACCGACTTATTCTGTGTGGCTGGCAAATTTTATCAACAACGTTTCCTTGTTGTTGCAGTCCAATTTATTGAGATACCAACGTAGGAAGTGTTTTATCAGACTGTAGCATACTAGTCTAATCATGGCTATAACACGATACCAACCTTTTCAGGCTCGTAAAGAAATCCAAGACCAAGCAGAGAAGATCAACCAAATTGCTTACGACATGGAGAAAACGTAAGGGGTACTTTAACTGTTGCACTGACGATATTATGATTTAAGGATGAAGATATTAAAGTATTCCGGATTTTACGTGGAAGCGTTGGAGAACTGAGAGCGAAAAATGTTAGAATTTCAGTCTCAGTTTGTTCCAGTTTTAAGTTCTCGTCAACCTTGGTGTTAAACCTGATTATCTCCTTTCTCCTTCAAAATTTACGAAAGGAAGTTTGTAATTCCAAATATATTTTTGTTTTGGGTTTTTGTGTTTTTTCTCAATCAAGTGCATATTTATGTCAGAAGATGGTTCGCAATAGTCCTGTCCTCTGAAAACCTTACTAGTATCCTTTATTATCAACTTCTGCAGCCGAACCAGACTTCAATCTGAAGAAATTGTTGCCGAGCTGGTCACGTCGTTCTTGTTGCCAGAAGTGCAGAAAATCACCATGAGAGAGAACGGTAAGCCAGACGTCACTCGTTTTTTGCCAAAAACAAAATCATTCCTTTCGCTGTAGCTTGCGTAACTGCTAGTTTTGTAAGCTTTGAGGGGATCTGAGACGAGAAAATGAGTCCACGTGGCCAGCTATTCAGGCTAATTGCAGAGAACCTAGAAGCTATCAGGATACTTAACAACTAGATTATGAGCTCGAGATTTCTATATTTTCATCAGTAAAATAAATCTTTATTGAGGATACCCATTTAACCACAAAAGAGAGAATTAAGGCGACGCTCAAATCGACCATCATGCATGGAAATCTAGAGCGAGTAATCCTATTGTTCTAGAATAACGCTGCTAGACCACACAAAGTTAGGCCACTCATTCTACTCACTATAATCACGGATTATATAATAACCTGAATTAGATGCGAATTTTGTTATTTGCTAGAGGACTGACGCAAAGATTAGGTCACCATGAAAACATTTTGCTTCTTTATTACGTTAAACAAATAGATTCCATGTTGCCGTTGGCCAGTTCAGTAATAGATCACATAAGACGTCAAAAAGTGGCAGTAACATCAGTGACACTCGGCTGCACCTTATGTGCCACTTTTTTCTTCTTAGCACATTATGATGTCCTATGTGATATCCTACAGAACGGATGTACGGTAACATGGAATCCATTTGTGTAGCCAATCAGAATGCACCATTTTTGATATAACGTTGGTAGGTTTATGTTAATTAACAGTACTGTCTGGTTTAATTCGCAGTGAAGAGAAGCCAAAGGAAACATCTTCTTGCAGCTCATAGGATTATCCATGGCGAAACAGAGCCTGTTATGGAACAGTATCCGCAACCAGAGCCTCCGATGGAAGTAAAACAACCAGAGAAACAACCTGACGAACCGGTGGAACCTGAAAGGCCACCTTCAGGGCAACAAGTGTCATCCCGACCACCTTCGGGTCAAAAGCCGTCGTCTCGACCTTCGTCGATGAAATCTTCGCCTTCGAGACCGGTGTCCGGAAAATCACACAAATCGGACGTTGGAAGCTCTAAACAGCCATCTCGAACAGCCAGCCCAAAGTCCGAACAATCCTCAAGAGCAGGGTCACCAAAGACGCGCGGTTCCTCTCGTCCAAGTACGGCCAGGTCTCGGCCTCATTCGTCTCCTTCTCGTCCCTCGCCGGAACCTTCAAACGCTACCGACGAGGCGTCATAGAGCATTTAAACACAATTTTGAAAGTTAAAATTTCATAGACTTCCTAGTAGAGAGAAACAATTCATTCGATCATTCCATCTGCGATGCTATAAGTGAATTTCATGTTTTAATTTGCCGGGTAATAACAATCTGTTATGGGAGAGGATTCATAGATTTTCATCTATAGATCACCACCATCGTCCTCTAAAGTACATACGTTAGGTACTATTCTTGTAAATAAAACTCATTATGCATATTACGAATTCCAATTTCTGCTTGACTATGTACCATTTGTTTGGAATTCTCACTTGGATTTTCTAATAAATAGTTTTGAATTTTATTTTATTTTGTCGGGAACACGTCAGTGAGATGGTAATTGCAAATGGTGCTGCACCCGTAAAATTTCTACAGAATACGGTGAGGGCCTGGACAATAACAAATGTGGCATTTTAATTATGGTCTTAAAGAGTTATTGTGTTGCTGATTAATTAAGGGTATTTTTACCGAATCTAATTTTCTTAAGTCCATGGATTTCTCCCTTGGTTTTCTAACTATTTCAGGTTTTTAAGCATCAATAACAGAGTAAATTACGTGAACGTTCGATAGAGGAAAGTCCTGCAAGTCTTTATCATTACTAACCTGCTGGAAAAATTTCTCATCCACTTCTGCAATCTTGAATAGAAAACACGAACGGTGCGCACGACCAAGTTCTTGTTTCGCCTAAATTCATGTCCTTGTCAATTCTCGTTCCCAGTCTCCTCTCTTTTGGTGAAGAGGTCGATGATCGTAACGTACTGAAACTTGGATGGCGAAGACCTGATGGAAAAACAACTGAGAAAAAGGAAAAATTACCTTAAGAAGCCAACAAGTCATATTCACAAGTAATAATTAGAAGGACGATTACAATAAATGTCTGATCAGTTTTTTTGAATAAGATTGATTAGGGTAGTTGATGCGATTCCACCAAATTTTAATACTCAACAACTTGATTCGGCGAGAGATAGAAATTTATTTAACACATCTAAATTCGTAACCCTTGGGTATCCAATTTAGCATTGATTTCTTTACCGTAGTTAACTGCCATTTTTTTGTATCTTCTTTCCATTGAGGGCACGAAAAAAAGCCTTTCGTTCACTTCCTATCAAAAATCAAGTCCTAAAATTTACCCTTTTTTCTTTGTTTTAGCTGAACGGATGTGTAACCCCACTAAGGAGCAAAACCATGCATTTTGGACTAAAAAAGAAAAAAAATTGAAAGATTATTCACCCGAATATTTCTTCAACGTATCAGCTCGCTCTTTATCAAAAATATGAATCCTGAAATCCTGAAATTTAAAGGATCTCATATTTATGTTTTTCCTTATTTTTATATCTTCATTATCAGTATTTGGTGACAATTTGTTCTTGCCAAAGTAATTTCATGTAGCAACCCGTCTGTGATAAATTACCCTGGTGAATTTTTTGTTGAAAAAAACTCCTCATCTGTTGGACTTGAATTCAAAGACCCCTTTTTAACAACTTATTCACCAACGTGAAGCAAGAATAAGCTTTCTCGTGTATTTGAAATATGCAATCATAGAAATTTCCGTTTCAACTTGAAAATAGGACATCTGAAGTTTCACAGAAAAACTGATATCGTGCGTTTCCAATTACTGCGATTTAAATTGGTAAAATTTGCAATATTTATCTAGGATTTTGTTTTTGCTATCTCTCTCAACTGCTTGCAAATTCGTCTTTTTTTCCCGTTTTCTTTTAATTTATTGAAGCTGAAAAAGGTCTGTCGAGTATCTAAACATTTAAAATAAAGTCCAGGAATTTGTGAAACCCTGCTCTCTCTGCCTTCAGTAAGCGACTGAAAATGTCCAGTATCCCGGCCGTTTTGTCGAGATCTTATTCATTAAACCCATCGGCTTTGCTTGTCAATTATAGCATCCTCTGGAAATATTCATTCTTAATTCATGTCAGAAAGGTGTGTAGGTAAAGATAAACAAAGATCCCCTCGAAACTTGAATTGATAAAAACGTATTTTCACTGCATCACTAGAATAATGAATTAAACGCGCTAGAAAGCTGAAACGACAATATACAATTGCTCTAGCGCCCTATTCATACCTTTAAGACCCATCAAATAAGCAATATGGTAAAGGTTTTTCAAATGTAAACAAATAACACCGCCGACAACTTAGCCTAAAGTACCTGTATCAATCAATTTCCATCAATCTGCACAGCACTGGACTGCTAGTACTAATTAAAATTCATAATATCGATCGAGTTATCGTCCTCGTTTTGGTATTCCTCAATTAATCTTCGTGTACCCAAAGAAAATTTTACTTCAAAAACAAAATAAAGAGGATTAAAGAATGTTAAAATGCGATCTACAGTCGATGGGAGGAATTCTCTCCGTTTCCGCAAATTCGCCCATTCGCGTGCCTGAAGCACACTCTGTTCTAAAACGGAAGTCAGAGCCGATAAAATTAGCAGTACGATACGAATTTATCTTTACTAATGCAGATTCATAATATCTGCTCTGTTTAACGTCGGTGTGGTTTTTTCATTGAGATATTTGAGCGATAAGAGCGTTTTCGAGAGTTCTCAGTCACCTTTCTTATTTAATGTAAATGCGGTGATGATAAGAAGAGCAACTACTTTAGTCAAAGGTTTATCCAGCATTTCCAGAATAAATTTTTTTTCATCGAAATGGTTAGCTAAAACAGTAATGTAGATTTTTAAAAGTCGTCGGCATTGTAAAGAACAACCTCTGGATAATTAAGGACCGTTAAAATTACCTCGTCTACGACTCGTTCGGCGGTGAATTTTTGTTTTAATTAATTAAAAAATTCGGGGTACGTGTAATTTTTTTCGTCTGAATTGATATCTTTCCGAAGAATTACTCTATACAGGGCATCTAATATCATCATTTAGCTCCATTTATGGTATAAAGAACCCTCGAAGTAGAATCATAGAAGGATTTCAGACGAAATTAGAGGGAAAGTTTTAAATTATTCACCAAAAAATTAGCCGCTTCCTTGCACCTGTTCAGCTCTTTTATCGAAGAATTGACTCTTGTGACGTCACATAATACTTCTGTAGCCAATGCGCATGTCCTAGCATTGGTTCTGTGGAAAAGGGTGCGCTGAATCGAAGCTACCTAAGGGGTTTTGGGCATTGTAGTACTTACTTAACACCGATGAGGAACGGATTTTTTGCAGTATTTTGCCATCTGTTAGTCACTTCAGTGTGACTCATCTTCGATTATCCTTCACACGCTATAACTTTCTCGCAGAGAGACGTGGCTTGCCGAACTTCGTTCGAGCTGGTCTGGTCAGGGTGTTTGTGTTCGCCCTATTAAGACCTGAGTTTTCAGCTGGCCGCTCCATTTTGTTCATCTTTGAAGGCGTTGACGATCGCAGTCGAACTTGTGCTTCATGATCTTGCCTACTTGTGGTTGACATGGAGAGCAGCGACGCGAAGAAAGCGGGTACTCGGTTAGTAGGCACGAAAGAATTTATGTTTTTCCTATATGGTATGTTTGTTTTCATCGATAAGGGTGAGTTAGCCTTGTTCCTTGTTCAGTTTCATCTGCAATTAAGGCACAGTTTATTTCGATTCCCCTTGCGATTCGCTCGAAAGCTCGTTAATTTAGACAGGTATACACGATCTAATTTGACTGCGCTATGCTGTTATGAGGTCGAAAACAGTGCCTTATATCTATCCACTCGGTTTGTGATCTCAGCTTACAAGTCATCTTCCTTTTGCAGTGTATTCAAGAAGTCGTCCCCGAACAGCAAGGTACAGTTAATTTTCCTTGCTTTAGCTTTTAAAGAAATTTAATTGCCCGACACGCATCGTTTTGAAACATTACGAACTATATATAGTCGATGTAGTATTTTCTTAAACGAGGGTATTAAATTTACCATGCACGATAGCGCAGTGTTTTGGTGTTTAGCTTCGTTAAATATATTCTAATTCGTGTATATATTTGATGGCTTGTGGTTCAAATGTTCACACTTTTGGTGTTGAGGTATAATAAGCCACCGAAATACGTCGTTTTTTGGGTTGGGATCGAGATTATTTTGAAAGAAAATCAGTGGAAACATGAGCTTTTATGCATGTCTGAGGTTTCGTTTGTGGGTCCAAACTGATGTAAACATCGCACAGAATGCTTGCACTTATCTCTATGTTTATACCTTCTATAATTTTCTTCTTGGTTTAATAAAGTTGTGTACATATCAAATTTAAAACTAGGTAGTTTGAATAAATTAGAGCCACAAACAAACGAAAGCGAAGGGGAGCACCTTTGCAGATGTTTCCTGCTATAGCTTAGCATCTAGGTTGGCTGAAAATTATCATATGAAAGGAGGTTTAAAAAGATTTGTTCAGTCCCAAAAAGGACGCGAAACGTCTTTATTTTGAACGATGTTAAATTAATTGTTTTAAGATATAGCTCTAGCTGTAATTCTTAAGCAGATGTAAGTTTGTACTATGGAGTACATCTTGTTTTGTTTCGCTTTTTAATTGAGCATGCTTTTGGAAAACAAGCCTAGGAAGAACATGAGATTAAAAAAGATGATGCCTGAAGCACATAAATTAATGGGCGCGTGAGGATAATGGCTGCGGGCAAGAGGTATACCTTAAAAACGAAGGCCATTTCTCTCTGTGTTTACTATACAAAGTGATTAAGAGAGAAATACTCGACTGAAAGCAAGTTTAGATGGATTGATTTGAAAAATTGCACAATTTACCCTTATCCTATTTTAGAGGAATTAGAATCAATTGATTTGTTGAAATTTAAAAAAAAAATTTTTTTTCAGAAATTTTTCTTAAAACTTTTGATTAATTGAAAGAAACTCACACTTTTGAAAATGATATTTTCAAGACATTTTTTAAGACTGTTATTTAATTTTTCTTTTTAGTTGTTATCTTTTGATGGGTTAAATATTCTCAAACCTTATCCATGTTGGTACATATTTGCTTAAATGTGTGATTTAGTTACGTTTCCTTTTAGCAAAGTAATGTAGTGCAAAGAATTCTTGAAATTAACTTCAATGTATCTTAGACTTGGCGTCTTTCTGTTGCAATTAGCCACTTCGCTTAAAACACTTTTTAAACATCTGTGTTAAGTGGATGATAGCATCATTTGCTTTAGTCTGAACCAAGGGTAGTGGCTTTGTGTAATATTCATTAATAAGTCTAGACACAGGCTAAGGCGTCCACACAGGTAAAACTTACCCCAGTATTAACCCTTTGCACCCTTGCATCAATATGTATATTCTCCCTACCACCTCTCACATATTTCCAATGCTACTTACTAGGAGAATTTAAGGATCATAAGCTTCCTTACTTTTGGCGTTACAACTGTGAAAACTGAATATGAAAGCAATCTTAACAGTAATGAACACAATTTATTAAGCAGTAGTGAAAATAAGGCCTGAAAAAAATTCAGGCATTTACAGGATTGAACCTATGATCTTTGAAATACTGGTGCAGTGCTCTACCATTTGAGCTAACAAGCTAACCGAGAACTGGTCATTATGTTAGTTCATAAAAAAACCAGTAAAGTGATGAGTCAATCAGCGAGAATATATGAAAACCATATGTGTGTACTGCAGCATGAATGTAAAAGTGATCTTTGCAGTAATGAATATTACTTAAGCAGTGGTGAAAATGATACCTGATTAGTATGAGGTCTCATTATTGCAAAGATTGCTTTCATATTCACTTTGTAAAATATGATTTTCATATATTCATTCTCAGTGTGAAAATTGTTCTACGAGTATTGTTGTGATGATTGCTGAAAGCACTAGCCCCAAGGTTGGCTATATCTGGTGTTAGCTGTTCTTTCAGGAGAGGAGCTCCTTTTCAAATGAAGACACTTAGTTAAACATTGTGTAGAACTATCAGAAAACAGCCCTGGAAGCAGATGATGCTATCATCCACTTTGTCAAGCTTGTGGATGCTCAAAAGAGTTTGCCTGTAGGCTACACATATGTCGAAGGATGTTAACAAAACAAAGCAGCTCTTATTGCAACCAACTTGCTAAATAAACACTTCAATTCCAAAAATCTTAAAACTACTTCATTGTAGAGATGATAGTGTATTTCTGTTGAGCTATCAGGATACAAATCTTTTGAGAGCCAATGATTAATGTGTTACAGATATTCTGTATAAACGAGTTTAAAAAAATTGAAAATGTTAGTGTCATTTCTGTGGATTTAAGTTTTGCGTAATAAATTACAGTGCATTTAGTAGCTGATTCAATGGAATTTTTTTTATCCAATTCTGATATCTTTCCTCTTAACCACTTAATTGACTATTATCAGGAGACTCAACAATCAGATAACTCTTGAAGGAGTAAATGGATTAACACATTACAATTTTTTATCTCAATTAAATTCATGACCCTCCCACCTAAGCTAATTCTCAGGGAAATGCAGAAGAATTCATGGTTATGTAATAATGCATTGAATGAATCTTTTGATTTTGAAATTATAACTCTTGGACAACATTATAATTTGTGTATGGTTTAAGAAAGAAGACAACCAGATTCAGAAGACCAGGTGCCTGTAATTTTATTTTCTCAACTAGACAAATATTAATGCTAACATCTGTTACCCCACAGATCACTACTTATTTGGGCAAACGGGATTTTGTAGACCACATTGAACACATTGATCCTGTGGGTAAGTTAATATCTGACTGTGATTTCTTAAGCCTTTCACTCCCACGATCTCATTAGTAATTCTCCTTACTGTCTGCCTCACAATTCTCATGACGTTAGTTTGGAGAATATGGTATTGGATCAACAAACAATCCTTTAGCCAATGTTTTTTTGTCGTTCTTATCACTGGTCTGCTGGATATTGCATTGATATTGTAAGGAGAAATTCTGTCTTGGTCACTCATGAGAGTTAAAGGGTTAGCAGAATTAAGTTGAAAAAAAAGTGATCTGGTGAAAATGCAGGCACATAAAATTATGAGTCTTCTGTCTAAGTTACTTTTTTTGGGTTATTTTGCAGATGGTGTTGTTCTGATAGATCCAGAGTTTGTCAAAGATGGGAAAAAAGGTATTACAAAATTGTGCTTGTCATGAATTATATCAGAAGCTTAAACCTAGACTAAAAGCATCACAGAGTTTACACAACTAGTGCAATTTGTAATAAGCGTTTATTTTGACAAAATATGTTTATGAGTCGGGCTATAGGTGACTTCTGATTCTGAGCTGGGGTCACAAAAACCCTGTAAACACTATCTACTTATCCTGGATTAGTTGCTGTCAAATTCTATAGTTGGTGTGCTATTTCAGGGTGAATCTTTTCCAGTTGAAAAACATTTTAAATGACAAACGGGATAGTAGCTGATTCCTGTAAATTATAGCCACTTTGCTGACTGGCATATGTAGATTTAAATTTTGACAATTTTTTCCCAGGGTAAATAGCGGTTTTGGCCTCCTCTTTTAAGAGAGACAGAGAAATTGCTAGAAAAAAAATAGTGTTCAAAATTTTTGACAACTATCAACTGTTAGGTCCAATTTAGACATTGTGCTCCTGCCCTGTCAAATTTTATTTAGGAATTAAGTTTGACAAGAGCATGGTGGAAGCATGTTGTCTAGATGAAAATTTTTAATTAAATTCTGCAAGCAATTGAGTTTGACAAGCTCTGCCATGCTACACAACTCTGGCACTACTCCAATTCAAATGTTTGCCACTGCCTAGCCAAACAAAAGTTATAAATAATGTTTAACTTAAATAAAGGCAGGATTGCACTCCCACTGAGAGTAACAAGAATACATTAATACTTGGCCTCCGTTAATCCTGAATTTTGCATGACTCGAGCCCAACATGTGAATCAGAGTCATGATTCTGCTGTGCTAGAGTCAAACCTAATTCTAATTATGTTTGGCTTTGAAGTAGCAGAAGGTCTGAACAGGACCCTAGACATTTTTGAGAAAATCATGCCAAACAATTTTCTAGCATTTGAAAAAGTTACTTTGGTGATTAGAACAACATGCAAGTGTCATTTATTTTTTCTTTTTCCTATCAGTGTTTGCCCATGTTCTGGCAGCATTTAAGTAAGTCATAAATATTTTCACTCTTATTTTGAATGTTCCTAGTGACTTATTACTTGTTTGTTCAAGGTCCTTTGTATATTTGTTTAATAAAAGTGCAAAGTGGAATTCCACATTAACACAGAAAGTGAGAGTTACCACAATAATTTGTGGTTGAGTTCTGTCACTAATATTTTCAAATTTGCATATGATGTCTTTTTGAAAACTTTTTGATAAAGAATGTTTTTCCTCTTACTGATAGATATGGACGTGAAGATTTGGATGTGCTTGGACTAACTTTCAGAAAAGACTTGTTTCTGGTTTGTAAAGATTGAAATTTCCTTTCTACAGTTATGGGATTATTGTCATGAGCCACCCTTTTACTACAAATCAGGAGATGTTTTGAATTGATTATTTTAATTTTAGCACCTACATGAAGCCTGGGCAACTCTGAACAAGTCAAGTCACACCATTAGTCCTGTTTTAGATTGAATGTCTTGTTAATGATGTAGTCTTAGACCCTATACTGGGTTTAACCTTTAAACTCCCAGAAGTGATCAACATGCTACTTCCCCCAACAATATCCATACATTATCTAGCAAACAGGTGATGAGAATACACAAACTTATTGCAGAGGAGTTGTCTTTCTTGATCTAACACCAAGCTCTCATTACTTCTTTACAAGAAAATGTGTAGCAGGTAGAAGGGCGAATTAAAAATCAGATCTTGGGAGGTAAAGGGTTAACTGAATGAAAATCAGAAAAAGAGAACTGAAAAACTGAATTTTCCATAGGATTCAAGTACTCACAAACTTGTGTTTTCATTGGGCTAAATTTGGAGTCAACAAACATTGGTTTAAGCAGCTTCTATGAAGGAAAAAATATTTAACCTTCTCAAGCAAAACAGCTTTTACAACATATTTAAGCAAAGTATGAAAGATTTCAGCTCCCAAATTCACCAGCAGTTGATGAGTGTAGTTGCAGAGAGTCATTTCTATCAGTGGTCATTGGTATGTTACTCTTCATTTTTACAGGCCACTACGCAAGTTTATCCACCAAAAACAGAAGATCCAGTTCAGCTTACAAGGCTTCAAGAGAGGCTGCTGAAGAAACTTGGGTCCAATGCCTATCCTTTCAAATTTGAGGTTTGCTTTCCTCTGGAAATCCTTGAAAGTAATTCATTAATGTTCATAATTAAGTAGTTCTTTGTATTCAAGTGGTAAGTCAGTTATTGCTCATCCTGGGTCCTAAAAGTGAAAGAAGCACCCTTACTACAGTAACTATAAAAAAAATAATATTTTTACCAACTAGTGCATTTATACATACATTTGTCTAATTGCATTTGTTGTGATTCCTGTTAGTTGCCCCCAGGTTCTCCTTCATCTGTAACTCTACAACCAGCACCAGGAGACACTGGCAAGGTATGCAGAATAATACTAGTCAAATTCTTTTTTAGGTGAACTTTGTAAGATGTAGAGGTACATTTGTTCAGCTTCGGTCAATTTATTTTGTTAAAATGAATTAGAGATGCTGCATGAATGTGTTTTTTGCAAAGTAGCATGTGTTATTTCTTGATTGCATTCACTGAGACAACTGCTTAATGTTATTTTCAGCCTTGTGGGGTAGACTATGAACTTAAAACTTACATCAGTGAATCTATGGAAGAAAAACCACACAAAAGGTAATTCAATCATTTACTGCAGATAGCTTGAAGCACTTTGACAATCTTCTTATGGTTACTTACAATTCCATAACTCTCTTTTTAAGGTGCAAGGTGTGTTCCTTTGTTGTTCTCTGAATATTTTTATTATTTGATTTTAGAAACACAGTACGGTTAGCCATCAGAAAGATTACTTATGCACCAGAACGACCCTTGCCTCAGGTAAGCTGAAAAATTAGATCTGGGGTAAAGAATGAGCACCTTCACTATTTGGGACCTTGCTTAGCACTTTGAGTATACATGTACCTGAATTAATTTTGGGAGCCACATCTTTTGTGTGCTTCATCTTTATCTTTTATTAGTAGTATTATCTATCTGTGTGTTGAATTTCATTCCACAGCCTCAGGCTGAGACGGAGAAGGAATTCATGCTTAGCACTCATAAGCTCCACATTGAAGCTTCTTTGGACAAAGAGGTAATGTTAGTTTTTAGAAGCACAGAGGATGGAGCAGGGGGGAGGGGTAAAGGTACAGTGTTGGATACCAAAGTACTATGGGTGGGGTGGGAAAGGGTGTGTGCTGAGTAGGTGGTGTAGAAGGGCACAATGGCAAAGGGATAGGAGCAGAAGAAGGTGTGAAATTGCAAGGGGGGTGTAGAAGATCAGGAAAAGGTGGAAGTTGCCTGGAGCAACAGAAATGTGTAGGGAGGGGTTGGGGAGATTGTGATGCAGATGTCACCCTCCTCTTGCATTTGCAGTAAAGTGAATCTTATGCAGTTATGGATGTAGAAAATACTTTGGCTGAAAAATCTTTTTCTTTTGCAGATGTATTACCATGGGGAGGAGATTGGGGTTAATGTACATATTGCAAATAGTTCTTCCAGGACATGCAAGAAAATAAAAGTTACAAGTAAGGAAATTGGAGAAAAAAAAATACTCCAAATTTATATATTTTGTTTTTTCGTTTGTTTCATTATTTTTTTCTTCTTCTTTGTTTGTTTGTTTGGTTTTTTTTTTTCCATTGCAATTTTTGTATCCACTGCCTTTGAAAGACAAATTTCTCAAAGTGTTATGAGCACAGCAATGTTCTCATCTTTTCACTACATGCATGTGTTTACGTTGTGGAATTCTTAGAAAGCCACAAGCTCTTTAGACTTTTAGCTTAGAATTGTGTCTTTCTTTTGCAGTACGACAGTTTGCTGACATCTGCTTATTTTCAACTGCACAGTACAAGTGTCCTGTGGCATCGTTAGAATCTGAGTAAGCATTAAGGATAAAGTTAGCAACAAATTCTGGTTACATTTTAAATCACTATGAATTGTTGCATCAAAAAAAAAATTTTTAAGAGAGAAATTGTGTATCTATTACTTGTGAGAGGAAGAAAAATCTGTGTCCTTCATAAAGATGCAAACTACAGCCAGTTCTGATGTTGTAGTGGGATGCACTAACATTTATTTTCATATTCTCCCCACTTCTCTTTTTATGTTCCCCATGTTACTGAGAAGGAGAATTTGTTTCCCAATCAGGAGCTTCTTAAGTGGTGATTGTTTCCTCTATTCTTACCCTCTCACAATTGTACATTTGATGTAAGAAAGGAGAAAGATGCCAGTTACTTTTAGGATTAAAGGAATTGTCAAATGTACAGCTTAACTTTGTTTACCTAGATTACAGGAATAAATGTCATAATTTTAAATTTAATTGTTTCACTTTTTATTCTCCTTGTAGAGATGGTTTTCCTGTGGGACAGAGTGGAACCTTATCAAAAGTGTACCGCCTCACACCACTCCTGAATAACAACAGGGTATGATATAAAGGCTGTTTGTTATCCTACACCTTTTATGTTTATAGAAATAACTGTATACCAGTATTTAGATGCAAAGTCATTCAGTAACTGATGATGAGAAGACGGTATGATTTCTATTTCCCTTCCCCCTTCCATCTCCTTCCTTTGACCGTCACTCACCCCTTTTGTACAAATTTATTTCTCTTCCAAGCCTACTGCTGCTGTTAAAATCAAAGATGGAAGCTTTAATTTTCACCAACAAAATACTGAGCACTCATTCGTCAAAATCACCCGGCTCTGCAGGCGTATTGATACCAACTAGTGTTACTCCTGAGCATTCAACACGTACTTGCATGATGTTGATAATGGTCACTTATCTAATGCTGGTTTCTGATTTTTTCTTGTTATGTAAGGATAAAAGAGGCTTGGCACTCGATGGAAAATTAAAACACGAGGATACTAATTTAGCCTCCTCGACGATGTAAGTAGAACTTAGCCCACACATCCTGATCAATTCAAAACTTGTATTACATCCATTTTGAAATCACTTGTGATCCTTGTAATCTGATTGGCTCTCATTGATGTGATTTAATGTAATGAGTCGCACCATTTTTTTTTTCACAAAATAGCATTTTTTTTTCCTCAGCCAATGAGGAAGCTTTACTAAAATATTTAAAGATTGCTGGCTTAGATTATTTTTGAAGCTTATATTAATTTGCAGTTGCTTTATTGTGCGTAAATCTCCTTCCTCCCTCGCGAGAACTTTGTCACGATTTTCAGTAAATTTGATTACAAGGCAGCCTGCTGTCACTGTACTCTACGTGAGTTCGTGATATGAAAGGGTTTAACTGTACTTTTTTATTTTATTATCTCCTTCCTCATTTTTAGAATGGATGACACCATTCCTAAAGAAAATCTTGGAATCATAGTAAAATACAAGGTCAAAGTGCGAGTCATAGTGGCTTATGGCGGGTAAGAGCGGCAATCTTGCTTCTTTTTGGCAGGGGGGGAGTGGGGTGAGGAAGGGGTTTGGAAGAGAGTTAAGTAAAAGGCAGAGGCTGTTCTCTTGCTAGGTCCATCCAATGTGACAAATATCATTCGCGTTTAAAATTCTCCATGCTTTGTCGTTAAATCCCCTCTCTTTTTCTATCAGTGATGTGACACTGGAGTTACCGTTCACATTAAGCCATCCCAAACCTCCAGATGAGACACCGCCGTCCACACCAGCCCCACAAGTACCCACAGAGGAAGCAGCAGGTAGGACACTGGGAGGGGGGAGGGGGGAAGGGGGTCGGGTAGGAAAGTCGAACTGCTCGAGAATGTTGTGCCCCACTTGAAGTTTTCGAGGTCTTTTCTCTTTTCAAAGATTTTACTTCTATACGGTACTACTTTCCGTAAGGGACCAAGGATTCTTGCACTTGAAAACTCTTGAATGAAAAACAAAATTCTCGACTCGTGATAAATTATCAACTCCCTTTCTGCTCTAAGTATTTCCAACTCAAATAAACTGCATGAAACTGTAAGAAGGTCATCAGCCAAAACTCTTATTTGAAGCAAATTTGAAGTGTACTTATTTTATTCGTCACTTTAACTTAAATATTGTTTGCAAACGCTTGGTAAGGAGGCAGAAAAGTGTGCGATCTTTTTCTCTGAAAATCGCCGAATGTCGTTTCCATACGTTGAGAAAAGTTAAAGTGTCGTCAGAGGAGACTGGACGCTACGATCTTTAACCCTTTAAACCTAAGAGTGACTAGCATCTAGTTTCTCCTTACAGTAATACTGCTGAATCATTCATTGCAGTCCATGAGAATAAAGGAAATGATTACTAACTAAAGAAACTCTAGATTGTTAAACAAATTCTCCTTGTCAGCACTTTAGGAAATGTAGGAAGAACAGTGGGGAGAATATACATACTGATATTAGGGTGTCAAGGGTTAAGGGGTTAGTAACGGCTTGTATCTCGTGGAGAGATTAGCTTGAATGTTCAATTACTCATTTTTTATAATGACTAGGAGACGTATGACCTTGATTCTCCATATAACAAGACATTTTCATCAGTTTAACGAAAAAAAAAGGCTTTTTATGTTACTTGTATCGTCACGTTACTGACTCCAGTATGATTTGTTTGTAGGGGGTGCCGCTTCAGGTGACATTCCTGTAGACCACAACTTAATCGACTTTGACACTGAGTAAGTAAAAACGCGTATACAAACGCGCGTAATAATAACAAGGATTTCAAATAAAGCCGGTGGCCAGCGGTCTACCGCCGCTCGTAAGATCACAGGCTGTTGTGTTTGGGTTTCGCCTAGCGGTAAAGCCGTTTATTACACCATCGACAGCCGCTTATGGAAAAAGCCCGGGAGTGCCGGGCATGTGAAAAGTAGTTTTAAGGATTGAAAGTAACAGTTTGTGAAAATTCCATAGAAATGGTCAAGAGCCATACTTGATGTTGGATAATAAATTTGGATTCAATAGTGGAAAGGTTTTCAACATTTTTGTTAGTAGCACTCTCTACATTAGCTATTCAAAGCCAGTGTGAGGCTTAAAACTACTAACCAGCGGGAAAAAAAAGACTGAGTGATAAGTGAGGTAGTTCACTAAACCATTGCAGTCTGTTAATCCTTAAACCCCAAAGAGTAACTGACTTCTAACTACGGCTTACAATGTCACCCTTGAATTACCCGCGAAGGTCACGAGAGTAAAGACAGTGATCAGCACTTAGAAAATGTATAGGGAACGGTATGGAAAATATGTATGGTGATGTTAGGGTGTAAAGGTCAAATAGGAAAACAATGTAAAGTTCTCTGACCTTTTTTACAGAACATTGAGAGAAAGTTACTTATGAAAAGGATAATATTCTTGATATAATTCCAGACTTTCGTAACTAGTATAGATGAAAATGTGTTGATGTTAGTGATGAGAATTCATCGAATCGTTGTATTTTATTCCAGTGGTCCTGACAAGAATGAGGATGACGACCTTATCTTTGAAGACTTCGCTCGCCTCAGGCTCAAAGGAGGAGAACACCTTGACAGTGCAGACGCCTGACTCCCATTCAACGCGACAATTTACATGGGAGGGGAGAGAGAGAGGGAAGAATTGTCTGTCTAAAGAAACTGTGTCTACTTACTTCGTGGATTAGTTTCCTCTCCTAAGAGTTACAAATTTGAAGATATTGTCTTGATCTACTTAAATATTGTCAGACCACTTAGGAAAAGTAATGTATGGTATTCAATAGGAAGAAATGTCTTGAACTTGGAATTTATCAGAAGAGGTTTACCGAGAGGTGGTAATATTACAGTATTAGTTTCAAAGCCTCTCGGTTCCTCTGTAGACTTGTTTTCAGATTCAGCTACAAACGGTAAATAGAAGAGCGCTCTTGTGCGAATTTATGTATGAAAAAGCGATATTATTCGATTTCATTTTGACATAGTTAAAAACCGTTCTTAGACATAATTTTGGCATCATTATTTCTTTCTATGAAGAACTTTTTTCAAATCACTCAACAACCAAAAGACTGATTCATTTTTCTCACATCAAAGTCAATGGAAACGAAGACTCCAAACATTTTAATCATAGAAGACGAAGCGAAAAATAATTTGTTTTGTGTTATTTCTTTTATTTTTTTCCTTTTGGAAGAACCTGCAGGATATTATCTGAGTGGAAATCGTGTAGTGAAAGGGATACGTATAGTATGAAATATCGCCAGATATGTATACACAACTTCCTTGTTAAGACCTAAATTGCTATTCTCCCTATGTTATAACTACTTACGAAGACTGTAACTTGATCCTGTTTGATAGGAGCCTAGGGCAAGATTTTGAAAATTAGAAAAATGTCACTGTATTATTTCGTGAATTAACGTCACAGAGGAGACGTGCTTGGGACTGGGGAGGGATAACAGTATTAAAATTGATCAGATGTATGTTGTATGCTTCACTCGTAGCGATTCACATCTGTGGCTAATAAAATTGATAAATTGTTACTGGATCAAGCTTTCAATCTCAAAATCGCTTTTGAAGGGAAAGATGAGCATGTCAGCTTTTGGAGTGGTGTGGTTTGAGGGTGCGTGAGACTCCCTCTCGAACTCGACGTCGAATCTAGGGCCTCCTTCCCGTTCCCAAGGGGGGGGGGGAGAGAGATGGAGAGAGAGGAGTAAGAAGAAGGGGAACCCTAGGGACGAGGTTGTCTCAAACAGGGCTGAAGAATACAGACCAAGCGCGCGTCAGAGAGCCCCCTTCAGCTTGTTTACCCATTTTAGGTTGTGATAATATTTTGGTGAAATCTTTCCTATGTATGCATAATTTAAAAGTGATAAAAAATGGAAAATCCCTTGAGACCTGAAATGGGTAAACAAAACTTACAAGCCAAAGACGTCGATCTCTCAACTGATCCAGACCTTGAATGATAAAATATCATGATAGCCCTCAGAGATTTCTCAAATTAACATACATCTTGTCCATTTTAACCATATCTTGACTGATCCAAATCTTAACTAATAGGATGTCATGATAGCTTTAAGAGACTTCTCAAATTAATATATCTTGGCTTTTTTAACGATATCTCCAGGGTTCCAATCGTCTTGGCGACAGCCATTAAGTCATCTTTTTGTTTGTCCGAACTGAAGATCTCTCCAGAAGCATTTTGGAACGTTAACGCGGTAGTTTGTTAAAAGAAAAAATTCATTTGGCAGTCCATGTGGCATATATCATTATGATCTCATATTCTATGTCAGTTTGATCTATAAATTTTCACCGAAAGACTCTTTTTCGGGCTATGCGACAAATTTAAATGAAACCGCATAGTCCTCTTCCCGTTGTCATGGTTACTGAGGACACCTCCAAACAGGGAGAATGTTTTGAAAATATCGGTATACAGTGAGCAAATATCAGAGTACACAAAACGAACCCTGATGATAATTAAAAAAAAACATAAATAAACAGTGAGTGAGAGGTATTTAATAATATCTTTCCCATAAGCGGCTGCCGATGGTGTCATTAGCCAGCAGGTAAAACCCAAACACGAGAGCATGCGCGAAGGCTGAAAAGACGGCGGAGAGAAGTCTTACAGCCAGTAACCGGCTTTAATTGCAACCACAATGAAAGCGATAAAGTAGATAACATCAAATATTTCAGTTCGTTCCATTTCAAAACGCGTTATGTCAAAGAATCGAAAATGCAATTTGAATAACAGGGAGACTCTACACGAGTTTCACGAGAAGTTTACACCAGAAAATAATTTTCGTTCCTGATCTGAGGAATTACTCCCAAAAAATTCAAGGAGTTGTTTGTCAGGAAAACTGGCTGGGTTGGTATGAAGCGTCCGTGAAAAGTTACCAGATCGAAAAAGGAAATAATTTATGCAATAAAGTACGTTTTAAAGTTATTTTGACACTTGTAAAGACTGAAGAAGCGTTTCCGTTTTTTTTTTTTTTTTTTAACTGAGGTACAAATACAAAATATGAAATAAAGTGCCATGTTGAAGAGAATAATAAATAATGTAAAAAAAAAAGTTTCAACAATTAGGGAGGCTATTTATTTCATGAAGCACGGGTAGAACAGAGCAGATAATGTTTCTAATGAAACAAAGAAAAACCTGAAAGCCCAATTTCCATATTTAGTATACTTGCTTGATTTTCCGTGGATATTCTGTCGATTCGCCCATAATCTCAGTGAATGCTATGAACTTAAATGTAGTAGCTGTGCCTAATGTTTACAAATTCATAGCGCTATCATAAAATGAATTACAAGGTACAAGATAATTTGTTCCGGAGAACGACCGACACATGACAAGATTTACGACATCGATAATACCAGCTACTTAAACCATCAATGAAGAGTTTCCAGACGAAATGATAACCCTGGAAACGGCATCAGCACAACAAAAGAAAACTTGGTAGTAATGTTAAGAGTATGAAACACTGGTATGTTTTCATTCAGAGCGAAAACGGAATATTTCGGTTATTTTGTACGCGTTCTATTTGCGGGATATTTTGCGGTAGCCACTCAACTCGAACTGAATGGGTAAATTGAATAGGTATTGCCCGTGAACTAGCGATTATATTTCCATCATTAATTTGCACGCGAGAAATTGAATACAGGGAAATAACATATAAATTCGTTTTGGAGTTCAATTATTTTGTGTGGAAATCACCGAAACGTCGATGTCTATTTGTTGAGCAGTATTTCAAAGCTAACTATTAAATCGACTTAAGAAGCACCTGTTTGATCACGTGCAAGCTCGTTATACAAGAACCAATTGCTAGCGAGATCCACAAAAACATAGACTGTTGGTTTATATTAAAGGATTGCCACTTCACCGATGTAAACTCCACAGAATAAAACAACGTTAGCCTTGTTCTGCACTGAGCAAGCGACGGTGTTTCAGTCCTTCTTAGTATTGTCGAGCGGCTCTTTTCAGCAGGGGCGTTATTCACGTCCCAAGAACTCCGCAGTGGTATTCTCCTCGGTTTACTGATTGTACATGAACATAACAACTACCCGCTATGACTTGAAGAGGTCGTGTACAGCATCCAGTTCACAGAAACCTCACTTAAGATAGTGACGCACTCATCGAAGCAGAACTGTTAGAGGCCGGGTGGTTAGGATCCTGCGATCTTCCGGTTAGAGATTCCGCATTCGCGAACCATCCGAAGCAACTGATGTTCGAGAGCGCTGTGCGTCAGTTTTGATGAACTAAAGACGGGATGAAATGAAAATGAGACCAAATACTACGAGAGAGTACGGCTTGGATGCAACTGCCATCGTTGGTTGTGGAATCTCGCTGTTTTTTTGCCTGGTTTCTACTATCGCTTTTATATTTTTCAGGTGATACATTTCTCATTGTTCATATCCTTCAATGTTTAGAATAGTTTATCTCAAGTTAGTGCTTTAAGACAGACTAAAATAGCGTTGACTCCCACAGAAAACCCTTGTTAAATTTGTCATTTCCGCCTTAACGAAATTCCTTTTGAATGAAATCGTTTTGCAACGCTTAAATGAGTCTACCTAAAACTATTACTGATCACTCTTATGAAACATGATTTATGCAGACAGGGATGGTTTTGGCAGGTACAAACAAAACTTTTAATATCATGAAATCTGCGGTGAGGAATTGTAATTGGCAACGTTAGAGAATGTCTGCAAATGATAGAAACAAAAATTGGAATTCGTCGAAAAAGCCTTAATCGAGGCCAGCAAATTGACTCCTTGATGTTTCGAACTTCTGCTCGTGTGCTAAATATAGTTTGAGAAAACTGATACATACACTTCGTGTATGTGTCGCTGAAACTTCCCTGAGGCTTTCACTATCGACCCCGTATTTACCTATAAATTGACAGCACACCTTGTATTTTTAAAGTTTAATCTTATTCCGGCCGTGAGCTGAATAAATACGAACGAAATCGCGCGTCAAAAACCAATGTGGATGTATATTCCACGATTTATTGTTGTAGCAAAAAAATTTCTTGAACGGAGTTCGTATTTCTTTCTTTCGAATCAGCGAGATGTGTAGTTTTGTGTCAAAATACCGTTTGTTCGATTTCCATCATCTAAGTTCAAAGTGGAAAAGATAAAAGAAGACAGAACTTTCTTTCGGTTCAAAGCGGCAAACATTTAAGGCGTCGATCAAGTATATTTTTACCCACAGCCATTACGATATACAGTAGTTTTCCTCTGTCTTTCAACATTTTGACAGCTTTTGCAATTCAATGCGGGCAAGAATAAAAAGATCATCAAGCAGAATAAAAAAAAACATTTTGAACGAGGAACTTTGCATTTTCAACCGTCAATTGACCAGTTGTTTATATATTTTTCGCGTACGGAACATTATAAAACACCAAAACATCGATCAATATTATGATGCTCTCATCTTTCGAAACTGACGAAATATAAGAATGAATTTAACCATGCGAAATACATCGCGAAATTGAAATACTGAATATACATCTAAATCATTTATGTGGGGCTATTGGCAACCTCAAAGCCATTTGGATGCAAAGTATATGAATGGAACTAACTCCAATTTTCCCAGATGGCATTCGGCCTGAATAATATGCCATTGTCATAAATTTGATAACGGAGAGGAAATGCCATCTTAATCCATTCCAAATATTCCTTTAGGCATTGCCGAAAACCATGATACGATTTTCTTTCTTTTTTTTTAAAGAACCGATTTTAAAATGTATTTTTTATCCCGACAAGCTGTTCATTGAAAATATGGTCTAGTCTATGGCCCTAATTAGCATCCAAATGTCTTTTTTCTTTCCACAGTGTTTATTTATCATTAATTTTTCAAGTAATTGGTGCTATCTCCAATACAAGGAGATAATCGCGGAAATCTGCATACATTTATCCGTTCAATTAATGGCGAATGTACACGGATCTACTAAATAGATTTGGGAAAAATGAACCAATATGTTTGCATTTTGAAACAATGTCGGAAAACCCTTGAAGTACCTTGGCCTCTATTTCATGATTACTTCACCAAATCTAAAACTTAGAGGATGTTTCCAACGTTCAAACTAAGTTACCAAGCGACTTTTTTTCATCGTTTCTCCTGGTAGACTCGATGACTCCTCACCGACTGTGCTGTCGAAGGAAATGGGAAAATAGCGGAATTATTATCAAAATTTCCGACTTATTGCCCGAAGGAAATCTTAATGGTTTATATGATGCAAGTGTCCATTTTTTGGAAATTTTACACCTTTTTAACTGAGTCAGGTTCAAGGAATATAGCAAAAACATACAATAAATCACTGACAGTGTTTATAGATCATGAATTTTGGGTAACGCAAAAAATCTCGCGGATTTCCCTACGTTTTGAACATTTTAGTTTCCGATCTATTGGTGGAAAGTTAATTTTCTGTTTCCATATGCTAAATTATTTGTTAACAACAAAGACACTTTGCTTGAATTTTTTGAAAAATTGACGAATGTTTTACGTTTTTAAGTCGTCTGCTAGCTTTCAGGCTTAAAACTGGGGAGTGCCCTCACACAATGGCTGGGAAACACCTCCAACACGCACCCAGAATGTAATTCATTCTTTTGGCATGGCTCAAGTGCACTTTGATTCTAAGAGGCTGCCAATTTTAATTCTTTTACTTTTTTACCATTTAAAAATGCATAAAAGAGTTTAGAAGCTGACGTTTTCAGTGTCAGCCCTCCGTCATTTGCTCTCACAAAGGGCTAATGCTCAAACAACAGTTTTTTTAACTCTTTACCGTGGCCAATCTACAATATCATGTCAGTTAATCAAACCAAATTATCTTGTTACACAGGATATTAATAACCTGGGAAGGTGAAAATTTCCATACAAAAAACACTGAACTCGTCAAGGAAAACTACTTTATATGTTCGTCGCCATCTTGAATTTGAGAGGCAGGGGAAATATTTCCATCATCTAAGTTCAAAGTAGAGGAGAGACACAAATGAAGAAAGTATCACGAGTATGATTACAGACAGAATTGGACGACACGAATTCCTGTCACCAATTAATCATAACCATTACAATTTCCGAAAAAAAGTACATATAGAACAAATATCTCCAATGGAGAAAATGTCTAAAGTAAAAAATTCCTCCATTTCGGAAATTCCCCAGTTTTTCTCAGGATAAGTGGTTGTTGCTATGGTTATTGTGATCAATTCTGTGATTGGTGGATTAGCTGAGTGGACTAAGTACGATTGGCTGCTTCAACTGTCCGATTAGAGCCAACTATCCGATTTCACTGTCCGATTACAACTCTGCATAATAATTAGTGAAAAATAAAGCAGTCAGTGCGCCAATCACATTTGAGGAAACTGTAATGGTTATGATTAACAGAAAAAAACATACAGAGAGACACGTGAAGCATTATTGGATGATTGCTCACAATCCCTCATCTGCATTACAGTTTCACTATTCAATCGCAAAGACATATAAAGGGGTTTTCGTTTGATTTGTTTTAACAACGACTACTTTTTTTTACTCTAGGCCTCGGACAGAGTCGTTTCTCATCAAACAACATTTGATCTTGGCTGTGGGACTGACTCAAGTTGTTCTGTTGCTTAGCATAGCTGCTTACAAAAAGGAGGTGAGAAGACTGTAAATGCTCTCCAAATTAAAACGTTACTGTGGCAATTTTTACTTAACGAAAAACAAAGTGGAAAGGTAGCGGGTGTTGATAGGTTCAGAACCTCTTCTTGAGAGCAGACAGGCAAGAAAAACGCAGTTTTGGTTGTGAGGAAAACGGTAGCCCTTTCATTTTTTAAATTCATTGAATTATTTTGGCCTAAACCTAACCTTCTAAGTGTGTCCGCCCTTTTGAACTAAGAGTCTGGAACTAGGCCAACCTTCAGCAGACTGCGAATGCAGACGTAATTCCGGTTGTCACTATCGGAAATACCTCCTGTATAAAACGTATACAACAGGACAACTTCGAATAAAGACTGTATTCCAGAATAACAATATACAAGACAGCTTTCACGCATTCCTTTTCATTTTCCTTTTTTGAGTTTTCATCAAGAGTTCAAAGTTCAATTCGTGGGGGGTAAGAAACATACAAAAATCCACGTGACACTCTCGGTCCAGTTTTCAACACCTCCGTCTCTCCACCCAGGAGTATAAAAGGGTCAAGGAGGCCTGAGAAATTCCGGAGGGTAGCCATGCAACTGACTTGCATCCCTTCCAGGGGTGAGTAGCGCTACTCCTAGTGGCTTCATACTAAGCTTAAGCTAGGTGCGCCACGTGGCTCGAGAATAAATATCACCTTCACCTTACTTAATAAGTGCATTACCATTTTCTTCACAGGAAGGATGTCAAGCGATGTCAGTCATTCTTCATTATTCCGTTTCATCTTGTTTTTCCTGGTGTCTAGTGGATAGTTTATTCTTGTACTTTACTCACACCAACAGCTCTCATCCTCTAAGAAAGAATATTTATTATTTGCTACTTGGCTGGGGTGAGTATCTGGCCAAAAATGTCTCAAAAGGAGAAAGTTGTAACAAAAAATACCAATCGCCGCGGATTGTAGGACAGAGAAATTTTCAATAGAGGGAGTAATTCGGGATTGCCACGGTTTTACTGAATTTTGCTTTGTGCTTGGTCCAGAAAACTTGTCCCATCCTCTCAACTAATCAGATGCAAAACTTAAAACAATCGCGCATTGGTCATTCGCTTTTCCCGCGCTTCAAGCAGTTTACTTCTTTTCACTTTGAGTTATTATTGGTTAATGATAATGTTAACCCTTTTTTAACTAATGTTTGACTGCGGACAAAACTTTGGATTTGGGTTTTCAACTCTTGCTTGCGAACTGTTCTATTAGGGTAAAGAACAAGCAGTATCACGTGCCCTGAGGGATAAACGCACATGATACTTTTTTCGATAAAGTTTTGGCAAAATTAGCAGGAAAAAACCTGAGAGGAAAACAGCTGTCTTCCCGTAATCAAAGTTTGCAGTAGAGAAGCAAGATTCTTGAAGAGAATCAAGAAATGAAAGGAGAAAGGAGATAAGGGAAACGAAATAACATAAGTTAGCGAAATAGTTGAAGCGTAATGTTAGGGGAAGGTAAATGAGAAAACATGTTTGCATGAATGAGTTGCTTATGGGCAAAGAGCAGTATATACTACTACAAAATTTCTCGGCTTGATAGGTTGCCAGTTTTACTTTCATTTTTTTCTAGATATGGGGCTTCGCTCCGCGCGCAGTGCGTGCTGCGAGCTCCGCTATTATGCATTACGCCTGAATCAATTCAACCTTTTTTACTGCACTTTACACCTGTACAAAGTGCTTCCATTGTCATTTTAATCAGTTTTTATTTCGTATTCCTCTTTAGGGTTTCCAGTAACTGTGATAGCAATATCTCTTGCCATTGGGTTTAAATCAAAACAGTCAGAGCAAGTGTAAGCGTTACATTCTTATCACAATTATTCAAGACTGCATGAACAGCTAGCATATCAGCCAAAAGGTTGGTCAATCGATCAGTAAGTAAGACAATCAGTCAATCTGCAAGCAGTCAGTCCGTTCCTAATGTCACAGCTGAATCATTCAGTCTAGTTATTTCGTCAAGTATTTACTTAGTCTATACTTTTTTTGTACTAAGTTCTTGTTTTTTTCTCTCTTTGTTTTCAGTTTGTCTATTTATTGTTGCTGGCCTTCCGATCACATATTGTGGGCGCTAGTTATTCCGTGTCTTCTTATTGCGACGGTAAAAGAACTTTTCCGTGTGTGTAATTTGTATTAGGTATCATTTTTGTTTTTTATGAAGGTGAAGGGATTTCACAAATTTAGGGATACGATTCGTTGGGAAAAAAACCAGCCATCTCCATAATTGAGAATATGATGGTCTATTTACGATTAATTGATTAACAGAAAAATGAAAAGTCTAATTGTTTTAACAAAACGTTTCAGTTCTCAAAACCTATCAAAAATTTTTTCAGCCACTTTTAAAGTTATTTCAAAGATGCACTGAAGTTGAAAGAAGCACAATTTTTACAAAAAGAAGTAACATTAAGATCAACAATAGTTTCACTGACCAACTGGGTGAAAATTTTAACGAGTGCCTCAGGGCTCCAGTTACTTGGAGGACTTGATGTCATCCGTCAACGAAATTTCGAATTATCATTGTAAATCCTAACTTTCTTTTGTTTGTTTTTATACAGCTTAACTTAATGATGTTGTCCGTCGTTCTTCATCACCTACGACAACCTTCTTATGATATCTGCGCTAGAGCTGTTCTTGAAAAACGATATACAAGGTGCTGTGCTTTCTCCGTCAATTTTTATCTCAATTTCCGGAACCTTATCAAATAATTTCTAGCATTCTAAAGTTACCGCGGCGGAATGATCAAATAAGGGCCAAAAGTCTTCTACTTCGATTTAGACATTCAATTGAAAATTGCTCAAAAAATCCACGATACTCGTTTTTTCCGCAGATATGGCATCCGCACCAATAGTATAATGTTACTTAGTTTGTGTCTTGGATGGATTTTTGGTATTTTGTCTTTCCGAGAGGGCGATGATGTCCTTTTTCAACTCTCTTTTGGACTTATTAATGGGCTTCAGGTGAGTGGATTGTTCATCGTACGGACTATCTCAAAATAAATGTAAACCACATACCGACATTTTGAATAGCCTGGCTCACCATCGATTTCTCTGTGACTCAGTAGCAGAGCATCAGACAGCGAAATGGAGTTTCTTGAATCGATTCTTTGTTTGAGACCCAGTAATTTTCTTCGCCCTGCACTCGTAACAAAACAAGTAACGTCTTTCTCAAGTCAACAAGTGAGCTCAAAATTTACCATCTCTCTTGTTCTTCTTACACATATGGCGCTTGCAAAATAATTGATCTTAAATAACGAGGGAGGCTTTCTTTACAAATCAACCGCATAAACAAATTTTCAGTTGATAGGGCAAAATCTATGCGCGCAATCAGGATCGAACTAATTAAACGCATAATCGAACTGAGTGGGGCTTGATTTCCGATGAAAGACTAAGATTGTTCTCACTACCAAGCCAATGACTAATGTACAACATTATCCGTTGAAGTTGTTCTGTTCGGGGGGATAACTAGACGCCATCTTGGATCCTAGTGTCCACTTTAGAGCACGTTAAAGATCCCTAACGTAATTCCTAGAACGATGACAGCGTAAAAAAAAAGGTTTTGTTTGTCTTTGAAAATGGCGACCGACTTTTTTTGAATTGGCTACCACTTTGAAGAATTTAGGAGCTAAGTGGCTATCAGAAGAAAAGAATTAATTTCACCCACTGTAGGGTAGATGTGCACCTGTTCGTTAGCCTGCAGTTCAAGTCGTGTGCCCTTAACGGGAGAGGGTGGCCATCGTTTGCCGCGCCATTTGTTTGTATTAAAAACCTAAGGCATACAAATCAGGGGGGCCACCCCTTAGCCGAAAGCTTTTCCTTACCCTAAAATGTTGGCCGCCCATGCTGGGAAGGAATCTTGAGTGATCACCTTATTGCATATGACCCTTAACATCGAGTTTCTTTAATTCCAGGGAATATTTTTGTTTTTCTTCCACTGCGTTTTAAACATTGATGTAAGTAAATACTGCTCATATATTATTCGTATTTTTTTTCAAGATCCTTCTGTGTTGGTATAAAACCAAAAGCATTTGAGTAAGGTTATCTGCTAATAACACCAATGTGCCCCATTTTTTTCTCGAGAAGTCTAATAAGCTACTAATTAATTCCTGCGCAGATAAAAGGTTATTACCAGTCTGGGGTTCACCGTTGTAGTCATGAAGATGGCTGTTTGACGGACAAGGAGCGCAGTAAACGAGGCAATCCTCCCGCGCATGTGCAAGACCCACAGGTAGGCATGTTGGTCATTCCTGCTATTAACAACGAACGTTTTTTGACGTGGAAGAATCTGTAGGTTATTGTTTGAAGATAAATAAAACGATACATTGCTTTCAATGGCCATGAATATTTGCTAAAAAGAAAAATTATTCTTGGCCAAAATTAAATCTGAGATTTTAAGCTTCCCAATTTACCCACCACAGCGAGAGAAAGCTACTTGGTGAGGTGATACTTTCGTGGGTAGTATCAGATATCTCGAATTTTTATTTTAAAAAAAAATAAGTGGATGAAAAATAACAAAATAAACACCCTTCTTAAGTTACAGGGATCTCGTAGAAAGATCAGCAGCAAGAGCCCGGCGATAGAACACGTTCCTTTGATATCAGTGAGGGCCCAGACAAGGTCACCTCAGGTCAGTCTCGCATTTAAACTGGACATCTTCAAAATTACATTTTTTTTTTAATTGCTAGTTTACGATTTCTAAGAGGTGTTTGAGGTAATGGGGCTGAAATTTAAAATTTTCTTTACGGCAGGTCCCGATGGGCTTCTACATGTTCTATCATCCTTAATCTGCGAAAGGATTTTAAACTAAGAAATACTTTTTACACTCGTATAGGAAGAAGGTTCTTCGCGATCCCAATCCTCCGAACCAAAAAGTGATCCTCGGCCACTAGAGGTTACAGTAGCATCAAAGGTGGAATCCGAACCAGAGGTGAAAAAGGAAACCTCCGAGAGGCCACAAAAACCTGACCACGATGCTTATCCAAGTCTACCAGGAACACCAGAGCCGCATATCACTGAAGTGAATGTAAAACAGACGAAAAGACAGAGTCTACCACCCGAACTGACGCCGAGAAAAAGCAGCAAAAACGAGGTGGAAGGAATAAGTAAATCGGCGACAATAGCTGGTCTAGCGAGCTACACGACACCAGTAGCGGACAGTGGAACCTTCCAACATCCACAAACTGAACATTTAAAGGTGAGTAGCAACGAGTCAAACCTCAAATAATATTTCTTGCTTCACATACATCGCCAGTCCGTGTCTATCCCGGGGGAGGGGCGTTTGAGGTGGATCACACAGTTTCCAGGGGAAAAGAGGGGGGTCAGTCGACACCAAAAGAGTAGAAGGGGGGGGGAAGATAAAATATTGACTGCCAATTATGGTGGGTCATAAGAATATTACAGAGAGCCTCATGGGTGAATCAGGTTACATCAACCCCCCCCCTTCCCCCCCTGTGATACATAATGATCGATCCCTTGTTTGAGCCTTCATGCAACTAACGTCATCTCACTTGCTCTTCTATGTGGTAAAGTGCTGCGTTCCTGTGTCAATTATTCAGGTTCATACTAAGGTGGAGAAATCCCACAGTGAGCCGATGTTTCCTCCAGTTAATGATCCAGCGAAACCGAGCGATAAGCCGCCCGCTGGTCATGTGCACAGCAGTACAGACACTCGAAAGCTTAGTGTCCAATCCTCTGCCTCGACTGGAGGATCGGGAGAAAGAAAACCCCGACGAACATCACGCGGAACGCATCAAGGCGCTTCTTTAAACGAGGTAAAGTTTACAGGGATCAATGTCAAAATCCGAGCAACTGCACACCTACCCCTCCCCTTACCCAACATCAACCGTAAATTTGACTGTTGTTGGGTTATGGGAAGGGTGGGTGCGTAGTTACTCAGATAAAGACATTGATCCGGTAATGTCACCATTTACTGAGACCGTTAAGTCTTATCATCTCTACTAAACTTTCATCATTTCGTTTTATATCTACTTATTCCTTTTCTCTTTGCATATACTCCTGCATTTCAGCTGGAAAGCTTGTTTTCAAATCCGGTTTACGTCAAACCTCAGAGACCATCGGTGTCCAGTTTGCACGGACCACGTGACGGGGGAGAAAGAAAACATTCACACGAGGTATAAGGATATCATGATAGAAATTCATTCCTTTCGCTTGATGCTGACGATTTGATACTATGATGTTAACTGACTTGGATACATCTGCTTTGTTTCACAGATGGCTCAGAGGCCGGGGTCACGAACATCCTCGAGAAACACAGATGAAACAATGCTTTAAAAGAAAGATAAACGTTTCCAAGCAATTAGAAGAGATCTGCCGTCTAAAAAATCCGGAGTCCGTCTTATTTAAATAATATGAAATGTTCTTGTCGGAGCAATTTCGACATTCGCGAAGAAGAAATAGAAAACTTGCGTTTTTTAAAAGGATTTAATAGGCCAAAATATTAGCTCCATCCTTTGTGAAATTTAGAGTGGACTTCGAAAAAAAACAAACAAACTATCACCACGAGCCTATGAAAACTCAAAGTAGACATGTACAAACCAAACATCGAAAGCCCAGGAAAAAGCACGTGGCAAAGGCGTGGTTGGTATTTATTTTTGCATGTGATTGGTTGATAGGGCGGCGCGAACCTTCTCGATCATTTCCAGGGTGCAGCGAAATAGAACCAAAGCAATCCAAGATAACATTTAACATACAATTTAGGCATCTGTAGGAGCTTTTGAATACTTAGGTACTTGAACGCAGCCACTTTGAATTAAGAGTGATAACAAAAATACCTATAATTTTACAAAAAAAAAACACCTGAAATAAAGTTGCACTTGAGTTGAAAAAGAGAGAGAAGGGCTTTTATGCGTATCTTCGTTTCAGTATATACAAACCATAGCCCAAAATGCCCAAAACACAAAACGGAAGCCAGTAAAGAGGGCTCTAAGTTTAACTCACAAAGAGATCAGATTCTCTTTAGCTTAATGAGTCAAGTACCTGACCATGAAATTAAAACTCCCAAGGGCTCAAATCCTCGTTTCTTTCAGTCCCACGTGTTTAAAAATTTCTTATCTCTTCTATCTTTTCAAATCTGACCTCCAAAACTTCTAACAGTGAAACACTTCTGACTTAACAAAAGAATTCTCTTTTTGGTACATACTGCACAAAAACAGAGGAATTACAGGTAAATGTGGTGGTTGTTGTCAAAATACACATTAACTCTTGCAGTTGATAGAAAAATAACCATCTGTTGACTACTCAATTTGACCTTTTTTTTTAGCAAACCTGATGGTTCTTAAGCAATAGAGAAGTAAATTCTCAAGTAAATTCAATTTAGAGAACAAAAAAGTAATGAAAACCTCTCACAACAAGTTGGAAATTAATCCTTTATTAATTACTGTAAAAACCCAGGTCAATAATTACTGATTTTACACAAAGAACAAAAAATAGCTTTTCAACACACTTAAGTCAGAAACAAAGACACATGTAGAACAACTTGACAGTCTATCAAACATCATAACCAATCAGGCTTCGTCTTCCTATGACTTCACCAACATAAAACCAGAAGGCAATCTCCACAGCAACCAAAGTATTTGCAGCAGCCTCCTTAACTGTAACATCAAGGAACTTGCCCTTCATGACAGACTCTTTCAGACCAAGAAAGCTTTTCCTGATGGCTGGCCAGTCTGATGGCTTTGGAGGAAGCATCTCCACTTTGGCATTATTCAAGAAAGTCATAACAGGGGGCTGTGCTTTCTTAGCAGTATCTGGGTGTAAAAGACAATCTTTTATCTAAATAAACAGTAATTTTTGCAAGGTCTAAAATAATTAAACAGGACTAGCTTCTGATCACACCTCAGTCTTCACAGCCACTTGTTTATTACCATAAAAAAAAACAGACCACTTCTAGCTGTTTTTACATAGACATTTTTCAACAAACTGAGGTCAGAAATATAGAAACAGACAGTACAATCACAGTACAGTTCATACAACATTCAAAACAATCAAACAAGACTGTGAGATGCAATGTCAACATTGAATGTAAACAGTAAGGTGTTACACACTTATTACAAATGTAAAATCTTATTACTATTCTTTCCTCATTCCCTTAAGAAAATATTTTGCAAAAAACACTAAGCCAATTAAAACACCTATATCTAAAAAACACAGCTTTAAAAACTAAAACTTCTTGTTGTAACTATTGGCTACTACCATGTAATATTCCAACACAGTGGCACTGGGACAGCTAAATCAAGAATGAGAGGGAAAGAGCAACAAATTTTGTAGAAAGGGAACCTTATGTTCTATGGCAAAAACCAATTTTAACCAATTTTGAGTTAGTTTTCCTTCTACTCGCAAAATTAGCTGAGTTCAACAAGCTAACATATTCCTGCTACTTTCCTTCCTTCATATAATACTTTGCAAGATTGCAATTTTTCAAAAGATCCTTGCTTCAGAAAATACTTTGCCAGATTGTAATTTTTCAAAAGATCCTTGCTTCAGAAAATACTCCGCCAGATTGTAACTTTTTAAAAGATTACAAAACTCGTATCTTCACAATCAATTAAAACAACTTAAATCGGTAAGAAATACAGCCACACTACGAAGCTAGACCTTCAGCCTTCGATTTGATCTCTTACGTTTTGGATCACTTTCACCAATTTGCTCCTCTAACCATCGCTTATGTTACATTGCATTCAATTTACGTAACGGTGAAAACTATTACAACAGATTTCTTGCTATAGTATTCACCACAAAGTTTTAACAGTAAGTCGAATATCAGCCCACCGATAGCTGGTCTTTTCGTTACAAGATTACACAAACAAATAAGGTAGAAAAAAGAGATCTAGAAGAAGAAAAGAATGATTAAAATAGCAAAAAATTACTTTGATTTCTTACCAAGGGCTAGAAATGATATTCTAGTGACCAAACGAGGCGTTGCCGTCGCAATTTTCTGTCCAAAGTTTACCAACTTCTGCGCCATTTTGGATTTTTACGGCGAGGAGCTCTACCCAACATGCAATACGACAGCATGACTTACGTGGTCATGCGCATTATGGTAATATCATACCACGTGCGTTAGTTGTGTTCCTGAAACATTTCCAATGGGTAGACCAGGTAAGGTAATTTATCATTTCTTGCTCATCAAGCAGAATTTTAACATCTACTGATAAGAATTACGCATTTCAGGTTTTAGTCCGCGTGGTGGCCGCGGAGGAGGTGGAAGAGGTGGCGGCGGACGAGGTTTGTAAACATCATACACTAACTGAATTCCCAGCTGAATCGAATCGTGCTGTTATACTGCAGGTTTTGCGTTTACCTCGTGTCTGATTATAGTTTTAAGGGATTCTTTGTCAAATCTGTGCTGCAAAGTAAATTTTCATTTTGATCAGGGATGAAGGTCTTGCATGTGAGCCCAACATTTCGATAGATATAAATTTTGATCTCGCGGACAATGCTAAAACGTGCTCCAGTGTGCTTCTAATTTCATCCTTCACAAAGTCGTGCATAATCTTATATGAAAATTTTGTTGTTGGAAAGCTATCAAAAGTCTAATCACTCATCCGTGTGTTTCGAGCCAAACAGGACTTTGTATTTGAATCTATCCTGTTGGTAATTTATTATGAGCACACAGCAACACATTACCAGCGACAGCAAGATTTTATCCATGTGACTGTTGCATGAAAACACTAGAACTACTAATACCCTCTTTGGATGAGGTGCTACAGCTGCAGTCCATCATGAGTTACCACAATTCTCACAACCTGAACAATTGGTCAAGTTTTTATAGCATTGGGCTGGGTTGCAAAGAACTCAGATCACCTGCTGAAATTTAAAGCAAGGCTGCTCAATGATGGTGAACTTCAGAAAAGCCCATTGTGCCTTACCAAGAGAGATCTCAACAAAAAATCCAACATGGAGGCAGCTGCTTTTTCATTCAACAAATTTTGCAGGCAGCCAGAGCCTTGAGTTCATTAGTACTCTTTTATACACTTGGGTAGAGAGAGAATCCCAAGCACTATAAGCATAAGGTTGTCTACCCAAGAATACAGTGCTGACTCAAATCGTACCTCAATCACGGAACAGACCATGGTCCTGCTGGTTAACCCTTTCTCCTCTAGAAGAGACCAATGAGTTATTCCACTGAGCAATATCAATACATTGTCAACATGATGAGAAGAAAAGAAAAGATTGTTAACAAGGGGAAATTGTTTGATTTCAATAATAAATTCTCAGGGCTATAATCACAGGAAATATTTAAAATACAGTCCATAGAATTGATTCCTAGATCTTGGTAATAAAAAGGTACAAAAACACATTTTTTTGGGAAGATCAGATTGCCCTCTGTTCAGGCAGTGACAAATAGAGATATTTGAAGTGAGCTTTGACCCTTTCCAATTTTTATCTCACCAGATTCTATGTTTGTAACATTAGTTTTCTTCAGTGCAATGGAATGGTATTCTGCAGCTACTAAGAATTGTTGTTATGTTCACAGGTGGTTTCCGTGGGGGTGGTGGTAGAGGTGGAGGATTTGGAAGAGGTGGAGGAGGCGGCAGAGGTGGAAGAGGTGGAGGCTTTGGTGGTCGTGGAGGAGGCAGAGGCGGAGGCAGAGGTTTGATGTCATTGTTTATATTATCATTGACACAACCAGCACTTAATTGTGAACACATTGTAGATTAAGTAAAAGAAAAGTTTGTGTAAAGTACAAACTCCAAAGGACCATTAAAATAGGTCACAGATCAAGAGGCCAAATGGCCCTTAAGTTTGGGTACTTATCTCTGATTTTTGCAATGCATGGCTAGGAAGGGAACTGAATGTCTCGCCCTCCTGTGGCCCACAAGTGTAGGTACTTATCCCTGATTTTTGCTGTGCATGGCCAAGAGGGGAACTGTATGCCTACCCCTCCTGTGGCCCATAAGTGTGGGTACTTGTCCCTGATTTTTGTAGTGCATATCCAGGAGGAGAACTGTATGCCTACCCCTCCTGTGCCCCATAAGTGTAGATACTTATCCCTGATTTTTGCAGTGCATGGCTAGGAAGGGTATTATATGCCTACCCCTCCTGGATAGGGGCAGCTGCTCTGTCAAAAGTTTCCTTGGTAGTTCTGTGGTGCCTTTAACCCTTTACACCTTACCATCAGTGTGTATAGTCTCCATACTAGTCTTAATACATTCTGCAAGGAACTAAAGAGAATTTGTTTAGCCCTTGAACTCCTAGATGTGACTGTGAATTCTTCCCTTGAGCTGCTACATATTTTTTACATATCTTGCAAATTAAGTACAAGAATCTGATGTTAAATCAGGATAAAAACTTCTTCCTGATAATTTTGAGTATTCTCATTACCTGTTTGCTGGATAATATACAGATATTTTAAGCAGAAGTTACATGTTAATCACAACTGGGATTTAAAGGGTTGAAAATCAAGAGTTTCTCATTATTGATGTTGTTGTTGTTGTTGAAAGGAGGTGGCCGCGGAGGATTTAAAGGTGGAGCCAAAGTAACAATTGAGCCACACAGACATGAAGGTAATTTTGAAAGGTTGAAATGTTGTGATATTTAACATCCAAGTGTAGTTAAAATGATGACAAGTAAAAACTCTCCTAATTTAACTATCCTGCTCAACAGTGACGGTTTTTGTAGCCTAAAGTTGCTGTTAGTTATGGAAAGTTCAAGCTTAGAAAGAATTGAATGCAGGCTTCAGTAACAGGGTGTAATAACTCTCTCTACCCATTAACTACCATGAGTGACTAAGGCAGAATTTTTGTTACAATATCAATCAGACTAAATATCAGTTGGAGAATAATTAACTGATTCAATACCGAATTCTCAGAACTGACATCTTAAAAGAATTGAGTGGCTGACAGTATGGGAAATCACTACTGAGATCTTGAAAGTGTGAGGGTTAATTCCACCATCCTGCTTATACTGATGTGGGTGGGTAATTTGAATGCAAAATGTGGTATGACAGACCCATGTGACTTAAAGGAGTGTCTTCATTCAACTTTCAAAACTAGAAACATAGGTATACAGTAAATAACCAAAAAAAAAAAGGGAGAAAAAAATACAAATGATAATGGAACATGGGCCTTTCTGGGCTCAAAACACATGGCGTTGTTGACAAATGCAAGGAAACTATAGCACATATCAGGGAATGCTAATATGCACAAATGAAGGTAAGGCAATGCAACAGAAATATGTTAAAGTATATGGGTGTTGATATACTGCTCATCAAACCAATCTCTGGATGCTCCAAGGCAAACACAAGATTAAAAGTAATATTTTAGTCATTCTTTATGGTTGATTTTTCTTTTCATGACAATAGGAGTATTTATTGCTCGTGGAAAGGAAGATGCACTGGTCACAAAGAACATAGTCCCTGGAGAAACAGTATATGGAGAGAAAAAAATATCAGTGGATGCACCAGTAAGATACACTTTTTTTTTTTATTTACTCTCTTCTTCATTCAGTAATTAAATTTCTATAAATAATTTTCTCAAATATGGGAAAACTGGTCAATTCTGTCAAAAGGTTGTTGATTTCATTGACAAAATTTAAGGAGAATAATCACAACCATCTCAGAGAATTATCTTTGAATTAAATAAAAGTTGAGTAATAATTTTAAACCTTCTGACACCCAAATGAATTGAGAAGACATTGATCTGTAATTTGGATTGTGAAAAATCAAGGTTAATTATCTGAAGTTGGCAAACTCTTGAATAAATCAATTCATTGTTTCTTTAGATTTTGTATTTTATTTGTTTAATACACTGGGAATGTTGAAAACATGGCTATTTGACATGGTTTAATGCTACTCTGGTTTACAGATTTAATGAATGTAAACAAAGAAGTTTCAATTCATAGACCCAACGTTTCGACACTCCTGTCTAGTGCCTTCATCAGGAGTGATCTAAACGCTGCAACAAGAGGTCCTTTTATACAATCACTAATTAGCTGCCTTTTTTTCTGAGGAGGTGTAAATAGACATCAGGAAGTAAGCTTATTATTATTATTTAAAGGAGTGTGGGAGGATGATGAACTTTAATATATTACATGGCTATTTCTTTTTCAAATTTCCAATTGTTAAACAGACATTAAGGTAACCTTAATAAGCTACATTGTACCTGCAGGGTTTGTGGTCAGGATTGAAAACCAAATATACAGATGTGTAGGAAATGTGTGGGATTAGAAAGGGGAATTGTAAAGGACCTTTTGTTACTGTTTAGGATGTTGGTGCTGGTGCCGAAAAAGTTGAATACAGGGTGTGGAACCCATTTCGCTCCAAGCTTGCAGCAGCCATTCTTGGTGGAATCGACAAGATACATATGGCACCTGGATCTAAGGTGTTATACCTTGGAGCTGCGTCAGGAACAACTGTGTCTCATGTTTCTGATATTGTTGGTCCAGTAAGTAATGACCTTTTACACCTTAACATCAGTATGCATATTCTCCATACTGATCTCTATACATTTCCAAGGGTGCTGACAAGGAGAATTTGTCAAACAATCAAAAGTTTGTTTAGTTGTTAATCATTTTGTTTATTCTCATGATAGTAATTTGTGACTTGGGGGTGATAATGTAAGGAGAAATTAGATGCTAGTCACTCTTAGGGGCTAAAGGATGAAAGAAAAGCCTTTTGACTTTTTAGAAATTAGGTAATGACTCAATACTAAAGTGTGATAATTCCCAGTATAAACTGGGAGTACTGTGAAAGGGAAACAAAAATCTCCAAAACTATCAGAAAGGTCTCTCTGCAAATATCTAAGACTAGCGTCAAGAAAATACTGGAAGATAAAAAATTTATCTACAGTCAAATAATTTTTGATTTTGTCAGGGAAAGTATAGCTTCTTACGTTGTTTTGACAAATTTGTTCAAGAATTTTGTAAACTTGATCATCCCCCATGAAGAAAATATAAAAACTATGAATGAGTGTTACTATTTCAGATCCCCTCAATGTTTATCCATCATTTGTTGCTTTTCAGGATGGTCTTGTGTATGCAGTTGAATTTTCTCACAGATCTGGCCGTGATCTCATAAATGTAGCGAAAAAAAGAACAAATGTCATTCCAATTATAGAAGATGCCAGACATCCACATAAATACAGAATGCTTGTTGGTGGGTTTTCTTGCTTCAGTTACTCAACATTGTAGTTTCTTACCTAAATCTGAGGAATTGAGTGCCTGGTAATTTTCACTGTTCTCACATCAGTGTAATATTAAGCAATTATTTTGGTGCCATTTCTTCCCAATATTTTTTTGATGAGGTAGAATTAGAAAGAACATAAGGCAAGTACATCTGTTTGTTTAATATGGTAACCAGTGAAGCCAATTTCCCAGCCAGTGTTGCATGTAGATGACATGAATTACACAAGCAAAGCTGAAAAGTGTTCTACAAATTTTACTATACATGAATTAAATGTTAAACTTAAGCTATTTGAGTTCCATGCATATTTCTTTTTTATTAAATAAGATATTTGTTAAAATTTTTCTTTTCCAGGAATGGTAGATACTATTTTTGCTGATGTGGCTCAACCAGACCAAGCCCGTATTGTTGCTATTAATGCTCATAACTTCCTAAAAAATGGAGGACATTTTGTCATTTCTATAAAGGTATGCAGAAAAATGGAATAAAATGTTCATTTTTACACCTTTTCCAAGGAAATTCGGCCAATCAGAATTTAAGAAAGCTTTGTTACTCTGAGTTTTTCCAATCTGTGCTTTTGTCTTATTAGTTAGCAGCAATATTTTCAGTTTTTTTCAGCATTTAGTGTTGGTTACTTTATTTGCTAATCATCCTTTTTATTTGGTGTCATGAATTTATTTATACACCCTTTGACGAAGTTGTTAAAACATCATCAAGATCATTCACATTATGGAGCCAGATCAAAACCACTCGTAATAATCTCTACATTTTTAGGCCAACTATTAAGCTTTGTTGTAGTTTATGTAAAACTCTTATCTTATACCAAGGAATATCCCATTTGTCAGTCCTGTATATCTTTTCTTGATATACACACACACCTATTGAGTATAACATTGTAAGAATTGTATGGTTGACAGTATAGAGAATTACAAATTTGACCTGGGAGTTAAAGGGTTAAGGCAATAGACCCCACTTTTTATCCACTTACTTGTGTAACAACCCATGCAGGATGTTGGTAGAACACAAAAAGAGTTGGAAAATCATTAGTCGGAAGTGAGGGATTCACAATTTTTCCTGGCAGTCTCCCAACATCCTAACTGGGTTAATAAGTGGGTGAGGCAATTTAAAGTACAGTTAATTGCTTTAATCAAATAATTTTAAAATTAAACAAAGTATGTCTTAATTTTCTATTGGGTTACCAGTGCAAAAAACAATCAGTTTTGGACCAATCAGGGCATTCATATTACATCAGTTATTTTGTAATTCATGCTATACCACATGTAGGCATTGCATTATCAGTACAGTATTCAGGTTATGTAGTGACGGACCATATAATTGTGTCATAATCAGACATAAATGACAGATCTTGTTTCGTTGTGTCACTACCAGGCAAACTGCATCGATTCAACAGCAGAACCTGCTGCAGTATTTGCAGGAGAAGTGAAGAAGATGCAAGCAGAGAAAATGAAACCCCAGGAACAGTTGACACTGGAACCGTACGAGAGAGATCATGCTGTAGTTGTTGGAATTTACAGGTAAAGCATATACAACCTCCTGTACTAAAACATACAAAACCCAAAGCTTGCCTGGAATTGGTATTTTCAAGCATTTCCTATTAATCATTTTTCATTAGTAGGGGTAAGAAGTTGGCTCATTTGGGAAATTATTTTCAGGGCATTGAAATTGAAATTATACTTGGAAAGTAACACCCCTTCTCCAAAGCCATGATTAGTTTCATTATAAACTATACCCTATTTGCGAAAAAAACATTTTAGATCCTGTTTCTTACATATAAGCCAACATAAGGGAATACTTCTCAGAAAATACTTGTATCACACAGCAGTGCTCAATTAGACATTTCCTTCAAAGAGAAACTTATATTCTATTGACTTAAGCAAGATTTTAAAACCTTTCTGATTTTGATGTTTCCTCCACTTCCTGTCAATGTATAACGGATCAAATTCCTTGGCAGGGGAGAGAGGAATGTTGATATGAACATTTGACTCTTACATTAGCAAGGAAAAGAAGTAGTGGTCATAGAAGGAAATTTTATTGATGGACATTGCATTTCTTTTGTTACAGACCACCTCCAAAGAAGGACAAGCAGTAGAATAGATTTCAGTTTCTAGGATTTTATTGTAACTTATGTCACATTTTGAAATAAAAAAATCAGTAATTTCTATATAATTTTAACATTCCAAAGAGCTTTTGTCTAAAAATCTTTACCGCTGCCTATACTTTTTAAGGTTGCATCAGTCCTTCTCTCTGTCGGAGTCAATTTTTACTGTAATAACAACCATATTGATGGGAGTTAACTTGGCTACTAGGATATTTCCTGGTATTTGGAAGTAACCTATGTTTATTTTGATTTCCAAACCTGCAAGGAAGCCTAAAAAAGTGAATTTCAATATAATTTATTTTGAAAACGCTTCACAAAGTTGTATGGGGATGACTGATCATGTTTTGATAAATGTACATGTATATATCAACGTTGATTTGTTCCTGCGCTCTGAAATAAAGTTGTGTCTACCTGGTAAATTGGTACTTCAAGAGTGGTTCATCTAGGTTAATTAATGTGCTATTAAATTAATTTTTTTCTATCCCGTTGAGAGAGCCATGAGGTTTTTAAAAGTCTGACAGAGTCCTTTTGAGGATTATAAGCAAAAGAATGACAATTCTCTTCGAGGTCAGAATTTAAAATGAGACATTGAAAATAGACCTGCCAGTCACGAACATTAAGTAACACAGACGTTGTCATGCAAATAGTATTGGTGCAAGAAGAAAAGGATCTGCCTTTTTCGGTGGTACATATATTTGTATAACTTCCTGAGATAGACAAGGCTCCGCACTCCTCGCGCGGCCCAAACTTGTCCCGCTTCGCCCTGACAACCTCAAGTAAGCCTCGCTGTATACTTGAATCATAGTACGAGAAAAGGACTTTTGTCAGCAGTTCAGGTTTTTATGCCTACGGAAAATTGCACGACTAAACAGGAAAATGACAGGAAATGAAAGATGAAAATTTTCACACACTATTTGTGTTTATTTCACAAATTAAAGTCATCTATCTACAGTTTCCCTGGAAACAAAGTAATAAAAAAGAAGGTGGCTGATTGAATTACAAAAAGCCTAAGAGAAGCTGTATAAATTTATCTGGAACACAATTTTCCCACTTATTTTTAACGATAACGAAAATAATTCTTTGGGTTGTTTTAAAATCACAGAAATACTTTCACAAAAACCAAAAAGGGCGTGTTTTCAGTTGGAAACTGGTTATACGATTTCAGCCATATTGGTTATGAACTGTGTTACCTTAGCCGTTTACAAGTTGATTTCGTGGCCTGTGAAGTCGATCTAGCGAAGATGGTGAGTAGAAGAAGAAAAACATTAACACAAATTTGGCTCAGATATGAAAACATACTCAGACAATCCACTGTTTCTAGCTTCAAAAAAACAAAAAAATAGGCGTTTATAAGTCGACCTTCGGCAAACTTCTCCCGTCCTTATCGCCTCGAGGAGGGAGGAGGATTTTCGTTTTTGTCCCCCCCCCCCTTCCCACCTTTATTGGCTGTTAATGGGAGTCAATTTTCTATAGTGCTCCCTTTATGAAAGGCTCTGTCGATGACGACTGACCCCCTTTGTTCCCTCTGAGAATCATGTGATCCCCCAAAAAGCAAGGTCAGTTGCCTTAGACGGAAATAACTCTTGCTCTCAGCATGTTGCCCCTTCCAAACGAGAAAAAAATAACATATTTAACATTTCTTTGCAGTGTCTTGTTTGGATACATAGCTTTAGAATTTACTAAAAATGCTACAATCTAATTAGCTACGCTATTCGCTATCTATTCCGTAATTGATAATGAGTAACTTGAAAAGCTTGTGTGCATTTGCAAACAAAATAAAACAAAACAACAACACTAGCCTGTCTTTTTGTTAAGTTTTGAAAAACGACTGGAAGATGAACACTTAGATAGTGAGATCTTTCGAGCTCATAATCAAGATAAAAAATTAAGTTATTATTTTTTCGTGTCATTATTTAACAGGTGTTTGGAATAACGTAATTTCCACTGATGTACATATCCCGATCGGCCAATTTCGCCCTTAAAAAAACATAACTTTCCAAGATTCGTATTTCATCAGTGTTCAAAGTTTTAGAACAAGATATGAAACAAAGCTCCCCTGTGGCTCTACCACTCAGGGACCTTTTAAACTTTCTTTGATAGACATTTATATCACCATACAGACCTGGTTTATTCGTGTCCAATCCTTCCATCATTTCGGCATGCTGCATACGGGAGCTGAGAGAGGCCCGTCCTCCTCCCCCTGCCTCATCTCATTCGTTGGAATTTCCTTTAAAAGATAGCTTTCGAATTCAAATGAAAACCACGCATCTGTTATTACAGGAAGTCGCACGTTTTTTGCCAGAAGCGGTTTGTAATCACAGGGTGTGTCCTTGTAAGACGACAAAGACACATTTGGATGCGGTTCTGCACGTGAAATTGGGTCAGAGTATGACGTTGTACTGCTTTGTTCGGGAGCATCAGTTCGACTGTCGGTTGGGTTGCCTGTTGATGGATTATCTTTTATCTCAGACGTTGGGGAATCTGTGGTAACGTCTGAACTTTTTGAGTTTACTTCGAGTGATTTCTTTTTTAAAAGGTCGTCCATGGGTTCCATTAATTCCACCTCTCTTGGTCGTGTTGTATTCCAGTACACCTTTTTAATGATAAACAGGTTTATCTCCGCTGTTCTGGCTCTAAACAGCAAGCGGTAAGGCCAGTTCATTTGCAGCAGTGTGGCGATCCAGTAAAATACGGGACTCATCCAAAATGGCTTCACATTCATATCGGTATAGGCAGAGATGCGCTTTCCCCAGGTCAAATCGAGAAATGCCCAGTCGGTATATCTCCAGCGAGAGGTATACTCGTCCAAGCCTTCCATCTTCTCTGACATTTCTTTCAGCTTTCTCTTACAAACCTCTTCTGTTTCTTGGTCACCGAATAAGATTTTCGGGTAGCACTTAATGCGAACCAGATCCACGCCCTTCAGGGGTGGCCTGTCTCTCTTGGAAACGTCCACCCATGACCCGATTATGAACTCTTCACATGCCAGTTGTGTCACTACTTTCACAGTATAGGTCTCTGTATGAGCTACTCGGTTTCGTTTAAGGTCCCTGCGGTGGACCGTTCTATTTCGCTCTTCGCGATGATAACACTCCACAGCAATGTTTATCCTCGGGGGGACTTCTCGCAGGCGTTGAATATACTCCAAAGCTGTGTCATCTTCTACGATGTTTTTAAGGTAATGCAGCTCTTCGGAATAGAAGCTCTCTAGCAGGACGATCACGGCACAGACGCCAAGCATCACCGAGGCAAAGATTTTCATTACGTAAAACACTGAACCGTAGGTGGTGCAATGAGTCATTTCACAACCAATAAGGAAAAAAAGCCACAGATAGAAAGAGAAAGACATGCACATAGAAACAAGCCTTGCGCACGGACAGGTGTGACGAGTTCCTTCGAATTTTTTTTCTACCCTTAAGATTTTCTTCTCATAATCTAGGACAGCTTGTTGATATTCTTGGACAGCTTGATCGAGGTCCTCTTGATTTTTTGCAGAGGCAGCTTTCTGTAGTCGTTTCTCCTGATCCTCCTCAAACTGTTGCCTCTCTTTCTTTCTGAGCTGTTCGTAGTAGTTCAGCGGTCTTTCGAAATCGACTACCGATCTGATTAAACTGACGCAGCCAGTACAGCAGCCGAGCAAACACGGCACCAATATTTGCAAACAGACAGTCAAGCTAATGACCAGTGGCATAACACTGGGGTATTCGTCAAAATTGATCGTGGAATTCATGGTCTGAGGAGGCAAATTTGTGTCCGTCTATTAAACTAATTAGTTTTCACCTTCCTCACTCTGACTTACGTTCCGAGGCCCAGTTGAAACGTTGAACTTCACATGAGACAACCTAAATTGCAATTTTGTACGACTCAAACGGGTAAAGTTCAACCACTGATAAAGCATCTATCAAAAGGTGGACGTTTGTCTTCACACGTTCCATCCGATCTAGGCAGACGGACAGAACGTGTGGGTCGATCCAAATTCAGTTGGACGAACTAAACTAATTCAAACGTTAAACTTAACATAAATCTAATTCTCTCAATGATTAATTCTGTGCGCAGTTCGACGTTTAAACTGTGCCCTCGACTAAATAAAGGTAGCTAACTAAAGAGACATGATGGATGATATTGATCGCTGTCGAGATAATCCCAGTTCTTCACAGGTAAACAGCGACAACGTTGAGTCACCCGAGATCCATAGACGATGAGCTGTCCCATCTTTTCGGCAAAATCCGCCCACAATTTAAAAAAAAAAAATCAGCGAAAACACAAACTTTTTGTGCACCGTACTCCTAGAGTTTTTGTGTGACGCGCTAACATTTTAGGAGCCATAACGCTCTTGTTTCGCTGGATTTGTTCGACTCGCGCGACAGAATTCGCCGAAAAGGAGAGATTATTCATAGTCTGCGTGATCAATACAATCTTGAAACTTTCTATTTATTGATCGTTCGTGGTTTCATGAGGAACTCTTTATCGGCTAAACATTGTAATAACACCAACCTGCGCTTGAAAATTGCAAATAAGATTCTTTTTTCCTGTTTCAAGTGATAATTTGGCAAAACATGGTACAATGCATGAAAAATTGGGATAACAGGATTAAAGTTGCCCATAATTTAGGACTCTGGAATCACTTGGATCTATATACGGGTAATTTTTCATAATGCACATTCGGGCGATTTTTTTGTGCCGAAAGTGTCACATTCTTCGTAAAGTACTCGCTTATATCCGCAAACATACGTCTAATCGAAAGACAAATGTGTTGCTTTATCCATAGGTAAAACAAGGTGTAACAAAGTTAGATATTTTTTCTGCTTGTTTCCGAAGGGTTCCGCTGAATTACCTTTATTAACTGAAACGAAGAAATCACTTCATGCGCCCAAAAAAAAGAGAATAGCTCGATCTTACCTCTTTTGCACGTCCGAAATACACGAACGTGACTTGCTTGCAGGAAGAATTGTTTGATTAAAAATTCACCCTCATCCGTTCCGTGTTGGCATATCCTACGTCTGACAGTTTCAATGACAAGTATTTTTGACACAAATGTAACACACGACGTTGAATTAACTTTATTCGTTGATAAATTCAAGGTATTCAGTTACCCAAATCAAATGAAAGAGAGACTTAATATTCGAACAATTGAAGTTACCTTCTCACTTCATAAAACTCAGTCACGTAAGAAAAATTGGCCTTTCACGCATCACGAAGAATATCCAAAATTATTTCAAGTTCACGCGAAATTCAAAACGATCATGTTTCACATGAAAATAGAAAACCAAATTCACGAATTTGGTACTTTTCTGGTCTTGATCAGACTTAAGCGACAAAATAGGACGTAATGTTTTACCTTATTTTTTAAAAGAACCAATCGTGGTCTGTTTTATGATTTCAATTGATCCATTTGAAGTCCATATACAATCAAATCCCTGATCAAAATATAACCACAGCCGTGTGAGCACAATACGTATGCATTTTCAAATAGCCGGAAATTTATCACACAAAACAATATGGTTCACGAATCACGTTTAATTCAGCTTTTCATTCACGAGTCATGTTTGAATATAAAAATTGTTTCAAGTGGACATGAAAAGATCTTATTATATTTTTTGAAACTGCCTATCTTATTATATTTTTTGAAACTACCTTCATACGCAGCCATTCTTGTCCCACCCATCAATCTTTCGATCTTGATTTTTCATTCAATCCCTTTTCCCCATAATTTTGCCTTGATATTATTTCCTCGCATAACCCATTGCCGTTTTAACTCGTGGATATGCGAAATATGGGAAAGAGTAATGTTGGTATTCGTAACTCGTTTTAAAAGCTCCTTCATCTTTATAATTAGGGCTAAACTGCACGAGAACTTTTGCAATCACACGGGAATAATAGGGCGCTTTTAAATCATGGGCCAATCAAAGGATTCAGAGGGACGGAATACACTTCAGGTAAGCCTATGAGAACCCAAAGAAAAAAACCTCTCAAACGGAATAAAGCGCGGGAAAAAGAAAGGCTTGAAGTCCTTATTGGTTTCAATTACGCCTCTGATTGGTTGAGAGCGTGAGAATTTTTTTTCTTCGTGAGGTCAATCACAAAGCAAAATTAACTCTTTACACTCTACCATTAGTATCGATATTCTCTTTCTCTCTCTTCATTTCCCGAGTTAACGACAAGGTGAATTTGTTTAACAATCATGAGTTTCTTAAATTACATTTGATCAAAGGTGATACTGAAAGGGGAAATTAGATGCCCGTCACTCTTGGGGCTGAAAGGTGAAGTGAGACTGATGAAATCGCGGATTACTTTCGACACTCAGTTGCGAGTTCCTCTCTTCCTATAATTTTTTTATCCTGTCAAGATACCCATACACTTTTAGTATCTATCATTATTCCATTGCAATTAAACTGAAAGATAATTTGTAGAGTTTTGCTGATTGCTGAGCAAGGGCTTGTTAGCCGCGTCAATGTCCTGTATGATGTCATCATGTGCGCCAGGTACAGTTTGAGCAGGATAAACCTGTTTAAATGCGGTCTGTTCCGAGAAAACAGGTTGGCAAAACACCTTCTTTCTCAGCGTAAATTGAAGAGAGCTTGTTTGAGAGACGAAGAGCCATCTGTAAATCCAAGACAACTGAAGAAATGTAAAACACCAGAAGAACTGCTCGTTCATCCAGAAGGGCACGGACTCCTTCTTATGGTACAACACAACGTACGGATGGTGATTGGCTACGCTATCCACGCGGGAGAAATCAAAATGATGATTCAAATGACGTGTTTTCTCAATTAAGGCTGACTTTTGAACTTCAAACGATTCTGCAGCCGTTCTGTCAAGTGTAATGTCTATGTGAACACGAAGCCTAAAAAGTCGTCCATTTTCAGAGACTTCTAAATTTGACTCATCACACCAAGACGAGTAAACAAATGGCTGGCGAACAGTCTTCCTCCCGACCTTACTCCAGCGATCTTCTGATCCTTGGTATTCTTGGCGTCCTGTTAAAACATTTGTCCGATAGACAGCCATACGTTGGTGTTTCCATTCATACCTGTCAATCACCATCTCAATTGACGGAGGCTCGCGCTGAAGAGACTTGACGTATTCCCAAGAGAACATGTTATGTAACGCTGCTCTTTCACTCGAGAAAAAAGCCTCCAAGGTAACGAACACTGCGCAGACTCCGCACATGACAGCAGCCCAATAAAACGTAAATGAGCGCGCTTTGCCATCACCTGTTGCCAGACATGCGCAAACTGCGCAAAGCCACACCCAGAAAGTGAAATTCATGAAAATGGAATACACCCGCATCATTAACATATATCGACTTTGCATTGCGTTTTGAACAGCTTCTAAACGCTCTGGGGATCCTGGTCGGCTCCTTTGAGAAAAACGGACGATTTTGACTAGCATGATGCCTAACCATATGAAAGTTGGACAAAGAACGTGACAAGCGAAAAAAGCAATGACAAATATCATGAACGCTTCAGACTGATCCAAAGGCTTTTTACTGGTCGGGATATTCTCTGGATTTCCCGTGGGATATGGAAAAGGGCCTGGGGCGGGGACTGAAGTATGAGGCGGTATCGGACCAGAAGTTATAGGCGGTGGGACTTGACAAGTGGCCTTTGACTCAAGTAACCAGTTCTTCCTTCCATGATCCTGCTCGCAAACGAAAAACTCCACGGGCGAAGATCGGTAGCCTGTCGCGCAAAACGAAGTGGAAATGTCTCCCGGACGATTTCCGGCGTGAACTACCTCAATTGAGTTAGCTGGAATTCCCGGGTCGGAGCATGCGTCTTTATTTTCACAGTTCGGTCCGTGCGTGGAGTCCTGACAGAGACATACTGTCTCATTATCAGCGGTGTAAACGCAAGTACCCTGGCCATTACAAGGCTTGTCATAACATTCGTTTTCTCCATTGGCGATTCCTCGACATTTCATTCTCAATCCACTTCCAGCAGTCCATCCCTTTGTAGTCCAACTTTCCCAATAGTTTGTCACGTACTCTGGCCTATGTGCTAGATCTTTCGTACGAAGTAAATCGGTCCCAGATCCAGTATAACTGGTGCCAACCCTCCAGTAGCCATCCCGGTAGTATAAATACCATTCCTGTCGGCTGTGCTTGAATACGGAACGGATCGACTCATAAACGTTCGGAACTTTGGCGAAAAAGTCCGTTCGAGGATCGTTAAGAATTTCAGCTTGATTTCCGGTGACGGTGTCATTCAAATAAACTTTGCCTGAATTGCATCGAAAGTATTCATCGTCCACACAAATAGCTTTGATGTAAGATGGTCCTAAGACAGTTTTAAATGTCTTATCGAGTGGTGAATAGTACGACCACTCTTTCACGACATCACCGAACAAATCTTTCTCATTTAGCAAGCCAGACGACAACCAAGTCATCGGATCAAAGTCGTTGCTGAGACGACCAACAACACCAAATGTTTCTGTGACTTTGAGCCCAAAAGCGAGAAGCTTTTCTCCTTGCGATGTAAGATCTCTGTAGTAGAAGAAGAGACCCGAAGGACGATTAAGATAGACAGGAAAGCCATCCTTGTTCGAGAATAACTCGTAAACTCCTTCCACTTGGACCCATGGCAAAACATTCTCGTCGATGTTCTGGAAAAATATTTTTGGACACATTTTCTTTTGGGCTAAGCTCGGCCCAATTAATGACAGGATAAATGCCAGAAAGAAACTTGAAAACATATTTCAAGCTATCACCTGCTCACTGCGTTTTCTTTGAAAATGTTTCAGCTTTTTAAGTTGAGCAATAAAGCAATCGACAAACTTCCGGTGAATATTGCAACAAATCTTCCAAACGGCTTTGACATGCTAAAACGGACCGGAAGTAAAGAAAATTTTATTGTGACGTTAGTTTTACACTCCCTTACCATTTATAGCGCTGAGTAGGACAAAGTCACATCTGTAAACGTATTCATCCAGGAGTTAAATAGTAAACGTGAATAATCTTTAAGAAGAGTGTGTAGCGTGACGATCTTCCACTGTCACGTTCCTAACCCTGCCTGTGACTGTGACTGATCGTGTGAGGTTATACGACATAAATAACGCTTGCCAGGTTACAAAGCGCAACGCAAAATAAACGTGCGGTGTTTTTCTTTCGAATTATTTAAGTTGAATTCAAACCTAAATATCGAATATTTTGAGGAAAAAACGGGTAAAGAATTGAGTAGAATGGCAGAGATCGAGGACCAAAGCCGGCGAAATGAGCTGGAAGAAGAGATGTCACGGTAATGGTCGTCAAATGTTGACTTTTAATCCGTGTTTCCAGATCTAATCTCCATAATGTCAGAACATAGTTAGTTTTTCTTGCCTCATAATGATTGACAAATACGTTAAGCTTCCGGCTTTAACTAGTTATTACAATTTGTTACATATTATATACATATAGAATGTTTGTTTCCGCCGGGCGTCAATTAATGATTTTTCGCTTTTTCCTATGGGTTGACAGTAGTGAAGTGTTCATTTTTGAAATGGTTCTCTTATTTCTTGTCTTTGTTTCTGAATTATTGAATAACCTTTTGGAGTTAATGTGTAACTACCATTAACCCTTAAACTCCAGTAAGTGACCAAGATAGAATTTCTCCTGACAGTACCAATGCAATATCAAGCAGATAAGTAATAAGAATAAAGAAAATATCATTAGGGGATTACTAGTTGATCCAATTCCCAATTCTTTGAAGTGATATCACAAGAATTGCATGACAGACAGTAAGGAGAATTACTAATGAGATCATGGGAGTGGAAGGATTAAAAGTGCTTTGTGATTATGTATAGCTTTTACCAAACCCAAAACCAAAGTGATTGTGACAGCCAATTAGGACGAAGGGAAATATGGCAACAATCTAATTACTGCAACAGGAGAGTGCTGATTTGTATTAGCATTGTCTGCTAATTGCTACAGATCAAACAGTTGTAGCAGGTATCAAGGAAAAAATTTCAATACTCAAGACTTTTGGCTGCCCCTCTTTGTTATTAAAAAGTATTTGCTCCCTGATGCTTACTACTGCCTTGCTATTTTTCAGGTTTGAACAAGAAATAGCAGAACATCCAATTTCAAGGCCAATCATAGCCACAAACACATTTCGTATGGCATCACAAGCAATCCAGAATGCAGCTACTGTTCCAGAGGTTAAACCACAACAAGAAATGCCTAATAACCAGCATTTTGTCCAAGGAGCACACCCACGTCCATTATTACAACCTTCTAATCCTAATTTACGACCACCAGTTGTCCAGGGCACTTTGAATCAAGTCCGTCCTCATATGCAGGGTCCAATCCGACATCCTGTGCAAGCCCCTCCCAATCAGTTACCTGGTCCTCGAATACCACGTACCATGACATTGCCACCCAGGATGCCTCCTATGGTACCGCAAATGGTCCCTAATCCTGGAGCCATGCCTGTTATGGGCCCTGTAGCAGTACCCATGGTCCCAGTACCCATGCCTGTTCCGTTACCTGGTATGCCAGTGGCAGGGCCAGTTGGTGCCACAGCCGTGCCAGTAATGACTCCTGAGGAACAGAAAGAGTGGGGATCTACATATTCACAGGCTGGGAACTCAGAGGCAAAGGATAAAAAAAAACCTAAAGAGAAAAAATTTTTGAGGGTGGCAGGGAACCAAGTGTGGGAGGATTCATCATTAGCAGAGTGGGAGAATGGTGAGGTTGTTTGCGCTATGTTGCTGTATTCACCCCCTAAGAGTGACTACCATCTAATTTCTCAAAACAATATCCCTCCTGAATCATGTATTATGGTTATTAGAATTCAGGAAATGATCACTAACTTAGGAAGCTTTTTGATTGTTGAACAAATTCTCCTCGTCAGCACCTTGGGAAATGTATTGAGAGAAGCAGAATATGAATACCGCTTTGTTATGGTGTAAAGGGTAACTTGGCCAGTGAGTCAATCAATCAGGGAGCTGATTATGGTTAGACACCCTGGCCTTGTGTATGCATAGTACTGTAACATCTATCTGTAAATTATGCAATCATTTCCAGTCAAAGCTGGAAATATGCTGCTGTACAAATATCTTTAATGGTAGGACCTCATAATGGTAGTTTTCCTTTTATCATTAGTTATGGCAAAATTATTTGGAAGTAGAAGACTTAATATGGTAGAATTGCTGACAGTTTTAGTCGGCTACAGGCTCTTAATGAAAACATATGTATTTTCACTAATGATCATTACATTTATTGTTTTTAGACGACTTTCGTGTGTTTTGCGGTGATCTTGGAAATGAGGTTACTGACGAGATCCTCACAAGAACATTTGCAAAATATCCATCTTTACTAAGAGCTAAAGTTGTGCGTGATAAAAAGACAAACAAAAGCAAAGGGTATGGATTCCTTAGCTTCAAAGATCCTAATGACTTTGTCAAAGCTATGAAAGAAATGAATGGTAAGTCTCAGTAATGTTATTGTGGACTGTGAGGGTAAAGGTCATGCAAGTATATTTTATATGTGAGTCAAACTAGCAAACTTCACAGGTTATTCAATGGGTATTAGAACTTGGAGAGTTTGTTGGGTGCTAAGCAAATTTTTCTCTTTTGAATGTCTTGGGCTATTTTTCCTGTTCAGATCTGAGGAATATTATGATGTTGCCTTGTGATTTCTCTTGCTTCTACCTTTCAAAATGAAATCCTTTTTTTAAAAGAAAGGCTGTTTTTCATATGTTGGGAAAATCCCAGATGGTCAGTGAATTTGCTGTTTCCAGACCTTCCAAGAGTTTTGTGATGGATTAAAATTTGATATCTCACAGTAGACATTCCCTATTGTCTGGAATGGGTGGTAAACAATTGGGGTGATTGGGAACATATTTATTTCCCAACACTTCCCTAGCATAAGGGTAAATTGATTATTTTTAAGTAAAAGTAATCTTCCAAATAGCAGCATAATTGTTTTTTGTACAAGACCATGATGTGGAAAAATTTGTTAAGTGTAACAAGATGAAAATATATAATTTAAGAACAGTAAGATGTTTGTACTCTTTATCAACAATTTCTTCTATTGAATTTCTTTTTTTGTACATTGGCAGGCAAATATATTGGGAATCGACCAATCAAGCTTAGGAAAAGTACTTGGAAAGACCGCAGTATAGAAGCTGTTAAGAAGAAAGCAAAAGAAAAGAAGCGCTTGGGTTACAGATAACAATAATGTGGAAGAAATGCGAACTTAGAATGTTATTAGTTCCATTATGACCTTGTATCATAAATTCCTTGTGAATATGATGCAGATGTTTGTGAAAGGCAAAAATTTAGTCTGTCTACTGCTATTTAGTGAAGAAGGCACCAAATGCAGTTCAAGCTTTTGTGAAGGCTGTAGATTCTTCCTTTCAGTTTGATTACTCACTTTAGTACCAAATCTTTTGTTAAAAGTAAACTAGCAGGTTTGACAAGGATAATTGGAAATTTTCTACTCAAACTGGAAATCTCTTTTGAACATGACCATTTCAATTAATCCTCATGCTTATAAAAACTAATAAGGGAAATGGTTGGTTGTAAATACTAAATAAACAGTCTTCTTTTGTGAAATTTGTGCTTATTCTTTATTTAGCAAGTAGATTCCATGTTACACTTTTTCTGTCCAGCAGTAGAAAGAACAATAAAGGGGTACATGAGGGGCAGCCTTTGACCCATAAGAATGACTAATATCTAATTTCTCCTTGCAATATCATCCCTCAGGCTGAATCCAACAAGAATGAAGGAAACGATCACATATTAATTGAGCTCATCCAATTTTTTTTTTCTTTGTACTGCTTTTCTTTGCTTTGCTTAACTTTTCAGGACATTGACACACATCATAGCTAGCGAAGTTACTAATTAAATACAAAACCAGCTATCAGGAGGATTTTGTTTAATTAGTAAACAAAATTTAATTGGATGTTCCATGAGAACACACATGCATGACCAATTAGAACTTCTGTTATACCGTGACCAAAAAGTACCTACTATCGTGATAGCTTTGACACGAGAAGGATATGGTGTAGTTTACTTTTCTAGAAAGTGTAATTCAAAATGGACCTTGTTCTTGACATACTCGATCAAAATTTCTTTACACCGTACGTGTACCCCGCAACGTGGCCAGAAAATGACTGCTACAGGCAATTCATCTCGCTCTTCGTGGTCACGAACATCGGCGGCGTTATTATGTATTTTACGCTCGCAACTTTCAGCTTCTTTTTTGTGTTCGACCGCGCGCTTATGAAACACCCACTGATTCTAGAACACCAGATCTACAAGGAAATCATGGTGACTTTGAAATCAATACCGTTTATGAGTTTTCCCACGGTATCGCTTTTCCTTCTGGAAGTGCGAGGTTACAGTCAGTTGTACCTGCCAAGTAATTTCAGCTGGCCGCATCTCATCCGCGACATCATTTTGAGTACGACTGGCTTTCTCGTCTTCACCGACGCATTGATTTACTGGATTCATCGTGGATTGCACCATCGTTCAGTGTACAAATATTTGCACAAAGTCCACCATCGTTGGAAGGTGCCAACCCCATTCGCCAGTCACGCTTTCCATCCGATCGACGGATTCCTGCAGAGTCTGCCATATCATCTTTACCCATTTATTTTTCCACTCAACAAAGTTGTGTATCTGGTGTTGTTTGTTTTCGTCAATATATGGACGGTGTCAATTCACGATGGAGACTACAGAGTGCCTGAGCTGCTGCAACCTTTCGTTAACGGATCTGCCCATCACACAGATCACCACCTCCTCTACAACTGTAATTACGGCCAATATTTCACAGTCTGGGATCGGATCGGTGGATCTTTTCGTCACCCGAGCGCGTTCCAGGAGAAAGGTCCAAAATTCGAGCTAAAGAAAACCGCTGATAAGATGGGATGAGTATTGACCGGGGTATTTGAAAGCAAAGAGTAATAAAAGAACGGTGTCTGCAACGCGAGCGAAGTTTGATAGGTCGCGTGTGAAATGTACAACAACTTCTGCGTATCTGTTATTTATGAATGTAAACAGTCGCGTGTGATGTTAAAACAAATAACCCAAAGGTTTATATTGCACCACCAGTGGTACTAAAATAGTTTTTCATTGCGTTTACAATTTCTCCGAACGGTATACCAATATTACATCTTGTCCCATTTCATCTCCCCGCCCACTAATGTTGTACTTTGCACGGACTTTGACCCCTTATTGTTCCACATTGTGTAGAAAGGAGCCTAAGAAATGTTCTAAGATTTGGTAAATTTTAAACTCTATTTCCAATGAACACTAATTTGTATTAACTTCCTCAAAACTTATGTTTTTCTTTTTACTTTTTCATTATAAATTTAAGTTTGTAAATGCACTGAGACTTATGAAATATGTTTTAAGAACTTTTGTTATTGTTATAATTATTACTATTATTATCATTATCTTTATTATTATTATTTCATGATTATTGTGTTAGTCTTTCCACTCTGATTAAAAAAAAAACTATGACAGAATATGAAAATAAGTTACAGATATATAGATAACCTCTTGGATATAATTTTGTCTCCAGAAATGTCTGTATGTAGGCATACTTCAATCTGATGTTTTTTGATAAAAAAAAAAAAGGTGATGACTAATGACTGACAACGATTTGGAGTTTTGCTGACGTAAATGGCTTAAAAAAAGATTGTAATTGGCATTTCTTTATCAAGAATTTACCCAGGAGACTTTCAGGAAGAGAAGATTCTGTTTCCATCAAGAACTAAAAATGTTTAGTGGAATGCCAATGGACTAATTGTTAACCTGTGTCCCCTCATTTTTTTTTTCTTGATTTACAAATATCTTCAACTAGATGCAGAATCACTTCATTAATTAATTTTTATTGTAAGAAGTGAGATTATCTAGTAGAGATCACCTTTTATAACACAGTAACTTTTTGAGTATCAATAAGTAATTCACCTACATTTATGTTAACCCAGCTTCACAGAATAATTGAATGAACAACTACATGCATACCTTTCTCATTTGCTTTCTTACGTTAAACATTAAAATTTCCTGTATTTGTGAAACATGCAGAGGCTGATCAGTTAGAGCACTGGACTTTGGGTGAACATCTAAGGGAATGAGCCCTAGGTACCCCCTTCCCCGCTAGTGCCATTGTGGTATATTCTTGGGTCAGACAATCTATTCTCACACTGCATTTTTCTAGCCAGGAGAGTGTATATATATATATATATATATATATATTTCACCCTTTGACCCCTACGAGTGACTAGCATCTAATTTCTCCTTAAATTATCACCTCTGAATCACACATTTTAGGTCATGAGAAAAAAGGAAGTGATCACCAGCCTGAGACTCTTGATTGTTAAACAAATTCTCCTTGTCAGCACCATGGGAAATGTAAAAAGAATAGTATGGAGAATATGCATATTAGTCTTAGGGTGTAAAGGGTTAATACTTTTTGGTGTAGTATCACTTAGTGTTTTTATAGGATGTGCAATATTTTGATGCACCCACAAGGTGAATCAAAATATAAACAATGCGTGAAAATGCTCAGTGATAATACAAACTCAAACATTGACTGACAAGTCATTTTTAATCTACTAACTTTTTAATTTTTTCTCCTTCGAGTCTAACATACGCATTCAATCAAGTTTTTGTTAACTCTTAGGTGTTTACGTGTATAAATAAAATACTTGCATACACACCAAGAAACCTGATTGAATGTTGGGATGTAACATGTGACTGACTTAAAGCATCCCATCCAGAGGGGAGTAGCCAGAGTACTATGGAAACCAGGATGAGCTGTGACCAGAGGAGTCACTAGGCTCAATTTTACTATGGAAACCAGGATGAGCTGTGACCAGAGGAGTCACTAGGCTCAATTTTTTACTTTACCTTTGTCCTTGACTCTGGTATTTGTTACCCAGTAGAGCTGCAATCAAATTATTTTTCACTGTACCAAAATGTCAAAGGTGCACATCCGTAACAGTAGACATCTCTATACAAAGTGCTGAAGTCACCTCTTTACAGCAAAGACTCAGTGGACATGAAGAGATGTAACTCTCCCTCCCCCCCCCTAATGAAATGTGCCCCAAGACCCCTTAGAAACTTTCAGTATTGGTGAATGCTTTTCAGCCCTTAGCTTCCCCCTCCCTCCCTTGTGGTACTGGTGGCTTATGGTTGGTGCACTGTACTTGGGGTCAAGCGGTCTGGGTTGGGGACCTAGTAGGGTCATTGCATTGTGTTTTTAGAAAAACAATTAACTCTCACGGTGCCTTCCTCTACCAAGGAGTATAACTGGATACTGATGAATTGTCAGGGAAGCCTGATGAAATGCTGGAAGGAGACCTTGTGATGGACTGACATTTTATCTGGGGGGGGGGGGAGGGGAAAGGTAATACTGTCCTGGTTGTCTCATGCTATGGAAGTCAAGTAAAGCTCTGGCTGGTTTGCCACTTATTATAGTACAGACCTTTCCTCCCCTATCCCCTCCATCTTGCGCTAATTGAATTTTAGGTTCCACCAATGGAGAAGGGGTCTGTAAAGGCAGAAGAATAATGTAGCTTAATGGATGACATTTACTTTTGAGTATTATATCAAAAAGAGTATTGGAAGTTTTTCGTTTGTTTAGAGTATCGCAGCTTTTACTACACTGATTGTCTAAAATTTGTGCCACCTTAATTAAATGTATGCACCTTAATTTAAATATTTATAAACATAGCTATTTGCTTCCCTTGAGAAATATGTAGTTTGTGTTTTGAACTGCAGTCCACGGGAAATTATAGCTTTCGTTTAAGAATTTTATCTTAACTTTGAAACCACTGCTGGTGGGTCGAGAAGCTGACTTTGTAATATGTCACGTGATGTACTTATTAGCGTTGCGTGACATCCCAAGGACACGACCGAGAAGGGAACTGAGAGAAGCTCGCTGAAGACTTTATTGAGTTTATTTTCGAAATTAATTCTCTACAAAACTAGGATCAGAAGGTTCTCGTTTTGAATAACGTACCCACCCTCTTAAATTTGTTCAATTAACCGTTTCGTTCCGGTTTCTTCGTACAGACCGAAGGAGGTCAATACGACGCAGCTGATCTGAAATTGGAAAATTTCACAAAAATGCTATCATCCTTGTAAAAGAAGACACAATTTTTTTTCCATGCATGGAGATATATCTCTTAAGTCTCCTTCTGCTTTTTACCTTTGTTTACCTCACTATAGGGTATTTGGTAATTGTATACTTTGATGAAAACGGATGAAGAGAATCGTTGTAAATCCAGGAGATTCCTGGAAATAATGAATTAGGACTAAAACTCGGTGGCTTTAAATACTGGATTGCATCGATTTTTTCCAGTGCTGCACTCTTTGATGGGCCTCGCTTGGCAATCAACGGGTCATAATTTAAACTTTTGAAATTAGAAAAAAAAATCCATATGGAATCGCCGAACTCACTAATTCTGCTTGGTAGTGGTATCGTGCTAAAATCAACTTTGCAACGTGATTGAGCAAGACAGTTCTGGTGGAAGGGTTGGTAAGACCTAAGCCCTTGCTAATTATTTTTTGGGAAACTCGTATTTACTTATTTCGTTCTTTATTTTTTTTCATACCTCCTCGTTAGTGTTTTTTTTTTTATTAAGTTTGTTAGCGTTTTTCTTCGTCAGTTACACCTTTACGCACGTTTCTCATACCGCACATTATTTTACAGTCTAGTTGTATTTAAAGCCAGCTCCTTTTACGCATAATCACTTTTTAAGTCAGTTTACCTAAAGTCGTGCTTGGCGCAGTTCTCTGTGTATGAGTCTTCAGTACCTATTCAAATTTTTTTACTTTGCGAGAGCTAATTATCATGCAAAATTCCCAGAAGAGCGAGGCAGCCTGTGCTGGAACCAAGATCTCTCGAAAAAGCATCGCATACATCAAAGTTCAAAGTACAATGCCAGAAACTACATAGATATCACACTCTTTCTTCAGCTAATTTTTTTTTTCCTGAATTGACTTTCATTTCATTCCCTTTAGCTTATTTGTTATCGAAAGGTGAAAGAGTTAGAATGTTTCAGCCTTGCCATAGTAACTGACTGGTTACTAAAGAAAGACTTTGAAAAGAGACAATGTCAGTAGAGGTTTATCTGACGACCCAAACAAAATGAATCAAACAAACAATTAAACAAATAAAATCACAAAGGGTGTGACCTCCTGATCAAACTGTTTCCAGATCAGATATATGTTAGACTTTACACGGACGTGTCCGATTGCACATGCACTTCCGTTCGTGAGGCTGCTATGAATAAATCTAGTCGAAGTCATCTATCTAAGAGGGTTGCCTATGGAACCTGCCTCTCGATCTCTTTCTCCTGATTTTCTCTAGTTACTATGCCATAAGCATGGGTCACTACCTGGTATAGAGTTTTCAGACATACGTATTTTACGCAGGTTTATCAAGAATGAGTCCGATTCTTGTTTAACTAACATACGATGAATTAAATGAAAACGAGTTTTCGTAGGGAACATTTATCTATCATATTGGAAGGTGGACCGGTAAGATTGAGGCGCAGGTCACGACAAACAATGGACTTTCAGATAAGGGGTCAAAAGGGGATTTACGAGCAAATAGAGGGTGGGGCTGAATCTCGTAGACGGATCCTGCTGTGTAACTGCACAACTTCTTAGCCGTGGAAGGTCCGGGTAAAAACTGGTGCGGAGTCACTTGTTGTTTTTTTTCCTGTTTGTTTTTTTGTCATTTGTTTGTTTTTTTAATTTTCAATGATGGTGTTTTTCAATGATGGTTTTTTATTCATATTGACAGCAAGATTGTTTATCTGAAATCTAATATTATCTCATTCATAACAGGTCAAAGCAATATCAGAAAATAGTCACTAGCTCGTCCTCTGTTATAAATAATGCATGTTTGCTCAAAACACGTGTTTCCCAGCTGACTTGAAGATAACTCGCATCATCACCGACAAGGAAAGTTTTCTCAGATGAGAGCATTTTATGGAGCTCGGAATGGCGTTATATCTCAATGTTTCATATTCATAAGGAAGGCGGTCTCTTTTTCGATTGTTTATATGAGTATCGACAAGATGAACTTGGCCTTCAGCCAATGGGATGGAATTTTTTTTAAATCTTTATTGTCTAAGAGTACTTGATTTTATTCTGTAACTATTAAAAATGCTATCTTAATACAAACCAGCAGGTTGTCACAGTCATGTCAAGTGACTTTAAAGTTCAAATCCTGTCATGTATCGGCTGAGTACCATGGACATACAACCGTGACACACGGGTGCGTATTTGTCAGTTCGCATGTTACATGCGGCACGTGTCCGACGTCTTCTTTCAACACAAAGCGCAGCAAAAACACGCGAAAGAACTTGGATGCACGAAATATTCCTTTACTTTGAAAATAAGAAGAAGATTTAGAAAGAATTGCTACACTTCGATTCCTTGGTGAGTTACTATTATTTTAAAAACTGTTTTGCCCCAAGCCTTAGAGACTATAATTAAAGAACCCTCGATCATGTGCTAGTCCAATCAAAAATAGTTATTAAACCAATAATCTCGAAAATTTTCACATAGTCAAAATTTATTAGTAGGAAACATCTTGTTGGGAACTTCTCGTCAAATATTTTGTGGTTTAAAATTAGTTTAATGCGTTTTTGGTTTAGTGTGATGTATTGAAATTAAGTCTTCCTGTTTCAAACTTTCAAACACTTCCGTCGTATAATGATCACCTGTCCAAAGGTTGAACAACCTCTCCCTCGCCGGGGTTGTTTATTTTTATCATGAGCCTTTGGTTTTACGAGCGATTTTTTTATCATTTACCATATCTCTAGACCAACTGTAAAGTGTATTTTTTTTTTTCATATGACCAGTAAAATAAAGCCGTCAAGGCGAAACTTGAATCATCGCGTTGTCGCGTTCAGGACGCAGTCTTCCAATCGCTCAGCTCTGTTCTTCCTTTATTTACCCATAACAGACGCATATCGGTGTGCGCGCATAGGGACACTTTTACTCAACTTCCGGTATTGAGAAGAATCATTTCATCTCTTCTTGTCGTGAAAAGCGGTGATATATTTTTTCCCACCATTTCTTTGACTTTTTTTTCCTTTGACAGTTTTTTTGGGGTCGAAGTCGCGTAAGGATTTTCTATTGCTGTTTGAATCATACTAAATAGCAAAACAAAAAACAAAAAAAACAAAAAAAAAACTTGTAGAAAGTATATAAACCTTTATTTCTTGAAGATAGGGTAGAGTTGGAAGCGTTCACTAAACGCCAAACCTTCATTATATATAATTAGGAAGTTTAACAGGGGGCTTACATTTTTACTTCAATACCCTGTTCCAGGGAGCTGGATTGTAAAAGTAAAAGTACAAGAAAAAGTGGGGCGAGCGAGAGAAAGACGATTCGGGACTACTTTTGAAATCCTCACCAATTTTCTCATGCCTATTTACTGGTTCTTCTCGATCCGGAGAGCGTTTCAGAAGCTATTTTCATTTAGGTTCTTTCTCATAAAATCACGCGCCGCTTTGGCGCGCTGATAAATGAAGAACCATAAATACCTGCATACTGCACGTGTAGAAAATTAATTAAACTCTATGGTTAAAAAATTTCGGGCTAAGTAGGAGTACCGCACTAGTTTTTAAGGTACACCTTTTTCGGAACAAATTGTTGTTTTATTTCTTTATTTGTTTACTTTTAATTGATCTATTAATACATTTACTATTTAGCATAATGTATGGGCCTCTAGGCTTTTACGTAAGCCTTGATTAACATTGAAAGCAGAAACTGTAGGCGTCTGAGTGGGCGAAGCGCGGTGTGCAACAAATGAATTGTTTGCTGTAAAAAAAAAAAACAGAAGCGTTTAAATTAAAAAAATTCCTTTAAGTCCCCAAGCGAGCTTGGCAATAAGTCTTTTTTTCACTGAGGTTCCAAACATTTTGCAGAGTGGGTTACAATACCATCCCTTACTCGTGAAAAAGAGTCCATCGTGAAGCAAAGTGACTTTTCGAATCTTGTTTTAATAAACACTAAACTAAGAAGGTACATAATGTCACCTGCAAGGTTAACCGGAGAGATAATTTGAGTTCGAGACTTTTTTTGTACATTCTTTTTTAATTTCTTTTTTCTTTTCGGCAGAGGAAGCGGGTGGGGAACGGCTTGCGAAACTGCCAATTTTTTTCCACCTCGGTTTCCTCCCACCCCCCCCATCCCCCCATCCCCCCCGCCATTTTCGCTTCCGAAAAAAAAATCTTCACATTTATTTCTAAAAGTTCATTTTTGCCGTTATTGAATTTATTCTTTTGAACGAATATTTTAAATTTGGATGAATGCCTTCGTTGTTGGTAGGTGGAAAATTGGAGTTATGAGATCATCACCCTTTTAGGAGCCGGCATGATCACATTTTGACATGACTCATACTCACGTTTAATGAAGCCAGGAATATCTTAATTCTCTTGTCAAATGTTGTTAAACATGCAAAACCACAGAAATACTCCTGTCACGTATTGGAAAAGAAGTAATTTCTTTTTAATACGAACCTGGTGAATCTAGAACTGTCGAAAAATTACTAAAATGAAGTCAGTTTTGTTACTTTTATCTTTCCTCTCGTTTTGTCAAGTTCACCGTGTTTGCTTCCTTTTGTGAGAATTTTTTTCGCTTGTTTTTATTGCTGCTGCTGCTTAAAAAAAACAAAAAAAAAGAGGTTTTTAGGCTAAAAAAGACCACGGTTAAGCTTGCTCTTCGTCGTTACTGATTAAATGTCGAATTCTTACAACTCTTCGTTTTTGTAATTGACATTGTCATAGCAACAGTGCGTCGCGTCATCGGGTTTTTGTTACGACCTCCTTTCAACGGTTTTATCGGACAATATTTCGTTCGAATTTCGAATTTTTTTAACGCCGAGCAATCGATCACCGTATGGAACTTCGGTTTCAGTTAAGAATTTCGTTGAAAAGCTTTCCTTGGACAAGTCAGGAGCTTAATAATTGATGTGTGAAAAGGACTGGAAAAGTTGTAATTGGGGAGCGGTTCGATTGATTCAACTTCAACGTGATTGCTGATTCAGCGCGCGATTTTTGTTTTTTCGGAAGAAGGAAATTTTGGTTGAAAGACAACTTTTTGGGGATCACAGGATTGTTAGCCCTTTGCTTGTGGTTATTCTCAACCAGAATGGATTTCTCTAAAATCTATGCGCGTTGAGGAACGAAGAGTGATCGTTGAATTTCACAGGTAAGTCCGTAGATGCGAGATATGAAAATATTTTTTCGCGAAGGACTCTCTCTTAAGAGAAGTTTTTGAATTTGGCGGTCTATCTTGTCTGCTCGGGCTCCAGATCGCTCGGAAACTTAGTGAAGATAAACCAAAGGGTTGAAGTATTCACTGAGCGGCCATGAGATGTGAGAGATCTCCTTGTAGACTCAAGGTGCTTCCCAAGAGCTGAATACTGTCAAAACACCCTTGTGGTTTATTTTTGCTAAAATGTTAATGAGCGAGCTCTGTGACAGCAGCTTGTGCGCACTGTTTGCAAAGTTTATAACGTAATATATGTTTCTAATAGGAAAGGTTATGGTTTGTTGGAAAAGGATACCCGTTGTGCATGTGAGAATCTGTCTTTAATTTACCTTGACTACTTGCGCGGTATTTTACATCTTTCATGGTGTCAGCTGCGAAAGTGCGATCTCGAAGGAGGTTTTGCTGTTTGAGAAAATCTATAACTCTGTTCTAGTCCTAAATCTGTTGATAAGTGTGGGGCGAAGTTTAGAATTGTCCTGAAAACCTTCTTGAAAGCTTTCTGCAGCCTTCTTCGTCGTTTTGAGAAGAGGGTTTCAGAGAAACTATGCCTGATAGAGATTTTGACGCGCGGCGAACTGTAGATTTTAAGTCGCCAAGGACAGCCTTACGAAGGGAAATTACCTGGTGTTATTGTCTGTGTTGTCGATCTTCCAGGTCTCAACTGTTTGAAATCAATATTCTTTAAGATTTTGAATAATTTTGGGCGGAAATGTGGTAGAAGAAAGCAAGATTCTGATGTTATCGGTTGGTTAACGTCCATTCGTTGCGCAACCGTAACTCGCTTTGTATGAAAGGTCCGAAAGTCTTGAATTGTTGGCGGTCCTCCCGACATACAGTGTCGCTTATAATCATTGTTCATTGTATGGACGCCTCAAATCCGAAAAGTACGTCTCGCTATAGACTTTCAGTTTCGGTGAATTTCAACCTAAAATGCGATGAGAGACAAAGTATGAAACTTTGGAACCTCGTTCCATGAGTACGAAAGCGTCGATGTTGGCCCGCCATGTTTATAATTTCATTCATTTGAATTTTCGCCATAGCTGCCTTGTCTACCTTGATATTTCCTGTATGAGACCGGTTTTGGGTTCAGATTAGCTTTTAAGTCCAGTTTAGTTGTTTAGAGTAAATGCCTACTTCGTTAGTGAGAAAGACAAAGTTCTATCTGTATTGCTCTTGCTAGTTCTGTAGTCGTCTTTCTAGAAATCAATGACTATTGGGCTGAAGTAGCCGACAGTTCGGTGCGTGCGGCTGGCTTCTTGTTTATTATCCTGTCGCCTTCTCAGAGTAGAATGAAAAGATAAGTCGTTCTCAAATCTTTAGTTCAGATTTCCTCAGTGTCTGTAGATTGTAACAGTTCATAGAGTCGTAGATGGGTTTCCATAAAGACAATTCGTTAAGCCATTTTGCGCGGCGAGCGGATTTCAGCTTATAGACGACCTCTTGACATGGCTATGTGAAAAAAAGTATTCGATTGCGATGTCGTGAGCATTTTCTGAAAGTGTTCTTGTTCTACTGCAAGTGCTTTTCTATGAATTTGTTACATTGTCTGCGATATGTAGCATGTTTTAAAAATGCTAATATGTATACTTATTATATTCTGTTATTAATTCCACAAGTATTAAGCGAGGAACGAAATTACACGGTCCATTAAGTTGGTTTATCTTGGCCTCTTCTGTAGACGACGATTGCGCCAAAATACTGCGTGTTTTGATGTCACTCAACCATGTGGTTGCTTCCAACCCAAGATGCAGTCTCAGAATTGTACTCAGTGCTCGAGGCAATGATAAAACAAATTAATGGCAGAAGATTAAATGTCATTTCTTGTTCAACATTACATCACTTGTAGTTTTGCCTTCACTGATCCAGTTTTTCTAAAGAACTCAAGTGGACTTGTCAGTATATTGTTAAGAACGGTCAGTTTATTCTTCCAAATAAGATAAACCTAATAATCTTGGCAGAGAAATTATTTTACTTGAAAGAAATGAATGCAAGATCAACATCATTCAGAAGACCAAAGGGTGACTTGCTTACTTTTTGCCTTATGATTGTGCTCAGCAAAGTGTATCAAACCAGGCCACTGTTGTTCAAAGGTTGGTGAATGCTATTCACTAGGTAAATCGCTATCCAGTAGATAGCACAGTACATTTCTTAAAAGTTATCCACTAGATAGTGATTTATCTGTTGGATAGCATTATCTATTCTTTGAACAACTGGGCGCAAGAACGTTCCAACCTAACAATTGAAAACTATTTTCAACTCTGATATTGGTACTTGATTTTTTATCTCAGAAATTTTTTTTTTTTCAATCCAAGTAATATTTTTATCGCAAAATATCTTTGTAGAAAGTTTTTGAGGTGATTAAAAGCAATAATATTTGGTTCTGAAATCGCAGCAAACTTCAAAGTAAATGGGTGTTCTTAAAAAAGCCATGTAGGTTTAAAAATGTTCATAGTGGTGAGAGAAGGGATCTATATGTAGCAAGACAAATCAATTAGTGATTAATTAATTGTCTAATGATGCTTTAAATATTTTTATGGCTTCAAAATTGTAATTGAATTATCAGAGTCAGCTTTTGATAGTGTCCAGGAAATTTCAAATGATCCACTAACTGGACTGTAATCCCATTTTGAATTATGTTTTACGTATTGTTGGACAGATCTATTAGAAAAACAAACAAATTTCACTTGAATTGTTTACTTGACAGATTAGTGTGGACTTGATTAACAGTAATTGATTACTGAAATAGTAGTTGTATTGAATTCTTAATGCCATTTGCAGTTTTATTCAATGGTATTAATTCATTTTCAGTTCTGAATTGTAAATTAAATAGATCAGAGGTCTAATTTAATAATGGTGGAGTGGTTTTAATCCACGTACAAAAACAGCTGTGAACACACGTTTCACCCACTCCACAAAAAATCACTTTCACTCCATTTACAAGGTTTGTAATTAAGAAATGAATTCACAAGAGATTGGATAATGTAACAGGAGAACGTACTAACATACAACTCCATTTCTGAATTAAAGTAGCTCAGATCCAGAATTCCCAGATCATGGATGCTTTCATTAATATTGTAATATAAGAGTTGGATGCTACGAAAGTTTCCTGTTTACTTTCGTCATGTTACTTTCAAAAGTTAAAAAAAAAATTTGCAATTAAGTGGGGAAGTTAGATGTACCTCCTTTCAGACATTTAAACCCCCAAAGAAGGAAACAAAATATAACTTAAGGGTTAACATTTCACTATATAACACTCAACACCAACCTCTATCTCTTGTTAAAGAGTTGGATTCAAACTTAAAAAGTCTCTTGAAAGCTGTTTGAGTGAACTTACATTATAATGCCTGGAAGACAACTGTTTAATCAATTTGAAGTTGAAAAATAAGGAAATATCCTCTATCAAGCTTGATGTTAATTAACATCTCTTTGTCAGGCAATGTGGCACATTTTGCGGGTTGAAGTGAAGATTTTGGTGAGGTAAAATGTATTTTAGCCAATGCAAATGTTAGCGTGATTTTTTACCCTGTTTTGTTTTTTATTTTCAGTTTTAATTTTCTTAATGCCCTACGAAGAAATAATAGTAGTAATACAGGCTATGTTCTTGGGCTTTAATTTGATTTTGGTCCTTCCTAGAGTCATTTTAATCCTTGCCTAGGGAGCCTGCAAACATGAACTAAATTGGTCTACTATATATCATTTGATAACAAGTGCCATTGGGAACTTTCTGTAACTTTTTATTTATTTGTCTTCCAGAGTATTGTGTATGATATATATCCAACTAATAATTTTTAGAACTGGTAAAGTGATGTCCTGTTTCAAGAGTGAATCCTTTACTGAAAAAGTCTTTTTTACAGTTACTTGTTCATGTGCACCCAAGAGAGGTTTTTGTTTCACTTAAGAAAAGAAGGTGAAAGACAGAACAAGAAATAAAAGAGAAATGCAGAGTTACACAGTGGTCATGACCTGAACCATTTTGTTAATTAACCAAGCATTTTAAAAACAGTTTTGTATTTCTGAGCAGTGCCATTGATACTGATAATATGTTTAAATATCAGAACAGTGGGTGGTTGAAGGAAACAATTAGTTGTTGGTTTAAATGACTGCTGTCAGGGAAACAGTTACAAAAATTAACCAATCAGAACCTTTTGCGAACTGGTGTCAAGAGTTAAGGTTTGAAATATTTTTAACCCTTCTTGATGTTGATCAATCAAAAAGGATAAAGGATCAGAAATGTCTGGCGTGTGACTCCAGAATGCAAGCTAATGCTGAATCTATGTCTGTAAAATCAAAAGAAAGTCAATAAAATCTTGCATGAGGCCAAGCTTTTATTTGACAGTCAGATTTACATGTTTTGTGATAAATGCAATAAATGGCCTGTTTAATTATTGTTTTGGATTGAAAGTGTTTGTCCATTTTGGCAGTCTCAACAGGAGTTTCAAATCAACTTCCTTGTTGATTATTTATGAAGAATCATAGCATTTTTTTAAGAATTTTATAACCAAACATTTCCTACTCAGAAGTCTTTCCTGTAATTCAAAGTACACAAGAATTAGTCATACTGTAAGTTATATAGGTAATTTCCTGTAGACAACATTCTGGAAAGTAGTTTAAAATGGCAAAAATGTGATTAAAAAAATCATATCTGTTCACAACAGCAAAGCAATTCAGTTAGCTGTTGTATGTGTGTTAATTTTGTTTAAGGTTAATTAAATAGTCATTGGTTGAAATCTAGATTTATAATTCATGTGTTTCATTCACTTGTTGGTCTCAGAGCAGGGAAAAATACTTTGTGGAAGTGGATATTCTTTTCTTTCTATTTACTCAGGTAACAAAAGAAATTCATTTTTTCATTTCAGACAAGCATTGTTCATAAGTCTTCTCTTGTCATAACTGCGTGAATTAAATCGTTTTATGACCAAGTAAATACCACAAAAAAGTTAAAATTTCATCACTATTAAACACTTTTATACCTTGTGGTTGATATCCTGAAAGGTCGTGTGTGAAATTGAGTAGGTTTTTTGTGAGGTGTGGCTCAACATTTTAGCGTGGATGGGGCAAAATTTATAGTAGTGACAAGAGGTTCTTTCTACCCTGAAAACTTAGGACAATTTTCTACATCAGTCTGCAAAAGGTAGTTTTTCATTAATGTTTAACATTTCATTCATGGTTGTGAACATTAAAATTTATGTTGTAGTAATCCTTTGCACTCAAGGTGTGCCCCTGTATATAGTTGATGGAAAAATGCAGGCCTTGGAATTCACAAAAGTTGGTCTTGAATTGTTCAATTTTTAGCTTGTATCCAATCATGCTTAGATCGTATTTTTTAAAATAGCAGTAGAACTACCCAAAAATAATATGTTTTCTAATGAACCTTTAGTTTTAAAAAGTTGTTCATAATACTACTCTGTAGAGATTTCCATTATTAATTTGTGAAGCTGCTTTGAGGAATTAATTTATTGAGCTTAATGTTCTACAGAAATCTGTCATTTTCATTTCTAACCTACATGTAAGTGTGAGTGAAATTATTTCTCAAGTCTTTTATTTTTCTCGGCAGTAAGGCTTTGTGTGCTGATAGTCTTCAATTTAGCCTTGCGAGTTAGGTTAAAAGCAAAAAGTGGAAATCAAATACATTGCATTGTACCCAGCATGTCACTATTTGTGACGTTAAACTGGATTTGTATCAGTCCAGGGGGTCTCTGTGCAAGCAGAAGAAAGAAAATGCCTACAACAATCATCTTAAGTTACATAAACCATTTATTGGAGAAAAAAGGGCAAACATTTATTGCTGTAGTCTTTGTATTTTTGTTTCAATTTTAACATCTGGCAGAAAAGATAACATAACCCAACTTTTAAGTGTACGGTACTTGACAAATCATTTTGCTCAAAAGTCAGTCTTACAATTTGCTTTTCGGTCTGTTATGTTGCATATAATTTACCCCTAAGAATTGTCACCAGTTGAGAGTCAAAAAAGCGTCATTTTACTATGAGATACTTTTCACAGCATAATTTTTATAGCACGGTGTGTTCTTGGTTTACCCATGTGTGCGATTCTGATGATGCTTAATTTTACTTGTCACAAATGAATGACACCAATTAGTGTAAAGTACTTCCTTTGAGGCCCTTCTACTCTTGACTGATATTGCTGTGGTAGAATTATTTGCTTCTTTGTATTCACATACCTTCAACCCTTCACAGTATTCATATGTTTTATTCACATTTTGATGATGACAGATATGTAATTTTGAAACCTGCCATTCAAAGGAATTGATTAGCGGCAGGATTATGCTCTCTCTCCATGCGCCATTAGTTTTTATGGTGCACGTGGGCTAGACATGCCATTAGGGAAATTATTTTTGATTAAGTGTATCAGTTGTAACCGATGAAATCTTATGATAATAGTGGTTTAGAATCTTACCAATTTGTTGTTAATATTTCCCTTTTTTTCCATGAGTTTGTCTTTTAAAATGAAATCAAAATCCAATTAATTATTTCATTAGCTGTTGTGGATGTCATAACAAAGTAATGTTAAGGCTTTAAACTTTGAACCAAAATGAAGAAAAGGAAGAAAAAACAGACATTGAAAGCATTTTAGCCTTAACAAATGCATGTGCTTTTGAGACAGGTTTCTGCGTTTGTTTTGTTCCAATAATTTTTGGTGTTAAAATTGCCAGCATATGAATCAGGATTGTTTCTCTTTGTGCAGCTAGGATGTCATGCTGGAGTAGGTGATGGAAATTCCTCCTGGGGGTGCAACTACTGATAGAGGTCAGTGTATATCTAAAATATTTAAATTCCAGCACAGAGTCAAGTATGGTAACATGATTTACTGTTGATAAAGAAGCCACCTGGTAGCTTGTACATCTTAAAAAATTTAGAATGAATTTTCCTGTCTTCTCCATCCTCAGTCTTCCTTGTGTTACCTTGATTTACTGTTTCCTCTTTTGTTTTTTTCCTCGTTGAAGAATTATTTGACAACTCTTGTGTGTTGAAAGTAGTTTCATACAGTGCAAAAAAAAATGAGGACAAAGTTTGATGTGCATGTAGCATCTTCAAAGGAACATCTACAAGAGCATTCCAAAACAATTATCTTCCAGGCAGGGAAAATGGAGGTTAATTGCTATTTTCTGAGGCTCTTGTTACAGATCTTTTGCCTCTGTAGTTTAGTTTAAAATGTTAAGACAGCTTTCCATGGGCTGTGCTTTGGCAGAACCCACGTGCCAGAGATGACAAACTGTGTGTACTTAAATAGCTGTGATTAAATGAAATGTCTTTAGAGCTGGGCATCTCAGAATTCAGAGACAGGCTTGCTAGTACTTGGTAATTCTCTAAAGAACACAACTTTTCTTTCAAGTTGTTCCATTAATGTCAGAGCTTGTCAGGACTAGTTTGAATAATGTTCTTGTTGTGGTTACCTTCACCATCTCAGAAACGTCTGTGCTTTGTACTGGCTGATTCTCTTGGCTTCTTTACTACTTCTGTTGCTATGTTACTTGGTAGTATTTTTTGCAGTTCTAATGTTACTTGTTCACTTTTTCTCTCCGCTATTCCTTAAAGACGGCAATGGAGATCAGACATCCAGAGTAGCTTCTGACATGAATTACATTGCTGGAAACACAGAAGACCAACCGGTAGATGAGGTGGATTTTGCTGGAGTTCAAACATTCTATGGCAAGATCCCAACTACGTTTCGTGACCCGAGCTCTGCACCCCTAAGAAAGCTCAGTGTGGACTTGATCAAAACTTACAAGCACATTAACGAGGTAGCGTGGAATGTCCAATGACCTAATTCTTAACGTGATTGTTAATTCTCCCCTCTAGCTGCTAAACATTTGGTGTTAGATCAAGATAGCAACTTCTATGTGATAACTTTGAGTATTCTCGTCACCTGTTGCTGGATAAGTTATCAACATTGTAGGGAGAAGTTACGTGTTGATCACTTCTGGGAATCACAGGGTTAATCCACGGTTAAATGAACCTTTTCCACCTTGAGCCTAACTTTAAATCTGGGGTTTTCTCTTAGTGAGTTGGGATTTGAATGCAGCAAGACAGAAGCTATTTTAATGTATTACAGGAAGCAGATACTCTGCTTACTTCAGATGACCAAATTTTTTTTCAATCAATACTTTCTCACTAAATCAAACAAAAATTAACTAGCCTTGTAATCATGTGTAAAGCTCTTCTGATAAGGAGAAAAAAACAGTTGAGCATTTACTTTGAAAGATACACTTTGATACAGTGTGTGTACACTCTCTAGATTTGTTGGTCAGAAAAGAGGAGTGTTTCATAATTATGATAAAAGTAGTTATAATGATAATAATAATTATAATAATGGTGATGATAATGATAATAATAATAGTAATTATAATGAAAATAATAATAATAATATTAATGACAAGAATAATAACTTTACATTTAGAGGCTCAGAGTAAAACACACAAAAGTACACGAACTGATTAACCAGTGTCCTTTGTTAATATTAAATGATTAAAAACTTAGAAATTTGCCTTTGTTAAAAACACAACATGAAGATGATTTAAAACAACACCTGAAAATATCCTAAACTACAGCTACTGTATAAATAAAATAAAAGAAGTCTGTAAGTGTATTGACAAAGAATGTAATTACAAGATAAAGTGATCTAAATGCCTAGAACTATTTTTTAAATGTTGAAACCCCAAGTTCTTAACGCTAGCCAGATTTGGTTCGCTCATGTTGCTCAAGGTGACTTTTTGATTGAATTTTCAAGAATTAGAGTTATTTAAAACAAGATTATATCTCACGAGTCGGGGAAAGAATTCCAATTTTAGTTTTTTTTATTAATTTTTGAGTTGTGTATATTCAAACGGGACACTTGCGTCATCATTATAACTATGTTTATTTGTTTAGGTGTATTATGCCAAGAAAAAGAAACGCAAGGAGTTGGAGAAGAATGATGAAGGAGGCCACAAAAAAGAGCCGCGACTGCACAATGATGGCTATGACGATGAAAACTTTGATTACATCATTAAAACAGGGGAGAAGTGGTTTGATCGCTATGAGATTGAGTCTCTCATAGGAAAAGGCTCATTTGGCCAGGTAAAATATAAATTTTTTTTTCTGTTTTTTTCTCTAATTTACGCATGTGTAAATCACAATCTGCACTTTAGTAATAATATATTTACTTATGTAAAGGTAATTGTTTTGTTATTTTTCAACACGACTGGCATGCAGAATATTTATTTTAATTTTCTTGATTATTTTTTGTATTTTTCTTGCTGAATGTTTACAGTAGAGTGATTTGCCCAAGTTAGGAGAAGTTGAAAGGCAATCAGAATTAGCTTTTAGGGTGGAAAGATTCCAACTTCAGCATTACAATTACACAAAATTTGATGAAAATGGAGACTAATTTTTTGCCCTATTCAGGCTGACTCACAAACAGCCCAAATATTTTTTTGGGGGCTAGAATTTGGATAAATTAATAGTCAGTATTTTAAAGTGTTTTTCTGTGATATGTAAATGTGCAAATGCTTAGGGTTTTCCCCTGCAATTTCCAACTTAATATTTAACATATATGTGAGCAGAATATTTGAGTAAATTGTGGAACTTCAATTTTTTTTCCAATATATACAACCATGTAATATCTTTGTTTCTACTGAAGCAGTAGAATTTATGTCATGTTTTCAATATTTGAAATAACTTTTCATTTTCATGTTTTTACCCCTGAATGAAAGTTAGAGTATCTAGTAAACATAACAAAGTGTTGATTTCATTTATTATTCTCTCACTGGTATGTTGCATTAAACAGAAAAAAAAAACGAGAAAAAAAAAGCTCATGATTTTAAAAAACGCAACATTAGGGTAAAAATCGAATAAAGGGGGTAAGTTTCTGAAGAAACTGGTAGCGTGACAGTGGGGGGTTTTAATAGAATAATTTTGTTTTATCAATTGATTTGATGATTTAAATCGGGCACCCTAAAAAGTTTCTAAAGCTGAGTGTTAGCACTTCGTAAGAGCGAAGATAGTTATGGAAGTAGATTCGCTCTGACGAAGGGCTTCGCTTGAGACGTCAGCTTGGAAACTCTCTACGGTGGCCAATTGGAATTATCGGGTCATAACCAGACTAGTTATTTGTTGTCTTTGTTGTTTTCTTTCCCAATTTGAAAGCATACAGGCTTCTTTGGTCACAGCACACCTTTAAATATTGTTTCTTTGTGAGTTGATCTTGTACTTTTGCTATAACAACAATGTATTTCTATTTTCTTGCGTTTAGTCTCTTGTTCAGAGCGGGCAGTAAACTTATTTGACGGTGTTTTCTTCAATTTCTTTTAAAACTCCTTATAGGTGTGCAAAGCGTATGATCATCAGGAAAACGAATACATCGCTATAAAGATAATCAAAAACAAGAAGCCATTTTTGAATCAAGCTCAGATAGAAGTTCGTTTGCTGGAGCTAATGAACTCACACGATCCGGATGGAAAATACTACATCGGTAAGAGTAACCAGGAAACAACCAATCAGTTGTAAGAAAGATATCACAATTAGCTAATGAAAACTCGCCATAGTAAAACATGCAGACGGACTCAAGCGCGGGAAAACGCGTGTGACCAACTTCTTGATCAATTCAGGTTCCACAAATGATTGGTTGAGAGCTTGGTGCAGCAAAACAATGACATCACAATAAGCTAATTAAACTTGCATGCAAACTTACCTGTAAACTGTTGCATTTCGATCATAAAGATGCATTTGGAGTAGGTTGACTTAGAACAAAGTCGATATGTATGCTCGGTAGTCTTCGGGGATAGTCTAAGTTTGTTAAGTAGGGGTTTCAGTGGATGAATATGGTTAAACTTTCAAAATTTTGAAAAATATCGCCATTTTTATTTATGTATACGTTGCTATGGATTCATAAGCTTATTAGTGACATGCGCAGACGTTATTCAGCTTTGTCACGAGTGTAAACATTTGAAATTGTTATACGATTGTGTGACGCAAAACCAAAAGTAAATGATCGCTATGGCCAATCAGAACGAAGGACAATATCAAGAGCAAACTATACCAAGCGCGGGAAAGCGCGAATTTTTTAGTTCTGCATCTGATTGGTTGAGAGAAAAGCGCCAGCTTGCTCAACCAATCTCAGAGCAGAGTTGGCAAAACCAATATGATCGTGGATTACTCTGGCTGCTCAATGTACCCCTTTCCTACTATGATCAATCAAAGGAATTTCTCCTTACGAAATCAATGAAATTCTCTAGCAGTCACTGATGAGAACAACTGAAAATATCAACGAGGGAATAGCGTTCAAATTCACACGTCTCATACTTCTTAAAGCGATAGCAACAAATGTATGGTAAACTACTGCCACTAGGGTTTAACTCTTTGACCCGTAAGAGTGACTAACATCTAATTTCTCCTTACAATATCACCCCTAAATCACTCATTAGGGTCATGAGAATGAAGGAAATGATCAGCAACTAAAGAATTTCTTGATTTTTAAACAAGATCTCCTCTTTAACATCATAGGCAAGGTATATAGGACAGTATGGAGAATATACATACTGATGTTATAGTGTAAAGGGTTAACACCTGTATAAGACACAGAAGGGAGATTTCAGCTTGCTTTTACTGAAATATTATTCTACTTCATTGATTTTGTTCATTTGATCTCTCTCAACAGTGCGGCTTAAGAGACACTTTATGTACAGGAATCATTTGTGCTTAGTGTTCGAACTGTTATCGTACAATTTGTACGACTTGCTACGAAACACGAACTTTAGAGGAGTGTCATTGAATTTGACGAGGAAATTCGCGCAGCAGATGTGCACCGCGTTACTGTACTTGTCAACGCCTGAACTAAATATTATTCACTGCGATTTGAAACCTGAGAACATTTTGTTGTGCAATCCTAAAAGAAGTGCCATCAAGATTGTGGATTTTGGAAGTTCATGTCAGCTTGGGCAAAGGGTAAGAACGGTATCTTTGGTTTGTTCCGTCTGTTTTGATAATTTTTATAAAATAATTTTTTGCGTTTTTCCAATTATGTAATTATTGACAGCACATTTTGGTAGCAGTGAAAAGCGCGGGAAAAATCATGAAAGCGATATTAGGGTTATTTTCTTTGCCGCTGATTGGTGGCAAAGTCAAATTCTTTATTATTATTGGTTGAGACGTGCTGCGGGGTTAAGTTTGAGACAAACCGCCTGTGAAAAGCACAGGGAAAAATCTCTTTTTTAATTATGTAGTTTTTGACAGAACATTTAGATGGCAGGGAAATGTGCGGGAAAAAACGTGAAATTAATATTAGGGTTATTTTCTTTGCTGCTGATGGCAGCAAAGACAGATTCTTTATGCTTATTGGTTGAGACGTACTGCGGGGTAAAGGTTGAGACAAACCGCTGGTGAAAAGCGCGGGAAGAATTGCGAAAGCTTGTTGACGATTATTTTTGAGGCTGACTGGGTGCTGTCAGATTTTCTCATCAAATTGGTTGAGACACGTTGCGTGTTGCTTTTTATCGTAGCGAGCACGGGAAACGTTGCTTACACCAAATTATTTTTAGTGACCTGATTGGCTGAACAGGCGACATCTACACTCGCATATTTTACAAAAGTTGTGTTGAAGTCTCGTCCAGGGAAAGCCCTCGAACTTGAAATGGTGTTGACGGTGTTCTTACAGGAAAGGGATGTGATGGCTGTCAATAATTGAGTCATATCGAATATGCACCACGCTTGCTAGCACTTATCAATCGTTTTGCAGCAGGAAGGTAACACTCCATCTCGATTTCCAACACATCATCCGACTTCAGTGTATTATGCCCTCTCTTTCTGGATGGAAAGCCCGTCCATTTGTAAGTTACGCTCCCTTTCCTCCCCCCTCCCCCACTCACCCACCTCCTTTTCACTAAGCTTTTTGACATGTTTCCTGTTAGCTCGCTGGAACACAGGCTCTATGGTTGAGAGAAGCGCCGTGAGAGTGAAGTGTTTGGCCTTTAGTAAACTCTCAGATTGAAGTCTGATTGTCGACGTTATTTGTTTTGCTTTTATGGACTCGTCAATCGACTGGTGGATATTTTGTTTTTAAGTCTACTTGATTGCATTGGCAAAGTGATTGTTTTCGAATTTCGCTAGAGATCTGTTGGAAAGGTCAAGGAAAACCGAACTGAACACAAAATAAACAACTTCGATCTTTCTAAAGCATATATTTTTTTTGTGCGAATGTTATTCAGTCAACGGACTAGTGCAGTTTATATTCTATTTAGATGAAATCTACAAGTATCTTCTGTTACGTGTGAAATTTTGCTCAAGCTCTTTTGTTGACAACTGTGGGTGCAATGTTATGAAATTTCGATGTTTGACGTTTCAGAGTCTGTAATGTTGAGGTTTTCATCCTAATATCAATTAATTTGTCGGAAATTGACTCGTGCTTATTGATTCTCGAGGGCTCTTAGTGTATAGCCGAACAATTTAAACAGAAAAGGAAAAAAATGTGGCTTTCCTATTGTCCTAAAAGCCTTGGAGCCAGAGAAAACACACCCGCGCGTAGCAGTGTTCATTGTGATATCAGAGTGAATTTTCTCCACACTTCAACGCGTTTGACGATGACAGCCGATTCATAATGAATTAGGGGAACAAAGGCAAGCAACAATACTTCTCAGAAGTACCGACATAATACGAATTAATATTTAAACAACTGTTGGTGAACACGGACCAATCACAGCGCGTTGTCTTGTACAAACAGAGCCGTGTGGTAATTGAAAAGTGTCTAGGAAGTATGCAAATCAACTCTGCTGAATAAAACTTGCCTCCTACACCACACATTTTACATTATTGATTAAAAGCAAGGTGTTTTGAGGTAATTTCTGTCATTTCCATTTCTTGAAGTTCTAGTATTTAAAGTTTGTTGTGCACGAGACTAGCACGTGTCTTAAATCTTAAATGTACGCGAAAGAAAAAAAAAAGAAAAAAAAAAAACGTCGGAGGAATATTTCGCAATTACGACTTTAGCTAATTAATTACACCAACAAATAGATTGTTGATGCGTCTTTGTCGCTCTCGAGCCATCGATTGTGTTTAAATTGCCTCAACGTAATAGTTTCCTTTTCAAAATCTTTCAGAAGCCCTTTCAAATCACGAAATGACTGCAATTAAAAGTGAAAATTCCCTCCGGGCTTTTCGACGAGGCCAGACTTTCTGGCGACAATATTTAGCAGGTGGAAGCGAAATGCTGGCCTAATATCAATTTTTTTTTAGTTAAAAGATAACCTCTATACTTCCAACCTTACCGCTGTAATGGACTGTAAAGACCTTAGTTAAAATTTTATTCATTTCAGTTTTCCTTTGAAAAAAGAATCAGGCTTATTCTTGGTAACAGCAGTTTCCGTGCGGGCATAACTTTCCCGCAGTTAAGACTTCCTTTGGAATCAAGGCGGAAGAAAACTTTGACAGATAGTTTTAACTTATAAATTGAAATGTTTTTGACCAGAAGACATGGACTTCCTGCTGTCATCGTTATTAATAGATTTTTGTTTGAAATTCTGTCGTACTTTTATCCATCTTTCCTCTTCTCATAAACATTTTACGTCAATTATTCGAATCTCAAAGCAACTAAGCCCTTTTTCCGACTTTTCTGTCAAAATGCCCACGGTTAGCAACGTTTTAATCATAATGTTATATATTTATGTTTATTTATTCGTTCATTGATTATTATTTTTTTGCGTCTGACATAGCGCTGCAAATACGAATATATTTTTAGTGTAAACTCTGTAAGATCTTAGTTGATCAGCGTTTACTGTTATGATTGCGTTTGCAAGCTTCGTGCGTCTCGCATTTCGTCAACGCGCTTTGCACTTCTCAGGGACCGGTCGTTATGTGTTGCTTGATTTTTTTTTTTGGGGGGGGGGGGTGAAAGGGTCGAAGGATTTTGTTTGTGCTACTATAAAATTGAGCTGATCCACCTCTAAGGCTCATTATATTCCAATGATCCTTTAGTTCACGTCCATTTCCCTATGATGCTCGATTTCCTCTCGCGCTTTTTTCGTGTTCCATGTTAGTGGGTTTTCATTTTGGCTTTAATTCTTAATTCTTACGCAGATTTACCAATACATCCAAAGTCGGTTTTACCGTTCACCGGAAGTACTTCTAGGCGTGCCTTACGATCTTGCAATTGACATGTGGAGTTTGGGATGTATTTTGGTCGAAATGCACACCGGAGAACCACTCTTCAGTGGGGCAAACGAGGTGAATGAATGATTGTTTTTTTCTAAGTAACAACTATTACTCTCACGCAAATGTGAATAGTTATTGTCCACGACGTCAAAAATTAAAATTTTTCTGTTGTACTTTTAGTTTGAAATATCCATTACGTCCTTATTCTCATAGTTATGCTGTCTTTATTCTTCAGTTTGATCAAATGATGAAAGTTGTCGAGGTTTTAGGCATTCCTCCAAATCACATGTTGGAAAGTGCGCCTAAAGCTAGGAAGTTTTTCGATCGCTTACCAGATGGTACATACGCTTGTAAATCTAGTAAGGACGGTAAAAAGGTAAGACAATCTGTAACTATACTAGAGACAGAAAATTAGTAGCAGCTTTTCCCACTGCTCCATCTTCCATCTTTTACCTCCTTCCCTTCTTTTCAACCCCTTCACGTTTTCCCTCTCCCTTCTCCTATCTCTCACACCACACCCCCCCCCCCGTCCCTTCTTGCTTCCCTTTGTCCTTCCTATCACCCTCCCTCCCACGGTCTCTCCTTGTTTTGTTTCCTTTCTCTCTCCATCGTTCCCTTTATACGTTTTTCCCTTTCCGCCATCTCTCTTTCCCCGTTCCCGCCCTGTTTATCTCCCCTCTCTTTCTCTTCCTTCCTCGCTCCTTACACGCCAAGTGAAGGAACTTGACGTATTCTAAAATTTTGCCATGACCATGTAAATTGTGGAACTCATTGAGTTTACGACCTGTATTCCAAAGGTATTTTAATGGTTGGAGAAGGAAGTCGCCTATCCATGGATGGCAGTATATATGTCCTTTGCCTTTTCAGAAACATTTGCTTAAGCGTTTTGTTTCCTTTACCCAAGGAATACCGACCGCCGGGAACAAGGAAACTACACGATATTTTGGGATGCGAGAAAGGCGGACCGGGCGGCAGAAGACAAGGAGAATCTGGACACTCACTTCAAGATTATTTAAAATTAAAGGACCTTGTTTTGCGCATGCTTGAATATGACCCGAAAGCTCGAATAGCGCCGTACCAAGCTTTGCAACATTGCTTCTTCAAAAAGACTGCTGACGAAAGCACAAACACCTCGCATTCAGCGAATTCTTCTCCCGCCTTGGGAGGTACGACGAATAGAACTTCAAGCACAACCAGCACTGCGGTGTCCAGCAGTGGCACACGCGCATGCTCCGACCCTACTGTGCACGCGACTGTGACGTCATCTGCCATGGAATGCGACAGCCCAAGTGGAAAAGGACCACAGACATGGGGCAATGGGGGCGGAGGGATGTCATCGCAATTTAAAAGAACTAATGAGAGAACTTGTAATAATTCCGATTCGAGAATCGCTGGGCAAGGAATTCAACAAACTGCGACGTTGCCAGGGGCTCGCAGTGAAGGCTCGTCAGCCTACAGCTCCGCCTCAATTAACACATCTCTTCACAGCGGCGAGGCAGGACGAAGCCAGGGACGAGACTTCGGTGTCAGTGGAGGAGTATATTGCAGCTCAGAAACTGTTTCTAATTACTCGTCGTCTTCATCTTGCAATTCAATGACTGTTGAGCCTCATGGATCAGCTGTGGGTAGCTCTCTCCCCCCGGAAGCGTTTACGCAACTCAACTACTCTGCAACGAACTTGTCACTTAATCCGGGGGAACATGAAGTTAATTGCGTGGGATCATCCACGACAGTTCCTAATTCGGTGGCTAATCCGCGGGGGATTTCAGTGGGACACCGGAGGGATTTTGTACGGCAGCATTCACCGGGAGACGAATCCCCTATGGTTGGGGTTTGCGTTCAACAAAGTCCGGTGGTTAGCAATTAGGGATCCCGAAAAAAAACCTGGCAGTCGATGACATACGCGGTGACGACGCCCACCCGCCTGGTCCTGCTCTGTTCCGCTGCCCTCTGCCCCATAAATTTGCGGGCAATGTTCCTCCGGTAGGAATTTGAGGGCCGTTTTCTTCTGTACACCGTAAGTTGCCTGTATAAGGGGAAAATCCCCCTCCTTGGCGGAACAAGGGGCATAGAATACCGGGTTTTCGACTACGGCTGTCCCGCCCCCTTTGATGCCTCCAAACCTCCAAAAATGGCGTCAACGCCGTACAGTGTTCTAAGAATGCGCATGCGCTTGCGATGCCAGCCGCTTAATTCTTATCTCTTGTATAGACGTGCAGCTACTAGCCCGTGCGCGCTTGCCTTTTGACAGCTAGCTGCTGTAGTTTTCGTCTTTTTTCGATTGCCTTCGGGGGAAATGCGTCTGAAATGATTTTTCTGATTTGGAATGGTTATGTGAGTTTGGGGAGAGTGTTTTAACGTTTTGTCTATTCCTTTCGATGATTATAACACTCCTCAACACGACATGAATTTTTCCAACGTTCAGAGTGAAGCTTGACTGTTTTAAAACAGAAAATTTGTCATACCTGGAGAATTTGTTGTTGTCTTGGAACTTCATTTGAAACTTGTTCGACTCTAGGGATTTGTTTAGTCTTGGATGACATTTTTGACCCAATTAATTTGCTTCACATTTTACCGTTGATGTTCATATTGTTTTGATGTGCTCAAGTTTTTAACAGCTGCCAAATCATTGGTAATTGAAAGAGTCATCCTTTTTTTTGCCAAGCTTCGATGATGCGCAAAGATGATCTTTTGTCATTTGTTTTTATTCTGTTTGGACTCAAATACTCGTCCATTTGCTACCTTTTAAAACTTTGTTTTTATTTGATCATTTTTTACCTGGCAAGAGAAATCTTGTGTGACAACTCGCAAGTCTTGGGAATTTTTTGGTGTTCATCTTAGGCCAGTCTGTCAAAATACGGTTAACTTATTGGGAGTCTGTTCGTGTCACGTTTTCGAAGCTGTGTTCTCAACCAAAAAATTTTGGTTTTGTAGCCACGTAGCAAAATAACACTATGTAATACTGAAGTCGCACAGAATCGTGATCAGCCCTTATAAACAGCATCGGAATATATTATTTTAGTCTCGATTTACCATATTTTATTGATAATATTTCATGTAATTTATTTATTTATTTTAGTGGCTCTAGGACCGGCATGAAAACGTTCGATGCGAACAGACCTCGTCCCCCGTCCCCCGTCCCCCGTCCTCTCCCCCCCTTTCCCCCTAGGAGGGCATCGATTCTTTATACAGTTCGTCGAAAGAATAGAAATTTTGGGGATGGTTGAACATGGGATGCTTAAATTATTTATTGAATGGAAAGGAAATGGGAAATTTGTGAATAATCGTGTTGTTTCTTTGGTTAGACGCTCGCTTTTTTCCAAGTCAGGGGTTCGCGCAAACTTCATTCGAAAAAGAAATTTACTTATCCGTTCATCATAGATCGTGTGTGAACACGCGTGACCTATGCGTGATGGAACAGGGTTTACTCTCATGCTTACGTGACCATGTGTTATCACGCAAAGTGATGTCACAAGGAAATGTAGGTCTGCTCCTTGTTAATACGTTAGAGGTAGGCTGTTAAAAACTGGCCTTCCATCAAATTTGAGCTGGTAAATTAATTTTTACTAGTCGGAACTTCGCAGCTGCGAGACCTTATCTACGCGTTGGTCTTCTGTTTTTAAGTTTTACTTCTATCACCTGCAATGGTTTCAAAAGGGTTACCTTGTGGTATCATTTCTTTTTTACTTATTTCCACTTTTAGGCAGAAATTCTGCTGTGCAATTTTATTTTCTAGAGCAGCTAACTAATGATGTGTTGAAGCTTTGTCGGCTCTCTTGCAAAAATTTTAAAGCCAGCGTTTTCTTTTACTTTATTTAATGGCACAAAATGCGTGCCTTTTAGCTCTTGCTGAAGCCTGACTTAACACCAAAAAGCGATTTAGGCAAGAAATCAATGAAAAAAAAAAAGATGTACATTTTAAGAAAAGATAGTATACTGTAAAATATTGTAAAACTTTGATTTTTAACTGGAGTCTTACAAGACTTAATAAAGTGTCATGTAAGTCTTTTTTTTTTTAATAAAAGAAGATGTAAAGTTTCACATCAAGGTATTTTATTATTCTTTAACCCTTAAACTCCTAATAGTGACTTGCATATAATTTCTCCTTACAATATCACCCCCAAATCACACATTAAGGTCATGAGAATAAAGGAAATGGTCACCAACTAGAGAAGTTCTGGATTATGAAACAAATTCTCCTCATCAGCACCTCAGGGAATGTATAGGGAACAGTATGGAGAATATGCATACTAGTTTTAGGGTGGAAAGGATCAAAGGCAGCTAAGCACTTCACCACAGGAGACCTGGTGGCCTTGTGCATGGTGCGCTGGACCAAGAGTTCCAGGTTGTGTTGTGTACTTGAGCAAAACACTTAACTGTCCCAGTGCTCCCAGGGTACCGGCGAAGTACCAAGGAAGGCTCTTGAAATGGTGGGGGTAACCTTCTGATAAACTTGAATCCCATCTCGTGGGAGAGGGGAGGGGGCATTATAACTTTTCTTCTACCCCTTAGAACAACCAGCAGCATCTTATTTCTTCTCACAGTATTACTCTGATTAAAATATTAAGGTCATGAGAATAAAGGAGATGATTTCCAAGATTTGGATCGCTAAACAAAATTCTCCCTATCAGTATACTAGGAAATGTACGGAGAATGTATAAAGAATGTGCCTACCAATGTTCACACCTAAAGTGTGAAGGTTAAGGCTCAGACTATGGAGACGCAAAAGGCAGCGTAAGGAGAATGCAACTTTTGAAGATGCGCTTTGCAGTCAACCTTAAGTTTTTTCCTTATCACTGAAAGTTGCACGATCAAACCTTTTATCGTTGGAAGGCGCTCGATCGCATCACCACTTCTAGTAATATTAGTTCCGTTGGAAGGTTTCACAAATAGAATTCGCCTGTTCCATCGGAAATCACGTTTCTCTATCGCAATTTATTTGTGACATTTGTGTGTAATGGACAACACTCATTAACATTCTTGACCACGTTTTTGATAATCACGCGAACATTAAACTGTAAGAGTATTTTCTGATTGGTCAGATTTTTGCACGAAGAATTTCCGCGGGAAGATTGAGCCGATCACATGATTTAGTGCGGAAACCCTTTGCTGCTGTTATTTTGAGTGTTTCTTGCAACAGTGTGGGAGTGTGCAAGATTATCAGTTGAAAAATTTGGATTTTTTTCTAGGACAATTTCCCTCCTCATTCTACAGCGTGACCTTTATTTCATTCCACGGATCGGATGGCGAAAGCTTCAAATTTAGCGGAGACCTTGGCGAAGGAGCTGCAATGTGGATTTTGCTCGCAGCAATATAAGGAACCTAGAGTTCTGCCATGTCTTCACTCTTTCTGTAAGTCATGCCTGGAAGAAATGTTGAGTAAACAAGGAATCGGTTGGAAGGTTGGGTGTCCGTGGTGCCGAGCGAGCGTGGAGGTGAGTTGTTGATTTTAATGATGTTCTCTGTGTATCTTATTTCCGTCGCTCATCAGGAGGAAATTACCATCTTCGCACGACGAGAATTGTCTAATTTGGCTTACATTAGCCATGTTTGACATGAAACATTTAAGATAGGTTGCCAGTCCCACTGATTTTTCTCTGCCTATTATTTGTTGATAGTTTTAGCACCTGGTTTTAGAATGCTGTTGCGCGTTGCTTCCTACAGTATCAACTTGTATCCAGAAAGATCGTTTCGTCGAACAACATTCTTTTTTTAAAATTTCTGATATTTTCACGAAAGAGGTAACATGTACATTGAAATTATTCTGATTGAATGCGAGTTAAAGCTGATCGAAACTGATTTATCCGCAGTTTTAAGCAATAGGAACTCAGGATCTTTGCACATGGAAGGGGAGGGTCGGAAAGGTATTTCAGAAAGAGGAGGGGGGACTGGTGTCATTTTCAAAACAACTCCAATGTCATTGGCAAGGTTGCAAGAGATAAGGAACTTGATTATCAGATGTTTTCTGATTAGGGTTCAGGCATCTTTCTTTGTTCAAATCTTTATTATTATCTTTTTTATTGTTTATCTCAGTTGTGTTTTTTTTAGTTGGAGTCCTTTTGAAAATTAGCACAACAGGCACAAAATGTCTTCTAAATAATCCCTCTGTTTGCCTTCCCAGATTCCCAAGGGAGAAGTTGATTTATTGCCAGATAACTTCATGCTTAACAACATGTTGGCCATGCTGACTCTTCTTTTGGAAAGAGGTAGCCTTGGGTGTGATAACTGTGACAGTGGAGACCCCCCTGTCAACAGGTGTGCTACCTGCTTTCATTTTCTGTGTGAGATTTGCACAATGGGACATAAACGGGGCCGCAGCACTAAAAGCCACCACTTAATGAACCTGGAGGAGGCTGTAGAGGAAGGACCTATGGCTGTCTACATGTCACGCCCATCCTTTTGCAAAGAGCACAATGGAGAAATGCTTAAGCTCTTTTGTGAAACATGTGACAAAACTGTATGTAGTGACTGCACAGTTGTTAAGCATCAGGGTCACAAATGCATTTTTGTGAGTGATGCATTTGAAAATGGAAAAAATAATGTAAGGAAGATTCTTTCAAAGACAAAAACTCAAGCATCGACCCTCAAGAGTGCCCTGGATGGTATTTCAGCAATGAAGAGAAGCATCGAGTCTCAAGCAAAAAAAGCTGTGGAAGAGATTGGACAGCGATTTCAGGACTTAACTGTTAGTCTTCATACTCGCAGTGAGGAATTAGTAAGTGGGGTACAAGAGCTAAAGAAGGCAAAACTGAACACTTTGCAAATTCAGCAAGAAGAATTGGAATTGGCCCTGGATATTGTGCAAAGTAGTGTAGGGTTCACCGAGAAGACAATCAAACATGGCAGTGAGGTTGAAATTTTGAACTTACACAAACAAATATCTAACAGACTACAAGAACTGAATTCTTCTACTTGGCACTTAGTACCCTGTACTGATGATGCCATTAAGTTTATAGTTGAAAAAGAACTGAAAGGAGAAGTTTCATCTTTTGGTGTTGTTACAGATGTCATGACCAACGCTGAGACATCAACGGTAATGATGGGTCATGGTTCAGAGGGCATAATCTACAGTACACTGTGTGGACAGCCTGTTCAGTTCACAATAATTGCAAGGGAATGGAATGGAAAGAAGAGAGTAGAAGGGGGTGACCCTTTCACAGCTTCTTGCGACAGTGGTGCTGGTTTTAAAGCCCTGGAGGTGAAAGACTGTGGAGATGGTACTTACATTTTCTCATACACCCCAGAACAAGAGGGTCAGTATAAACTGGTTGTGAAGCTGTTGGGTCGTGATGTGAGTGGAGGCCCGTTTACTTGGTCTGTAGAAAAATGGCATCTTCTGTGTGTTTCAGGCAGCTCTAAAGGTGAAGTGTTGTTGTCTGAAGAAAAACTGACTGCTCAGTACAATCTGAAGTCAGCGGTAACCTCTGCTGTCTCAAAACCATACTCTAATGCTTCATGTTTCACATCTGGTCAAAAATTTACTGCTTCAAATTCACCATTTGGCAGTACCAGTACTAGCACTGCAAGCTCACTTTCAAATGGAATTTCCCAAAAATCCAAAAACTCACACAACAATGGAGGCACTGGTCGGCCCTTTGGTGCAAACAGTTGGGACTATGTAGTAAGTTCTACTTCATTCTACAATGGTAAACATTCATGCAAAGCTAAATTGATTGGCAATATTCAGGAAGGTTTTAGCTTAGGGGTCATCAGCACCTGCAGAAGATTACATGGCAATCTGGCCAGTCTGGGAAACTGGTGGGTGTGGAACTCCAAACAAATGAAGCACCTTTTGCTCTCAAGTAACATGCATGTTAAGAACAGTTCTATTACAGACTTTGAAAGCAATGACATTGTAGAAATGTACCTGGACTGTGATGAAGGAACACTGATAATGTTCAATCAACGTACCAAAGAGTCAGACATTTGGTATGGCATCAACGGAGATACTTGTCCAGTGTTTCACATGACAAGCCATGGAGACCAGGTTTCTCTACTAGTTTAGAGGGCTCAGAGTTTATTTGAGGATATTAAATTATTCCTAGTTTAAACCAAAAACACATTTTAAGAAGAGTGCAATTTTAAATTGTGTCAAAAGTAATCTTGGATTGCATTCATTCTGCAGTTATTGGGTGATATGCATACCTAAAATATGCATCAGTGGCAAGCCTGCCTTTTCAAAGCCTCTGGTATTCTCATTATGTTTACTTACGGCTCTTTTAGGCTTTTTGATATGACAATTTCCTTCACTGTCAAGTTCTGATATGCTTTTGTTGCTTAAATTTTGATTTTTATGGGACTGAATCTTGAATTTTGATCAACAATTACTTTATACTTAGTTTTTTTTAAAGTGTAGCTGTCTCTTAACTTTTTCATTTTAGTATCAATTTATTGTATTCAATGAATTATATCCTGTTTGAAAATTACTCACTGAAGTAGAGGTAAATATCCACCACTTTCATTGACACTGAGGTAAACAACTGTTTTAGTACGCCCAGTATATGTCATATAGCAACCTAAAAGGTACTTTATTTCTGTCAATTTAATGGTTGGAAATTAACCTCTTGACAGGCAATAATGTTTCTTTTGCTGCTTTGAGGTGAATAAAGCTTGCTCATCACTTCCTAATAACCAATATATCAGCTTGGGAAATTATGCATTTATTCAGAAATAGTTTTAAGCTTGTACTCACTGTATTATGTTTTTATTAGTACAATAATTGGTCTATTTCTTGTACTTTTTTTTGGGTAAAGTGACTTGAATTTAAAAGATGTAAGATCAGCTCTGATATCTGTGATAAAAGGGTTTATAATTCAGTTTATAAGTTTGCAAAATCCATGGGAACAATACTGGAAACATATGGTGTTTCCTTTCTATTTGAAATCTTAACTCTAAAATCAGTATGCATATTCTCCATACTGTTCTCTAAACATTTCTTAAGATGCCAACATGGAGAATTTTCCTAACAATCAATAGCTTCTTTAGTTGGTGATCAGCTCCTTTATTCTCCTGACCTTCACATTTGATTTAGGTCTGATAGGGTAAGGAGAAATTAGATGCCAGTCAATCTTAGGGGTTAAAGGGTTAAGGTCTCATCTGATAATTATTAATGAGTAGCTCACTGGAACAATTGTTTGACATTGATGTTAAATTCCGACAGTCCATCTCACTACAGGGCATGATGTTTTATTGGGTAGTTACAATTATAGTTGAAGGTGAATAAAAAAATATTGTTATGAAAAAAACAAAAATAAATAAACTGAAAACAAACCTTAGAGAATTTTTTTGAAGGTATGACTAGATAATTATGATCCCACTAATACCTCAGGCCAGCCCTTCCTCTCTGCAATGAATGTGGGTGCTAGGTGACTAATACAGCCTAATCCTCTGTCTCCCAATGATTACAAGCTGTTCACGAGATCTGATTTAACATACTGGTATCTAAGTTGGAGGAAGATAGATATTTTGTTAGAACTGTTTAAAATGTTTCTCTGCAAATTCATACAGATTTGTATGAATTGAAATTCATATGTAAATCACAAGCTTATGTTAAGTTTCCACCATAAATTTCTATAATATAATAATAATTTGTACATAAAATTGAGTATCAAATGAAGGAGACCTTTTAACCATGGGCCTTAGCTAAATAATTCTCACCTATTTGCTTAATTAGCAGGTATTCTTGTTTCTCATCCATATACATTTATAATTGTCAAGCTCATTACAGAATGAATAGTCTCAGTGAAAATGGATGAGACCATGAAAATTAACCTGGGTGTTATTAATTTCAAATTGATGATTTTCAAAGCATCATATGTCCCTTTGTGAATAGTCCTATTTACTTTTATACGCTTGGTTGCCAAGCCTTTGAACTGGAGTGAGGCTAAGGCTGGTCTTGTTAGGATGCAAACATTGCCGTTTTTCAGATGTAAATTACTTTGTTATTGTGCTAACTAGATACTGGTCTCTATCACAACTGAAGGTCACCTTCAGTCTCACTCCAAATCAAAGGCCTGGCAACTAAGTACACAACTGTAAAATGGTCTATTGCTGTCAAATCCTTATAAAGATATCTGTGTCCTTTTCATCTTTTTTATTTACCTTACTATTTCGAAGTACTTTATCAGCTTTCCAAAATCTGAGAAGTTTTATAAATTCTCCTCACAGTTTCAAGGCATGTTAAAACAGCAAACGGGTCATCAGAATGGATATAATTTTTAATCACCCAGAGCAACTTACCTAATTCATAACACATCAAAATTTTCTTAGCTTAAAATGTTCTGTGATCCATTTTTTTGGCTACAAGCCTTTCTCTTTCTTTTGGGTAACCAACTCCTTTGTTAATCAGCTGGCTTGTTTTTTTTCGTTTTTCCGGCTTAGGAAGCTCAACTGCTTTATCCATCACCATCTGGTAATGAAATTATGGCTGGAATATTAATTACTTCATTGAGTTAATCTCCTTGAGAGGTGTCAATTTAAGATCATGGGTAGCCTGAAAATCTTTAGCCTTTTTCCAATTCTGACTGAAAAAAGAAATTTTTTTTTTTTACTTGATCAAAAACCCGCAATTTCTAGGCCTGCCGAAGTGCAACTTCGACGTTGTTTCGCTCTTCACTAAAATCCCAGTTAATCTTGCCGTTAAGGTTGCGGAGGAGATACTCAGAGAAGATGCTTCCCTAGGACAAAGAACTTCTTTGCCTGTGGGGGATATTATTCATCTGCTCTCTTTTTGCCTCAAAACCACGCAATTTACATATAACGGCACCTACTATCAACAAGTTTTTGGTACAGCGATGGGTTCGTCTGTCTCTGCTGTCATTGCTAACATGGTAATGGAAGACGTGAAACAAAGGGCCTTAACCACTTCACCGGTTAAACCCTTTTTCTGGAAACGATATGTCGATGATGTTATTTCTGCGGTATCCGGAAATGAAGCGGAGCACCTCCTGTCGCATTTGAATTCAGTAGAGCCGTCGATCCAATTCACCCTTGAGCGTGAAAAGGATAGACATTGTCCCTTTCTTGATTTAAATGTGTCCAGAGGGGTTCAGGGTAATTTAGAGACAAGTGTCTACCGTAAACCTACCCACACCGACTAATACTAATCGGCGTTACCACCAGCGCCTCTGTTTGGAGGCTTGGCATATTAACTCCGCCCACGCTCCTTTAAATCGTGACGATGGCGGTCTTCATTTACCTTCAGAAAAAAGGCAATTAGTGATCATATAAAAGGATCTGTTGCAGCGTTTAGATCACCCTTGATGAAGGCATTAGACAGTGTCGAAACGTTGAATTGTCCTTCTTGTTACATTCATTAAATCTGTAAACCAGAGTAGCATCAAACCATGTCTGATTGTCCACCTGGTTGCCGTGTGAACTTTAATATATTTTAATTAGACATACTTGTACGCATTGTGTACCTACGTTAATAGAGGGTGGAACGTTATATCGACAACATAATTATCACGTGACTTTCCAGTCGATTTCCCAGAACCTCTAAGCTGTTATGATTTCCATTCGTTCGTCGAACTGACTTGTGCGATTATTTCACTCTTTTTCGTGTGAGGAAGGAGATCTACCAAAGATGGCTAAAGCTTCAACGTTGGCCGAAAATTTAGAGAAGGAGTTGGAATGTGCTGTGTGCCTGGAGCAGTTCAAAGATCCCAAAGTTCTTCCATGCCTTCATTCCTTCTGCAAAATATGTCTGGAGGGGCTGGTCTGTAGAGAAAGAAAAACTTGGAAGTTGAACTGCCCTTCTTGTCGGATTATTGTAGAGGTAAGCTTGTGAATGTGGTGTACTGTTCTTTACAGTCGCGATGTGAAATCGTTGAGTGTTCGGCCACACCTCTACAGGATCTTTGTAGAACTGTACGCACATGTGTGCATTCAGTATTTTTGAATCTTACAAAAAGATGAAGGATGGTTTATAGCAGAAGATAACGTTTGGTTTTTGTGCAGAAAATTGATTTTTCATCTCTCGGCCGCCATCGCGTTACAGAGATGGCTTTACGCCGATTTCGCTACTCGTCGATTTCGCCATATGTTCGCTACTAACATGCCAAATTCGTTGCTTCTGTTAATTCACAGTTTTAATTTCTCTTTTAACCATAAACCACAAGCAGTATCTGTAATTTATACTGCCAACTGCGTGATTGCCGTTTTGAGAAGTTAGTTAAACTGATCATATGCAAATTGCCTTCTAGTTTGCTTTTAACCGCCTCGTTGATTTTTGAGTTATTTTTAAAGAAAAAAAATTGTCCTTCTTGTCGCATCAGCGTAGAGGTTGGTTTGTGAAAATAAATTATTGTTGATTGTGGTGATGTGGGACTAAACTAGTGTAACAACGTTGAGGAACAAATAACGCCTCTATTAGTGTGCTTGGAAAGAACTGAATGCATAATGTAGGATGGGCTGTGCGGAAATTTTACCATCGGATGTCTTTTTCTTTTACCTCTTAAATGCTACCACCACTTTTTAATGGAGAAAAAGTGAAGTTTAAGCTCCGCTATTTCCCTTTTAATTAGTAACATAATTAAGTAATTTTTGTCACTTCCTGCTTTAGTTATTTAAATTTGTTTTTTTAGTTAAAAATGTGCAATCTGATTGTTAGATATGAGCTTGGAAACGACAAAATAAGGAGGAGAAAAGTGAATTGATTCAAATTTTCCAAATAGTATCTCTTTTTTTGTTACACAGATTCCAGATGGTGAAGTTGATTCTCTGCCAATTAATTTCTTCTTGAACAATTTATTATCTATGGTTTCCCTTCATGGAGATTCAGGGAGTAGTAAATTGGAGTGTGATAACTGTGAGAGTGGCGATCCGCCTGTGAACAGATGCAACACATGCTGCCATTTCCTCTGTGAATTTTGCACACAAGCTCATCGGAGAGGGCGTGGCACAAGCTCACATGGTGTGGTGTCGATTGACGAAGCTAAAAAGATGGGATCTGTGGCTGTAACCAAACCAAGTCTTTGTAATGAACATGATGGAGAGTTGTTAAAGCTGTTTTGTGAGACATGTGAGGAGGCTATCTGTAGAGACTGTACCATTGTGAAGCATCGAGAGCACCATTATACTTTTGTAAAAGATGCTTTTGCAAAGAATAAGAAAATCATGGTGGAGATTCTTTCAAAGACAAAGGGACAAGCAGGGTCACTGAAGAAAGCAATAGATGGTGTCTCAGAGATGAGAAGAAGTGTTGATTTAAATGCAGATCAAACTGTTCAAGAAGTGCTTAACTGTTTTCTGAAATTATCAGCTCGTCTGAATGCTCGCTGTGAGGAATTGATTCATGATGTTGAAGAAATAAAAAAAGTGAAACAGAAGTCTTTGGAAATTCAACAAGAAGAACTGGAAGCAGCCTTAGGAAGTGTGCAAAGTAGTGTAGAATTCACAGAGAAGGCTTTGGAAAATGGAAGTGAAGTTGAGATTTTGAACATGCGCAAGCAAATGTCAAGCCGATTAGAAGAACTAAATTCATTAAAGTGGCAGCTGGAACCACGGGTGCATGATATATTTAAGTTTCTTGCTGAGGATCAATTGCTGGAGAAGATCACTAACTTTGGTCATGTTGCTAGTCATATAAGGGCATATGCCAGTATGTCAACCGTAACTTTGGGACATGGGATAGAGGGTTTGATGTACAATACAATCAGTGGGCAGCCTGTTGAATTCATAGTAACTGCTAAAGAGTGGGATGGAAGGAAACGAGAAGAAGGTACTGATGCTTGTGAAGTAGAAATTCGCTCCCAATCTGGTGAAACTGCATTTAGTGACTATGCTAAAGATATTGGCAATGGAACATACAGCTTTTGTTTTACTCCAAACGAATTACAACCAAATGAGTACCAAATGTCAGTGAAACTGAATGCTTCTCATGTGAAAGATAGTCCTTGTACATGGATTACTGAAAATTGGAAACTTTGCACAGCAAATGGCAATTACCCGTATCAATATAATTATTCCATTACCCTGGACAGTAACTCTTTGAGGGCAACCTATGGGACATATAACCATTATTTGGACACAGGTTTTTTTTCAGGCACTCATCTTCAACGGACTGTTATTGTGCCTCCAAGTGACTATGGCGTTACCTCAACTTCTACACCAGTACCTCTCACAGTCTTTGGGACATCTCAATTTCAGTTTGGTAGGCATTCATGGAAAGTACAAATATGTGGTGATAACTTTGAAAATTTTTGTTTTGGTGTTGGCGTTAGTCCTGCTGCACAGCAACCTTGTCAAAACAAGTGGACATGGACATCAGGAAACAAATGGGAGCCTTTAAATCAGCTTCAGAAAAGTAAAGTGACAGTTTGTAGTAGTGGAGACATAATTGAATTTTACCTGGACTGTGATAATGGAACACTTAGAATGTATAATCAGGGTACCAACGAGTTTGACACTTGGAAAGGTGTCAATGGCATAGTGCGTCCCATGTTTCAAATGGGTAGTTGTAATCAACAGGTGTCCTTAGTTCTTTAGGAAAACAAGAAAATCTATGTTCTCTGTGAATTACGGTCAACTCGCCAACGGACCAACTCGCCGACGTATAAAATCGAGTAGAGACGTCGGCGAGTTGGTCCTCAATCCAATACAACTTACTAGTAGTTAAACATACAGAAAAGTAAACGATATTTAGTAAAAAAAACACTGGTGAACATTGGTGAACATCAAACAGAAGCTTAAACATTGGTGAACATCGGTGAACATCACCGATGACTAACTTAACTCGTTCGCGTCTGACATCATTGGTGATGTTTATCTTACTTTATTCGTATTGAGATCCTTATAAACTTGTTGCAAATAAAAATAACAGCTTTTTACTAAAGATCTTGTCTAGAAAGCCAAGTTTTCTTTAAAAAATCTGAGCGATTGACATGATGAGTCTTTACGGTGTTGTTGTGACACAATAACTTGTGCGCGTCTAAAGCGGATATAGTCATTGGCGATGTTTACTTTGCTTTATTCGCCTTGAGATCCTTATAAACTTTTTTGTAAATAAAAAGAATTGCTTTTTACTAAAGATCATATCTAGAAAGCCAAGTTTTCTTAAAAAATCTGACCGATTGTCATGATGAGTCTTCACAGTGTTGTTGTCACACAATAACGGGACTGTGACAACAACACTGTAAAAACTCATCATGATAATCGGTCAGATTTTTTAAGAAAACTTGGCTTTCTAGACAAGATATGGAAAAATTTCCGCACAGCCCCATACTTAATTATGCATGTACATCTTACTGGTGATACACTGAAAAATAAAGCCCCATATATGGATGTATAATGATGTATGGGGTGTGACAAGATATTTAGTAAAAAGCAATTCTTTCTATTTGCAACAAAGTTTATAAGGATCTCAAGGCGAATAAAGCGAAGTAAACATCACCAATGACTCTAACAGCTTCAAACGCGAACGAGTTATTGTGTGACAACAACACTGTAAAGACTCATCATGACAATCGGTGACAAGAAAACTTGTTCAACACCGTAAAGACTCATCATGTCAATCGCTCAGATTTTTTAAAGAAAACTTGGCTTTCTAGACAAGATCTTTAGTAAAAAGCAGTTATTTTTATTTGCAACAAAGTTTATAAGGATCTCATGTCAATCGGTCTTATTTATTTAAGTCAAGTCGCTTGGTAAAAAGTCAACGCACAAACGGTGTTGTTGTCACACAATAATTATCTCGTTCGCGTCTGAAGCGGATATAGTCATTGGCGATGTTTACTTTGCTTTATTCGCCTTGAGATCCTTATTTTGGAAATAAAAATAATTGTTTTTTACTAAAGTCTTGTCAGATGGCTATTGACATGATGAGTCTTTACGTTGTTGTCACACAACTCATTCGCGTCTACAGCCAATTTTGTTTTGGCGAAATGGATCTTTATAAACTTTGTTGCAAATAAAAAGTGAACAAAATTGGCTGTAACAATGTTCACTAATGTTTAAGCTTCTGTTATAGTCATTGGTGATGTTCACCAATGTTAACCTTAGCTTCTTTTAATGTTCACCAATGTTCGCCAGTGTTTTTTTACAAGTTTACTTTTCTGTAAACTACTAGTAAGTTGTATTGGATTGAGGACCAACTCTCTCTACTCGATTTTATACGTCGTCAGTGGTATGAAACATCTCGTGTTTGAAATGGATATTGGTAATCAACAAGTTCCTCAATTCTTTGAGAAAACAAGAATGAGTTAAGGAGAAAAATTATGTCCTCCTTCTTACTTGTTAATCTACACTTTTAAATGATGCAAAAATGTTGAATTTATGCTTTAAATTTTTAAATTGTGAAAGCCAACATCTTTCTCTATTTCTTTACCAAGCTCAAAACTTACCATCTCTCTTTTCTAATAACTTGCATAATGTACATTAGCCAAAAATACTATCAGAGTTGAGAGAGAAATGGTTAAAAACATGGACGCACTGTACACTTTCTCCACATTGACAACCTGGGCCTGGTCATTCACAGCACAATTAACATAAACCAGGGTTAGTGTAAATTTTTAATTCATTTTAATGGCCTTGCAAAGGGACCGTTTTTTTGCTGTTAGTTTCAAGTTATGTTGAGATAAAACCCAATAAAGCCTTAACTCTTAAACATGCTCTTCTCCCCTAGAAATTAGAGCCAAGGTTAACTTTAAATCCTAGATTAGCTTTAACCACTTTTCAAACAACTAACTCCTTCCCTGGTTAAAATTTGATCCATGACAAATCCAATTCTTGTTACAACACAATTGATTATGGTACTGTACTCCTCCATGAAATAAAAGAGGAAACAATTTTTTATTTCCTTGTTTTTTGGTAAAAAAAATTATAAATATTAAATTTAGATGGATTTTAGTTTTAAGGGTGTTGTATAACTGGTACTCTAAGCTGAAATGCTTTTAAAGTAACTTTTTTGAGTAGCAACCAAAAATAATAAAGTGGTCACCAGAGATAAAATGTTGGTTGCCAGAAAATAAAGTAAAGAAGACACTTTGAACATTTAATGATGTACTGAACCAATAACAACAAAGCATGTGTTTAGAAAGAGCAGTGTGGCTGACATTTGGTTTTCTTGGATAACCAAAAGAGGCAAATGTTTTTAGAAGATGATGACAGCTTATGACATAAGCTTATTTCGAAAATTTGTAAAAACATAACAACTTGCTATACAATTATGACATCTGATGATTTTCTGCGAATATCTCAGATGAAAGGTGAAAAAATTCAGAAGACAATTCAGAAATAGAGGTTGAATTCATACTGATGCAGGATATTGAGTTATGCAATTATAAGGTTTGGTAGTGTGATGTCTTGGTTGCGATGCATTTTTAGGGAAGAGTTATTGCTTAAATTTAGAAATGAGTGTAATGTAAAATAAACAAAAACAAAGAGCACACTTATCAATTTGATTATTTATTTAATTTTACAAGTATTTTGTTGAAATAACCCTCTTTAGTCTTAATCTACAGCACAGCTCAGTCTTTGTCCAACTGTTGATTGTTCCAAAAATGAGAATTCTGGGGCATAATTTAATCTAACAATGCTCTTTAATTAACAAAAAGGTCAATCAGATTCTCCCTGCCCTCTCTAGATTCCCATCCTCCAACATGTAGGCTGGTTTATACCTGTTACCACCATCACTTCATTTCAAGGGAGGCTTAGGTTTAGTATTGTGGGTGCTTCCTAGTGATGTGTACCCTTGACTCTAGGTCGAGTTTCTTTCAATGTCCTCATACCTGTTCTAATGTTTCCTGTTATGAGATTCAAGTTGTACCTTGTGGTGGTTTCTGAGATGAACTCTTTTGCTTGTGGAAATTGTGACTTGTGGAGAAAGTATAGGGCCTTTAGCCCTTGGGCAGGTAGTGATAATTTATTCATTGCAGCATGCAAAAGGCAGAGCAGCCCAGTGCAGTTTTTGTGACCATTGAAACTGATGCTCAGCTCATCAAGAGAATACAGCTGAAGTGTCTGTTTTATAATAGCCCTGGCACCTTTGAGGCAAGCAATTGTGTTTGATTCATCTCCAGGATCATGGAGGCAGTATCTCCACATTCACATCCTGCTTAGTATCCTTGTTTAGAGAGGTAGGGCTAAGTGGACCTAAAATATAGTAATAGGTTATTATAATATTAATTATTTTTCCAGTGGAGAGAAGATTGACCCTTTTACTTCTGAGAGTAGCCAATGAGTAATTTCTCTTTACAATATTGGTATATCATCTGTCAGAAAGGTTATAAGAAGAAAGTTAAATATCATTATGAGGATACTGTTTTATTAAACAACAAATTTTCAGAACTCCAATTACTATAGTTGTATCAAAGACAGTGAGGAGAATTTATGTTTAGATCTTACGAAAGAAAGGGTAGAGACTCCTCAATGTAAGAATTGTGAGGGCCATTTGGTAATTTCTCCTTACAATAATTTCATATAGTCAGAAACATGATGAGAAAAAAAGTGAAATATCATGAAGAGTGTATTGTTTGATTAAACAACAAATTCTCAGAGCTACAATTATATAAGACTTATTAGAGACAGAGAGGAGAACTGATTTTCAGATCTTGGGAAAGAGAGGGTAGTGACCTCCCAGTGGAGAAATTACAGTATCAAGCGCTCCTTCACTGTGATTGTCCATGTAAAGTTTATCCACAAAGGGACTGTTTTTGGTTACTGTGACAGATTCTCAAACCCTTTTCCTCCATGAATTTCCTTTATCAACCTTGATGAAGGAGTGCTTTGTGATTTAACTCCAAATTCTCACAGTTAACATTACTAAAAATGTAACACAGCAAGAAAGGAGAATTTATTTGAGATCTCCAATGTAAAAGGTCTCTTGGATGCTGCTTAAGACATCTACCCCCAATTGTTTGAAGGATGGATAATGCTGTTCAATAGATAAATCTCTACCTGATGGATATAGTGCTGTACATTTTGTTACCACTTATTCATTGGATAGCAATTTATCTGTTGGATAGCTTTATCTGCCCTTCGATCAACTGCGCCCACACTAACAAATGACTATTCACTCAACTTAAGTATATAATGACTTCTGCAGAGGTTTTCAAAGCCTTATTGACACAAACACAGTCAGGAGTCTTTTACAGGGCTAGCACACGTCATGACTAACTTCTATAACAAACTATCTCTAAATCACTGTAATGTTCATTGCAATTACAGTAAAAAAAAATTGTTAGAGGCTCATCCCATGATCAAGATGAATTCTTTTCAACCTGGGAGGCAAGATATTTTAATCTCATTCCATTAAACATAAAGAAAAGAACTTGCAGTCATGATAACCCCCTACTTACTAATCTAAATATACTGTTAATTGTTCTGAAACAAAACTTACATTCTGAAACTGGAGCATCCAGACATTGTTTCCAGAATGGAAACAATGTCTGTCTCCTCTACTGAAAGATAAATATTTCGCAGCAGAAACCGCTTCTCACGGTTAGAAATCAAAAGAATATCTTCCAAAAGGCTAAACGACTTTTCCAAGAACTGCGGCACTCCAAGAAAAG